TGCTTCATTCGCCAGTGGTTCTTCTTATCTCCCTCTCCCCTCACACGCTGATAACCACCCGCACGCTTCCCATACCCCTTTCCGCACATCCTCTGCATATACACTCTCAAGCCCCGTATACCCTTCTTACACGCCTCCTTCCACCGTCCTCCTCTTCCTCGTTCTGCAGATGCAACGGCGGCGTCAACTTCATGATGGACAACGACCCGTCGGCAGTATTTCGTCTAGCTGCCCTGCAGAGCCCCGCCGGCCGCCGCCTGCTGTTGCGCTGCGGCCGCCAGGTCGACGACCTGTCCTCCATTGTGCTGGTGGAGAAGAACCGCCACTTCATCCGCTCCGAAGCCATTCTGCGCATCGGTGCAGCGCTGCGGCTGCCGCTGCCGGCGCTTGCGGCTCTGGGATTCCCGCTGCCGCTGCCGCTGAGGGACACCCTGTACGATGCGGTTGCGAATAACAGGTAGGGGTGAGGGTGAGGAGCGCGGCGGGGTAGGTGGCGGTCGGGAGGTTGTGGCGGTGCCGGTGGCAACCCAGGGCGTTTGTGGGGAGGAGGAAGAAGGGGGAGATGGGTATCTGCCAGTTCCCGCTGCCGCTGCCGGTGCTGCGGTGGGTTGCTGGCGGAAGGGGGAACGGGACGGGGCATGAGGAGGCCGCGGTTGCGAACGGGGTGGATTCCCGCCCCCCGCACTCTGGTTGCGGATGGGAACGGTCGTGGAACGGGAGCCGCCCGTGTACCCCCTCGCTGAGTGAGCTGAGTGCGCGATCCGTTAGACACGGCGACACGCGGGCGATGAGAAACGCTTTCTGGTAAAGGGCCCTGCGTGAAGCCACAGCTCGCGCTGGCGGTTGGCAAGGAAGCGAGAAGGAAGAGAAGAAAGCGATGAAGAGGAGGAGGAGGAGGAGGAGGAGGAGGAGGAAGGGATGTTGAATCAATGCAGGGATGTTGAAACACTGCATCTGCGTACTGACCCTGGGGGGCGAAGGGGCTCTCGCTAGGAACAGCTTCAACCTACGCGGCGTTGAGGCTCCCGGGCTGTCCAAACCGCAGAACGGACATTGGCAGTTATCTGCTGACTTTTGCAAAGATACCGCCCCAATACCGCCATTCCCCGTCCCCACTGCCTTTATGCTTCGCAGGTACTCGTTCTTCGGCCGTACCGGCGCCTGTCGCCTGCGGGATGCTGGCAGGTTTGCAGACCGGTTCATTGTGGACTAGTATGGCTGCGGGGCCCCGGCGGCAGTAGGCGTGAGGGGAGCGCGGCGCGATGGTGGTGGTGATGGAGCTGCTAGGAGGAGCGGGCGGCGCCGGCAGGGGCTGACGCGGGGCCATTACCAGCCGGGGCGTGACTAGCGGCGATGGGGGAAGTAGCAGTAACAGTGGTGTAAGCAGGAGTAGCAATAGCAGCGAGCGGTGCTGGTGGCAGCAGCAGCAGCAGGTGCCAAGCTCTGGGGCAGTAACCGTAGTGTAGCGCTGTCGTCTATGAGCCTGAAGGGTTGGGGTTTTAGTTGGCATTCCGTTGCCGCTGCCTTGAACACGTTTTGCAAAACCAGACAGGCCTTAAGTAAGGTACCTGTCATAGATCAGTATGCGTGCTTGTACTTTCATCCTTGTTTCTGCTTCGGCAAAGGGATTTCTTTTGTATTTTTATCTACTCGCCACGTTGTCTTTCGTTACATAATTCGTACCAGGCCTTGCAATGTTGAAATCCGTCGCGTGCACAGGTAGCTGCTTAGGCGGCATTTCAATATGTGCCTAATCAAGCATATATACCGCCGATTTAAGATCAGTGCAGGAGAGGTTAGCCAGAGTGTCGACCTGTAAGATCCGTACGGAGGGTTAAGGGACCGTAATGGGTGCCGCAGCGATGGCTGAGAGGAAGCGCGGGACGAGAGGGGCTGGACCTTGGGGAACCTCAACGAGCAGCTCGCCTAACTAAATCATATCTCTTCTTAACGTAAATGCTGAGAGGGGGGTACGTGACGGGTTGAACGTGTACGTGTCTGAGTAGGCACCTCTCATTCCTTGCCGGGGGGTGTTTCCGTGGCTTGCACGGCGTGTACATATGCTGGATTGTGCAATTTAAGGATCTGAACAGCGTGACCACATACGGGGAGGCCGGCGATGTAACAGGCCAGACGCGGAGGCCTTTGGGGAGTGCAGGGAGCCTACAACCTACCGGCAGGCAAGCAGGGTAGGCGGGCAGGCAAGCAGGGTAGGCAGAAAAAGCAAACAGGGTAGGCGGGCAAGCATGCCGTTTACTTTGCGGGAAATAATCAACCAGTTTATCACGGTGAACATTAGAGGTTGTACGGCTCTTGGGAGGAGCTTACACGCACGCTCTGGTACACGTTATTACCGCTTCATTAGAAATCATCATACGGCATACCAACCTGAATGAGAAGAACCCAGAATGTGCTTGTGCAGCGAGTTTATCGTCACACATTTTCCCTCTGGCATGAGCCCAAGTGCAGTGGTGATCGATTACAGAACTGAGAATGTGAGAATGCCATGTTTTGTGTCGGGTGTTGCGGGTTGTCTCTGCATGTGGGATGTCGCAGGATGCGCATTGCTAATCAATAGCATACCCATTGCGGAGAGCCCAGCGTCTCAGCGAAGTGAAGTCCAGGTTGTTTACCCTCCCTTCCGCAGCTTGTAGGCTGTGAGCATCTGCTGAAATTTCTGAGCTGGGAACTCTGGTAAGTTTAAACTAGTCGGCAACAGCAAGGTGGCCAGAGCGCTTTTTATACCATGATGTTCTTATAACATATGCTCTCATAAACATGATGCTTTTTGTAACACCTTGAAAATTGCATACGAGTTCGCACTCGGATTGCATAAGAGCGACAGGTGTACGGCAATTGTTTGCAGTTGATTTGCATGAGCACAGCACTTTGTCCAGGTTTCTCACCTGTCGACGCTATAACATGTCCATGGGACACAAACCGTTTTATTTATATGAAGCGGCTGCCTGAATTGAAATACATGGCCTGCATTATCGTTGCCTGACAGTTGCATTCCGGCGCCTGGGCCTTGCGCTTTGGCCAACAGTATCTTGCCAGGAATTGCGTCTGTTCGACTTCGTTTCTATTACCTTGGCAATTACTGATCTAATAACTTTGGCCCCATTATGGCGGGCATTCCTGTTAGTCGACACGTTGGCTATGCGCCGGTTCCAGGTTCAGATGTGCCACCATCAAAGGCGACTGGAAATGATAATCCACAGAGAAAATGGTTTGTGGCGCTCGGAGCTTGTCTGTTATGGTTGACTTGTTCCAGTCTTATCATCCTTGTGAACAAGTACATCATGGTACGCTCCGTTGAAAGAGCCCTGCACTCATCTTTCACGGCGAGGACGGTGCCATGGGACGGAATTTTTCGCCCAACCCCCGCCTTCAGAAGGGATACTCGAACGTTGTGCTCCATCACGGTAACACGGATATGCCATGGCAAACCTAAACAAAACGCCAATGATGCAGGTTGACTTGAACTTCAAATACCCGATGGCAGTGGCTGCTATGGGCATGGGCTTCGCGTCGGTTGCCTCGTATGTGTATTGCGACCTGTTGAAACGGGTTCCCGCTGCAGTTGGCGTCGATGCCAAATTTTACTGGAAGCGCATTTTTCCCGTGGGCGCATGTCAAGGTCTCACATTGTTCCTGGGTAACCAAATGTGAGTTTGGGTGGACCTGTGCAGTTGAGTCTCGGGGTTGGAAGGATAGGGGGAAACGTAATGCACGTCGGCCATCCGGCAAGATGCATTGCAAACCTACTCATAAAATGCCCGCCTGTCACCAAGCTCCCAGTGAAAGAAGACCAGCATTGGTGCTCTTGGTGACACGTGCATGTAGCACGTTTCCCGGCGTTAAGACCCATTATTTGGGTGAATGGACTTAATGGAGCTGGGGAAAGGAACCGATTCCCGGCTACTGATTCCCATGGATAAGGCATTTCCTTGAACCTTGAGCTACCGTTCTCCTGCATGGACATGGTGCCTTGCCATCCATATCACCGGTTGCACTGCATGTATCACACTTCTAAGCACGGGCAACACCACTTCTCTCCATGCCAGGTCCCGTCCCCCTGGGGTCCTCCTACCTTCTGGCCACCAACTCCTAAGCCAGCCCGGCAGCGGCTCCCGCTTGAACCCTGCGGTTGACATAAGCACGATTGGTTAGCTACAGCTACCCCCCGCATAGCTCAGACTATGCATCCGGACATACAGCTCATGTCTGTTGCAGCAGCCCCTGCCTCGCTAGCACCCATTTCCAGCTCCACCCTGGACTCTTGTTCAACCTCCACACCCCTTGCCTCCCCCTGCCATAACTTTCCGACAGCGTGCAAAGGCCGGTTGCCAGCTGCACTGCAGCCGTGTGTTCCGGCTTCTGCGGGCTGAGCCCGGCATCCATCATACCCCGGTCCCCACTCGGGCCTGGCCAAGATTCCTAGTTTCTCACCATCTCCCGCCAGGTTACACTCATTCCTTTTCGCACCCTACCTCCGTTCGTAGCTTGCGTACCTTCCGACGCGCCACATAACCTCGTCAAACGGAACCCCAATTCTCGGAATCGTTTTTGCAGATGTTTTGCAGACCGCCTCGCTCTCCATCCTGTCGTCCCTCACACCCCACTCCCTTTCCCCTCCTCTCTTTCTTCCCTAACACATGGTTACGCGCCTTGCTTTCGAAACCCAGTTCCCAGTTTCTTCCACATGTCGGCCCCTTGCCCTTTGTTCCTCTGACCCCTTTCCTCTCTCATTCTCCCCCCCACCCCACAGGTACTTCTTCCTGACCGTCGCTTTCATAGAGATGTCCCGGGCCTCCCTGCCGGTGACTACCATGATTGCCTTGTGGCTGGCGCGCTTGGAGACCCCCACCGCGGCCGTCATCCGAGCCGTGTGCCTTACGGCCGTGGGCTGCGCCATCGCCGCTTACGGCGAGGTCCATTTGACCCTCGTTGGCGCCCTCCTGGCTGCCTGCAACCTGAGTATGGAGTCGATTCGGCTGGTGATGACGCAGTACCTGCTGGTGGGCTGCGACATGCACCCGCTGCAGAGCCTCAAGTTCATCGCACCGGCTGCCACCCTCACTTTGCTGGTGGGCTCTGCGATCCGGGAGTACCCGACCATGGTGAAGAATAAGGCGTTCAGCATTGTTGCGAGGTGAAAGGGTAAAAGGCGGAGGAAAGAGGGGTTGGGGAGGAGGCTAAGTAGCGATAGTGGGCGGGAAGGAAGGTGAGGGCGGGAGGGGGAAAGCTGGGTTGATGAGCGAGTGGAGGGGTATCGGGCAGGGGCAGACGATTGATACGAGAGTGCCAGTAGAATTGATTTTTTTGCCCGGTGCCGACCGGAGGTCGGTTGGCTGGATTTCACAAGGTTCCTCCGCCTCCATTCCCGCGCATTCTTTGCCTTTTCCGCCACCTTCCCCACTCCGCAGCGCCCCCTTCCACTTCATGCTAGCGGCGGTGCTGGGCCTGGTGGTCAACGTGTTGGGCGTTGTCATCATCAAGCTCTCATCCGCCACGACTCTAAAGGTGCGACTCTCGAAAGGGTTTTATCCCTCTGGGGCTAGTGGCTCTTGAAAGCGGGGTGAGGGCTCGGAGAACGACCAGCGCGCGTTCGCCTAGGGCCGGGGCCTCGGGTCATATAGTCGTTCTCTTTTACATTCTTTTGCATCCAGGAGAGGCCGTTCCGCTGTCTCTCCGTATTTCTGCCGCTGTTCGCTCTGCACCTCACACGACTCATCGCCCCGTTTCGCGTCCTCTCGCGCTCGCGTAATGCCTGGGCTTACTCGGCTTTCCCTTGTCCCTCCTTCCAGGTGCTGGCGGCGGTTCGTGGGCCCATCGTGGTAATGTGCAGCGTGATGTTGTTTTCTGAAGCCGTCACTCTCATCGAGTTCCTTGGATACTCTATGTGAGTTTGGGGTTGGCGGGGAGGAGGCCCTGGGCGGTTGTACGGAAAAGAGAAAACTCAAATGCAGGAGTGCCCTTAACGTGGCTGTGGGCGAGGGGCCTGGTAGCAACAAGCAGCCATAGCTAAGGGGCATGGCAAGTGGGACGTGAGATTGCTGGGAATGGGGTTTTAACAGACGTCCTTGAGGGGTTAATTGAGGGGGAGGGAATGCACATAGGGGGAAAGCCGCTTAGGGCTCATGTGCGCACTTCCCATCCTAGCCGCTAAGACTATGGTTGCGCGCCCTCCCGGCCAAGCGCCGGAGGTTATGATTGACTGATGCTCCATTATCTCCGCTGGGGGTTCTGACTCTGGGCCTGTCTGGCAGCTGCCCTGCTAGAAGTTACAACTTCCGCACAGGTGGGGGTGCCCCCTCCGTAAGGGCGAGGGGCCTCGTGGACGGTGACATTGCCCTGCTAGAGCAGCGCTGCATCATGGACTGTGTGCCATCCGAGCAGAGAGCCTGTGACCCGTTCCCTTATGCTGAACTGACACGCTCCTTTTACTTCCGTCGGCATTGCTTTGCTGCTGTGGCCGTTGCTGTTACTGCTGCTATGGCGATATGGCGACGGTGCTTGTGTGGGCTGTACTCGCAGCGCCCTTGCGGGCTTCATCTGGTATCAATTTGCGCTGACGCAAAAGGCGGCGGCCGAGGTGGCGGCGAAGTTGCAACCTGCCGCCAAGGCATAGCACATGAACGGGTGGGCGGGCATGACTGCGTGGATTCTGGGCCGGACTAGGCCAGACTGGGGGGGGTGGGGAAACTGTAGAGGTGTCAAGTGTAGTGTCAATGCTAACCCGGAGAGAACGGGACCGACACGGGCGAGCAGGCAGGCTAGGTGGCATGACGATGGCGCTGAGTTGCAGCCGCCAAAGGAAGAATTGGAACGGTATAACAGCATTACAGCGTAGGACAGCTTCACATGTTCTGTTTTCTCACATGACGATGAGTCGCAAAGTATTGTTCTTATTTTGGCATCACTTCAAGGTCGGCGAGAGTGGATATCGGGGGGTCTTTGGAGTGCTGGGCTTCTTACGAAGCGGCTGTCTGGGATTTGTCAAACCGGCAAGGTTCAGGTTTGCTGGGTCATCATGGCCATTTGGAGGGGGGGTCCAGGAGAGCTCATGGGGTGAGGAGTTACCCAGCAGAACCCCCGCTGCTTTACAGCTGTCACCGCTAGCTCCGTCGTTTACATGCTGTATGGTACTGCTGTGATTGCGAGCGGGCCAGAGGTTTTGACAGCATGGGTCAGGCAGGGGCCTTGCTGTTGCAGGGACGGGCAACCCGACTGGGCTTGCAGGTTGCGCGTCAGTCGTTTGCACTGTTTACATTTCTTTGTCGCACAGTGTTTGCAAAGCACAGTGTTTGCAAAGCCTCATAGAGACGTACGTGTTGTGGTTCTGTTGACGTTCTTCCTCGTCGTCGTCGCCATCATCATCATCATCATTATCATCATCCCGCCATGTCGAGTGAACTTCGTAGTTTCGCAGGCTTTGATTGGTCGTCAGCATAACGTGTGATGCATGTGCTAGGGGGGGCCCGGGGCATGCGCCTGCTGTCAAGTTTGGCTGCCTTGTGCATGCCAGCTCGGCCTGAAACCGGCCCAATGCTGTCGCTTTGCGTAGCTCAGAATTCTGGATGCACTTTCTTTGCCAGTGGCTATCGTCAACACGTTTCGTGCTATTCCTGTGATCGCAGTGTACATCTGGAATCAACGCCACTTGTAAATGAGAAATCATTGCTTCCGTTGGGATGCTCGGCAGCATAGTCGTTAGGATGCATGCCCCCTGCGGAAGGCAGTTTTTGCCTGAAGCCAGGCCAGCAAAAAAGCCGCAAGTTGATTGACCGTCTTCCCGGCCTAACGGTAGCATGCACGGAGGCCTGAAGCTTTACTGCAACTGTCGAGGGAGACAAGCATGGGGCTGGTTGCAATCTCCCCCTCTCCCGCGATTGTCCCATTGTGGCCTGGCCGCCTCCCGACAAAGGGTCTCTTCCCGCATGCCTGCCATCACACGGCAATGGCAAGGGTGGGAACAGACTTGGTGCGCACATACTTGGTGTTGGCTGGGGCAGATGGGGCAGACACACCTTTTGGGGGGAAAATATGGCAGGAGCCATTTTGCTAGGAGACTATGACGTAGCCTGATGCTGTGCCGTTAGGGCAGCATGATGAGATTGCCGACGGACTGTCCTTGCGACAGGGAGAAGCATCACGCCCTTTTGAGTGTGGGGCGCTGGAGGGGCTTTTCTCTTCTGCTGGTAGAAGGTATCAGGACAAACAAGTATACGGCCAGGCCGGACTGACTAATAGTTGATTTTTTGCCTGGATAGTGCGTCGGCGCTTGCGTCGGCACTTTGTGGCTGTGACCTGCTGGATTAATAGGTTGCTGGCAAACTCCATCTCGGATGATGGACTGGAATCCTGGTGGCTTGTTGGTCAGTTAAACCGTGAGGTACCCTGGTTGAAAAGTATTGCCTAGGACATTGAGGCAGCTTAGGCTGTCCCAGGGGTGCGGAAGCAGTAAGGCAAGGCAGTCGCTGCAATACGTGCTAACGTTGCGCTTCCGTATACGGATACGTATCCATGCGGGCTCGCTGGCGGCCATGAGTTTCCCCTGGTTTCGTGCTGTTCAGCGGCTTGTCTTAGGCGGTTTTTGACAGACGGAATCGGCGTCATGGCTCAAAGCCGCACCATGGCCGCACTGCGGCCGCCGTGTTGATGCGAGGTGATTGCGGCCCATACGGACGCAATTCGGGAGGGAAAGCCTTGTTGCGGGATCACTTTGCAGGCGCTGGAGCTCTAGTGAATGCATATGCACGTAATACCGGATGTCTTGGGCCACCTTACCACTTGTTGTGTGCAGCAAGGCAAAAAGATTTAAAGCCCCCCGCCGAAATGCATAAGCGCGCGTCTTGGTGCCTTCAGGATTTCCTGATGCAATGTAAAAAACGTATTTATTCTCTAAAAGCAAATGCCTGTCCAATCTGCTGCGTGCTGTGGTGCCGCCCAGAGGTCGGCAAATCCGGTGGGTCCTGCGGGTCCGTAACACAGTACCCGCAGCCGAAATTCGGCTTAAGGCCCCTGCTGCGGGACCCAAATGACCAAAATTCGACCGAAAGACGTGATTGAAGCCTCTATTGCGGCCCGTAGGGCCGCACGCTGGACTCGAACTCTGTGTTTGACTTTGTAAAAGAATGTCACGACCACCTCTACACAATTCGGTGACGGTTATCACTGATGAATTATTACATCTCTAGCGTCTGTACCGATGACTTGCAGCTGCCGCAGCACTTGACTTGGTCAATTGTGGACTTTGGCATACCAGATATTGGTCCCATGTGGCCTATCCTATACATAATCTTCATCATATTGCTTGTATTTTCAGCATACTTTTAACTGCTGACCGCGGCATGTCGGCGGCATCTCGCCGGGGAACGAAGGAAACGCGTGCAGAAATTTCCAGCGGTTGACAACGCACGTTGGCCGGCACGCTGACCGGTCGTAAAGCCACTGCTGATCCCCCAGCAACATATATTGAGGCGGAAGAGCCGTTACTTGGGCCATCGGGCAGCGCCAGTGAAGCTCCAGGTCTACTTTTCCCAGCACCACCACCTCCCACTTCCAGAAACGCCAGCACCGTGGCCCTTCCTCCACAGAAGAAAAGGCGCACTCAAGCCAACACTGCCGCCACCGGTCCCACTCAGCAGCCAGCACCTCTCCTGCCTGCCACCCCCAACACCACCGCTCCCGAACAGCAGCCGGCAATACGCCTGCCCCCCGCCACTCCCAATGCCACCGCCAACCCGCAACGGAAGCGCACCAAGTCCACCAATAAGATCGATGCCGTTGGTGTCCCCCCGGGGTTGGAGCGGCCTCATAATCCCAACGAGGACATTGTTTGGCTGACTGACGCTTGTGGTGGTGATTTCAAGAGCTGGGCCTATGCACTCCAGGGCTCGATGACGGTCATCTGCTTTTTTTGTGACACACATAAGGAGAGTAACGCCACCATTTCCCACACGAACTGGGATCGCTCAGCTTACACCCGGCACGAGGCCTCCTACTCCCACAAAGCGGCTGTAGACCAGTACACGCAAGATCCGCAGCAACAGCAAACTGACAAGCACCTGGCCATGACCGAGGTTGCCGACAATCCCTTGTTGGCTCTGTTTTGTGGTGCATACATGGTCCTGTACCAAGCCATGCCTTTCACTCACTTCCCAACGATCTGTGAATACATGGACTGGCTTAAAGTACCAAACATCACCGGCTTAAGTTCAACGAGGGTCTTTTTGTGAAGCTGAGTATGTCGGGTCCTTGAAGAAGGAGGATGCAATATTGAAGGGGGCAATGGCCAAGTACAAGTCCTCCACTAGGATGCACCTCTACACGCACATCACCGATAAGGTCGAGAATATCCTTCACGACCCGCACTTCAACCGCATGCGGTCGGCGATGAATAGCTCGGGGGCGATGCTAACTTCATGGCGCAAGAACTTGCTTTGCAACGACCCCTTGTTCCCCCCCTGTAAAACGATCGGCCTGCAATGTGTACGGAACGTGGAGCCCTGAAATGCTGTCTCTTTTGGCGCCGGAAGGCGCCAAATTTTTTTTTAAGGTTTATTGACCGAAATTATGCCCTCCCGCAGCCGTAGAAACCGATTTGCCGACCTCTGGTGCCGCCTGCGTGCGGTGCTGCGGTCTGATGTCAGACGCGCCGTTTTCGTTAGCGAAAAAGGGATGTAACGGTTGAGCCATTATGATGGATAGGTTATGTTGCAGTTACCAATTTTTGATCCGCCAGAAATCATGAAAAGAGGGCAGGTTTAGGCTTTCTATCCAGGATAGAGGACCTCTATTTAGGGACTGGCCAAAGACGGACTGCGAAGACTGAATCTAATCGCTTTCATCGCCATTACGTGACGTAAGTACCGAAACTAGTTATCTGAGCTTATCCATCCTGTTCGGTCAATAGCTGGTGTTGCTGAGTTGTGGTCGATACTCCACACAAGAGCATGGTTCTCCTTGCTTTATGGCGTCCAAGCATCGCTGATGAACAGCGCTTGAAATTGAACTCCTCAGGGTGCGCCTTGTGCTGTAAATGGGCGCCAGTGGGATGTTTGTGGCATTATTCACCATGCTCTTCCTCCTGTTTGCAGCAAGGGGTTAAACTATGTACATGTTGGTGGTACAAAGGATTCATGGTTGCTACAGGACCTCAAGCAACGCGGTTGGGCCATCGACAGGGTGTCGGTGCAGGTAGGTTGCACCGGCGGGCATGCAACCCTGTTTTGCTGTCTTACCGATATGTTAATCGCCCTACCGAAGTGTGCATATCCTGTATACTACTGAGATGAAGCCTGATTACTTAGAGGGCTTCGGCAAGATAGCTGCAAAACTTTCGTTTTGCAAATAATAGATATCACTCCACGCCCTAAAAGTCGTGTGCAGTAGGCCCGTGTGGGCTTGTTATATGTCCGTGACCCCCACGTCGATACGTCAGTCTTGGTTCAACTTTGTTTACTCGTGACACCTTCCCATGCGGCTGCTCTGTTTGAAACCCTTACGAACCGTGGGTCACCGGTCGTGCTTCCGCCACACGAAGTCCTGGCCCGACGCCTTGCTGCGCGGCCCCCAAACCGGAGCGCATATTGCCAATGTATCACCACCACAATGCCAAGCTCACCAGTGTACTATTACCGCCATCCCCACCAGCAGCCGCATCAACAGGAAGCCGCCAACTGTATGCGACTTCACCACCATCAGCAACAAGCCAACGACACCCGGCGTATGTGCAGGTGGGGAAGGGGCGCCGCGCCTTCGATGCAGCCACGGACTGCCTGCGGCGCTGGGGCCACTTCCAGCTGGGCTGGTCCAGCGTGGATCCGAGCACGGGCACCCGGGAGGGGGACCTGGTGGCCGTCACCTCCAAGACGCTCTTTCTGTGGACATGCAACCCGCTGCAAATAGTGTAAGGGCGTCCTTCAGGGGGACTGGACTGGCTTCGGGGCCGCCGCTTAGCTCTCTTCCGGCGCTATGGCGGGAGAATCGGTGACGGCCGTCTGGGTGTTGGGTATTATGGGGGAATGGGGGACGCAAAGCAGTGGCGAGTCGAGGCAAGCAATGATAGGCATTTAAACCTGGGAAGAAGGGAACAGGGGAAGAAGAGAAGGGGTGTTAGGGGAGTAGAAAGGGAAAGGGGAAAGGAGGGAAGGAGAGCACAGCGCCAATCTATGCTACTATGTGACGCGGGAGAGGACCCACGAAGGACCTGGAGGGTATAGGGCTGAGCAACTGAGTGCTGTGTGTGGGTGGGCAGAACAATATGCGTGAAGGCGCGTAGATTACCCAGAAGCCACACCAAGCTCAGTAGTGTTCAGCTGGCGCTCCGGAGCCAGGTTTTGGTTGGAGCGGCCAAGTGCTATTGGCAGAAGTGTGTGGCTTTAGGAGCGCTGCAGACCGCGCCGAAGGGGCCTGGTGCAGGAGGGGACCCTGGGGCTCGCGAACTGTGGTCTGGGTTTGGCGCCATTCGTAATCCGAAGCTGCAAAGCGGTGAAAAGTTTTGCCAACCTTTCTAATTCATGATAATGAATTGTGTACTTTCGTCACTATAGACTTTGACTATTAACATAATCCTGGGAGTGTCGAAGCCATGAGATAGAGCGCGCGCGCTCGCGACCCCAGCTTCTGCGAAGTACTGCACCGGCTGCCGCAAAGGCTTTTGAACCGGGCTAACATCCTTAATATGAAACAGTGGACACCGAGCAGTCCGTCACCCCGCGCTGAAGGGGACGGCTCTCTCCCCTAAAACATTTCTCTCACTTCCTGGACACGTATGCGTGTATGTGTGTGCACCGCACCGCACCGCCCTGAGCTGCGTTACTCTCCGAAGGTCGCGTCGGGACCATTCCCACACCGCTGGGCAACGCCGCACTCGTCACCTCGCTGGCGCACATCTGACCGGAGAGCTTGCCCACCTCGTTCAGCAATGCGCGCCATTCCACCCCCGCCCTCGAAGGCACCAGCATTGCTAACGCGCTAACACGCAGAACGAGTTGTAGTGGGGAAGAGGTGCATCATGATGTAGATAGTTGCCGTTGCCACACTGCCCTGACTGCAGCAACCCTGACCACCGACCCAACTGGCTCCCACGGCGCTTCCCTTCGTTTCCTCGCCTCGCCCGGGAATGCTCCGCAGGTACTCTGAACGCAAGGACCCTCCACGACTGCGACTGCCTTGTAAGGCTCCGTGTAAAGGCGTCGTGGCGGAGGGGTTGGGATGTGCACTCCCCTAACATCCCCTCCCGCAATCAGAGTGTTTTCCTCACGTCCTGTCCGGCCCCGTCCTACACCACCTGGAACGTGTTTTGTGATGTGTCGTGTCCTGCCGGGCGCCTAGAAGCACCACCTCTTGCTCCAAAATCCGATCAGCAGCCCCCCCGTCCCACCCCCACCGGCACACGAACCGGCAACGGCTGCTCCGCTCAACAATAAATACCGTCGCAGGGGCACTCGTGCCCCGTAAAGTTTCCATGGTCCTTGCCGCTGGCATGGCCGGACATACAAATCGGACCGCTGCTGCTGTTGATCTTTAACACAACTAATTCAACTGCCGCTTCTGCTGCTGTCCACTGTCGCTTCCTCAAATCGCTCTTTTGTGTGGCACGGCCCCCTCCCTGCGCTGCCCGGGTCCAGGGCAGCCTCGACCGCCTCGCAGCTTCTCTTTCGCTCACGGCTGCCTGGAGGGGCACATGCTGGCGGGGGAGGAGAGCTTCCGCGTGGAGATGCGCCCCGACGGAACCGTGTGGTGAGAGGTGGAGCGATTGGGAGTAGTGTCCACTCGCCATGGAGGGGACCAGAACCCAGACTAGAACCCTGGGAGGGAAGGAACGCGCATGTTTCATAGAGCTGTAGCGCGGTGCTTAGCGGCACGCTGTGCGAGAAAAGCTAGTCTGCGGAGGAAGCAGCACTCGCGGTGCGAATCTAGAAGCGCTGTGCGCCACAGCGCTTTAGTGTGGCGATTAAGGTGGGTGGGACGATCCCAACGCACATCTATTACCACTTCATATGTGCACGAATTCATGCCTTGTAGCTGCAGGCCGTATCCCTAGGAGGTTCGGGGCTTGGAACTCTTCGGGGGTTCAGGGTGCCAGGTTGGGAGTTCACCTAGCAGTGGCAATGGTGATGGCAATGGCAATGATATCCAAATTAGGAATGCATTTCCTGAGCACACCGAGCTGGGGCCTTGCCGCGTAGCAAGCGGGCAGGCAGCCAGCCAAGCCGCACCATGCGTCCGCTAAACCCGCGGATTCCCTCTTCCAGCAGGACATTCAAGGGAATGCGCAGACCAAGCCCTACGATCCCCATCTTCATGCAAAACTCCTAGACTATGCACGGCTGCATGCACGGAAGACCAAGTTGCCGCAGCACCAGGGCCTGCCACCTACTGTGCAGCCACAGTCCCGTACACTGCAGGCCATCACTAACATAGCCACGCCATAAAGACACCTGTTGATGATGCCGCAACCGTATTGGGCCAAGTGGCCGTACAGTCGTCCAGCCAGACCCACTGTATCACTACAAGGATTTCGGGAGCGGGACGATAAAGGCTGTCAAGTGGCCACAACCGTGTCACCGCCCCCGGTCGTGATAAGAGATGCATGCCTCGCACCCAGTGCAGGCGCCAGCCCGCCGGCACCGCAATTGCCCACCCATTCAAACACCTCCGGGCCGCAAAGCCGGCGACGCCTCCGAGCAATGCGGTTCCAGCAATAGTCGTATGCTAAGCTAAGACATTGGTAAAGCCCTGAATGATTTGCCATAAAAAACATCACGTATAGCGACAGTCTCCAATCTAATATCATGCCTGTACTGAGACGGCGCACAGGACATGTTATTTCTCCGGATTGCAAGTTGCATAAGGCGGCCGCAAGCAGACGCGCTTCATTATAAAAGGATAATCTTCCACACATTCCCACTCGATGGCCGCACCATTATTTGAACTTAGCGCAACCACCACCACAATCAGCTTTCTGTGCACATTCCTTGTTGATACCTGATATAGCACATCCGCCCATCGCTTTAGGAAACCTCCCCCATCAGGGCATTCGCCGAGGGTCTAATAGCGGTCTTTCTCCCTCTCCCTGTTCACCTTCATGGCATCATACATCCAGATCATGTCCACCATACACCTCATCATGCCTCCCAAAAAAAACTACCCTGGCCGAACCGAGAGCATATCCTCATCCATATCCAAATCAATGTCCCACACAGCAGGAACAGGTTGCATTATACCGTATTACCTGGGAAAGCCCCAAATCACATGATAGAGAGAGCGGCTTTAATACTTCTCGGCCTCCAAGCCCACCACGCTGGGACACAGCTGCATGCCGCAAGGGCACCAAGCCGTCTCCACCTCCGTCCGTTACATGCAGAAACAGACTGTTAGGACGCCCGGCACTTGACCGCTGCGTCTCGCCATCATTCATCACCTAGATGCTAAACCGCGGTCAAACGTTCCGCTAGCGTCAATATCCTACCTACCAAAGCCCACCGCCCCCAGGGCGTGCGTGTACTAACCCCAGTCAACCAACCACCCTACGACGCCCTAACCCCGACCTGCTTCCACATGCATTCCGTACGACAGGTATGACATCACAACATTTTCCAAAGCGGTGCATCCTCTGGCAATCGGGTTCTTCCCGTTGACGCGGCACTTCCAGAAGATGTTCGGAGCCGACTCCGCTCGAGCCGTGATTTCGGCGGTGGCGTCCTCCGTTTCCCCCTCCTGTTGAGGACCGGACCGCCCCCGCCTGGACGGCTGACGGCTGGCGGCCGCCTCTTTCGTGGAGAAGGAGGGCAAGAGAAAGGGGATAGGGTGGCGGCTGTTGCAGACCGCACACTCGTGGAGTGCAATCTTCACCATCCTTCGCTGCCATCCATCCATTGCAAAAGGCTAACACCCGAAATGAGTCCTTCCACCCACCACTGCGCAGCAGCTGGTGAATTCGCGGGGCCCAGCTCCTCTACAACATTCTGCGCCTTATCCAATGCCAGGCCCAAGACCCGGCCCTTTCTACCCTCGCGCAATCGCAGACCTCTTACGCACCCACCCATGTCCGAATCAACCAACCACAATTGCCGCCTAAGCTCCCAGGACAAAGGAGAAGTTGCAGCATGGCCGCTCTGAAACGAGATACGAGGGACAAACGCCTGAAACAGCGACATGACGGAAAGCGATCTGTCCTGTCCACAGCGCGAGCTATTCCCATTAGAAAACCAGGAGAGAGGCCCTAACAAAAGATAAAGAGACCTACAACCTATAACATAGGAGTAGTGCTGCTCAGTCCCACAACTGACGCCAGCTGCAAAAACCTCTGTAGAGGTACGAGAAACCGACGCGGATGTGTGCACCGCACCGCACCGCGCCCTTGATGACCGAGGCGGCCGACTCCCCCGAACCCCCCGTGCTACTCATGTTGCCAACTACGGCCTCCGCAAGGACCGCTGCTGCTTCAGGCAGGAACACGCGTACGTTCGCACGTACCCTCGTAAATCCCCATAGCAAGGCGGCTGAACAGGACCAGTAGGGAACAGGAGCGGAGCCCAATGTAGCTCAATGTCCTGATGCAGGGCTGCTACATAAGGAGAAGGTGCACGCGAGGCAGTGGGGCAGAGTGCAGATGGACACGGGGGAAAGAAACGACAAGCGATACCAGGCTGACGCGTCCCAGAGGAGCAGCGGGTCTCCCGCCTAGATTGCACGTGTACCTACCCCATATAGCAACTGTACGCCCGCTCAACGAAGGCCAGCTGAAGCCTGGCTTCAGCCAGACACCTCGCGGCAGGACGCCGCGGCTCCGCACTCTTTTTTTCCCGGATAAAGCCTTCGTAATTCACGCAGACAGACGCACACACACACACACGCGGATAAGGACTCGAAGACATACACAGCGGCTTCGACGAGCAATTATAGCAACATTAACCGTAATAGCAAATTCAACAGCGGCGGCAGCGACAAGTTACCAAGCCGAGAAGAAGCTAGTGATCAGGGAGAAGACGAAGGCAAACGCACGTGCGGGCGCTTCCGCAACACAATCAGCTAAAGAAGCGCAGGTTGCGCTCGCACGCTTTTCTTTAACTCATGGATAGGTGAACGGGCACGGTCATATCAGAGCTAGTCACGTACCAGACACTCAATACGCGTATTCCCCCAGTACCTATGTCCCATTTCGCAGTGCTGCTTCCTAATCTAGACAGGCCTACTTCCAGTCTCGGCCGATGTTACTTGGCACCCCAAACGCGAAGTGAGCCGGGGGTTGAATGGAGCTGGCTGCTGCAGCAATGAAATGCAGCTTAAACGCGATACACACGCACACTCACCATATGTGTAATAGCTTTTAAGGCGCTTTTTGTGCGTGCGGAATGCGAGCCATCGTCCCATAGGATAAACGCGCACAGCTGAGACACAGACGTGGTAGGTTGCGCAGGCAAGAAACCGACGAAAGGACAGAGACGGACGGACGGAAGCACAAACAAGCAGTACGAGGTTTTTCAACGCTGCAAGGCAACAGAGAGACGGATGTGGAATGTGCATTGACACACACACACACACATACACGGCGCAAGCCGCTCCAAGATCCGAAATGCTGACGTCCCTAACCGGGCTTCCACAATTCGGAAGTTCCGCTAGTTGTGTTCCTTGCAGACCGGCTGGATTCCTCGGCACCTGCACCTACCCACCTACATTCTAGCATGACGACGGGCATGCGGAGGCAGTCGGTCCTTTGCCAGTCGCTCTTCGCACTCCCACTCGCGCTTCGTCTTTTCGTTATGTTTCCTTTCGGGGAACAGCGGCCCCCCCGCCCCTCAGAACGTACGTCGTCGGCGTCGCGACTGATTAGTCGCTGCATTATTGGTGACCGTCACTTAGACCGTTGGCCGGTTAGTGGGCTGCTGGCAAACGACCCCGCATGAGGCCGGTTGACCAGCTTGGGGCCGTTGGGTCTGTTTGACTCGGGACGTTGGGTCTATGGCGGCGCGGTCCGCCTTGCCGGTCCTCCGGGGCCCGTACATCGTCGGCATCCTGGAAGGTCTTGTAATCCCTTCAGGACTGCGCGCTGCAGCGGCCACCCCCTTGGGCCACCACACAACCACATCACCACAGCAGCAGTAGCAGCAGCAGTAGCAATGAATCACAGACCCCTTCGGAGCGGCGGTGTCGGGTTCTGCGGGTTCAACAGCCACAGAGCCAGCCACGCGGCCGCCTCCGCTCCGTCACCCAACGGGTAGATGACGTCAGCGGTGGGCACCCCGTCTTTAAGCACCTCCAGAAGGTACTGCATGAACAGAGTACCGTCCGACAACATGGGCCCTGCACAAGCGGGCGATGGCGTTACACAGGAACACACGGGTAATAGGGAGCCTAGCAACGGTCTGCCAACATCCCAGAAAGCGGCTGCTGCTGCTAGGAGTGCGACCTCCTAGCGACCCTTGGCAACCACCCGTACGTCCCTCCTCGCCTGCCTGCGCTGGCACTGTGAACAAAAGATAGCACTTCGTTTTGCAATAGCTGCTGTAGATCTCCCCAGCCCGCCTACGCGTGATGTTTCCGTGCTTTTCTGACCAGCATTCCCACGTATGGCACCTCGTGCGCCCTCTTCCGTTGGGACCTCGCCCTCGCATCCATGCACACACGCACCTGCAAGCACCAGGCTGAAAGGCTGGCGTGAGCGGTCCAGCCCCAGCTTGGCTACCACCGCCTTGATGGCCCGCAGCAGCTCGCCCACCGCATGGCGCAGCAGCGCATCCGCCACAGAGTCCCCCCGGGAGGCACAGTCCAGCACCAGACGAGCCAGACTGGCCACACCGCTCACCCGCTGATGGATGGACTGGTGACTGCGAGCCCATCTGCAGCGCACCGGGGTCGGGGAGGGGGAGAGTAGCCGGAAGGGGGACGAGGATATTCATATGCGTACCCCAGAGAAGAAAGGTTCAACAGCCGACGTTCAAAGTGGTGACGGAGTTGTGGACGGCGCGTGCAGGACAGGGAGGGGAAGGGGATCCGATGCGTAAAGGGGGTGAACGGAGGCGAGGAGGAGGTTAGCGGCGAAAGGCCCGTTGACAGGATCCAGGCCGAGCATCTCCAGCCGGCCAGCAAACCACATGCGGCCACTGGCTCCGTTCCTTCCACTACCACTCAGCGGACGGAGCCCTACCAACCGCTGCCAGGCGCTGCTGCCCGGAACCTTCGCGGCCCAATTTGACCCGCACGCCCGCATGACGCAACACAGTCCGCTTACATTGGGACAGGCCCCGGGTCTTGGGCCCGCCGTGACCGGTGACGTGGGATTCCGAAGCCAGCGACACGCCGTCAGCGATCCACCAGTGGGCACTTATGCAGGGTGATGGGTTGTACCGTACCCCGCCCAGGCCTACACGCGCAGCTGTGTGCACGCACACAGCCGCTGGCCCCGACCCATATCGGCTTTTGCAGTGAACCCCCCAAAATGCAGTCCTCCTTCCGCCGTCGCAGCTTAGCTCGTGGAGTGCCGCCTTCCGGGCAACAAATACGGCAGTACTGCTTTTGGACCGCGGCAGCTGGTGCGCGTTGTTGCTTACCGGATGAGGTCCTCTGCCCGCTGCGCCCCCAAGTGTCGATATACGGCATTGACTAGAAGTGTGTCAGCACCGCGACCGTCCTGCGCCCGACTGACGGCGGATAGGGCCCGCAGACCCACATCGTAGGCACAGCCTGGAGGTGGTGGGGTCGGAGAGAGGGTTGGGAAAGGGCATCCAGGTGGCCGGGCTGGGTCGTCAGGGTGGGCCAGGGTGGCGCCATTGCCCTGGGCTGGCTTTCTAATGCTGCTGGCTAAGGTTTTGGAGATGAAATTAATCAAGGCTGTGGCATGGGACGTATTGGAGACGTGGTGGACCGGTATCAGGGGGTAGAAATCTTGGGAAAATCAGGTAGCACGGATAAAGGGAAAGAACAGCAAGGGCAAGGGAAGACGCAATATACCTCCGTCGCTGAATACGGGGCCCCATCCAGAGGCAGCGGCGGTGCGGCGATCGGCCACGGCGCCGTAGGCACGGCTGCTGTCGACGCCGGCGACGAGGACACAGCCGAGCAGCGGCCCACCGGTTCCCGACACAAGCGCGATAGCTGCGCTGTTGTACACCAAGACCTGCATAGCGTACAGTATCCAGAGGGTTAAACTTACAGGCATGCTCAAATTAGCGGTGCACCGGAAAGAGTTTGGCGTCTCAAACCTGCACTGATGCCGGCAAGAGCCGTCTGACCGCCGACCGTATGTTCGATTCTGACTCTTCTCCTAAATCCGCGGCCGTTGTTCCTATGCAAACGGCTTTGATGGATTGCCAGGGGTTGGACGCGGGCTGTGTTGCGATGAGTGCAATCAGCGCGTTCAAAGCCGAGTGCAACTCCATTGCAGCCGCATCAGCTTGTGCAGCTGTCATGAGATCCCTGCAATCAAAATAAAAGTAATGTAATGTTCAAGCGCGCTGGTTTTGTTACTTAATTCGCGATAACCCGACCACGACTTGCTCACCAATGATGCTGCGTCTGGCATGTGTGTCGACCAAGCACACTTCGGTCCACATCCACAGCTACACAGGTAATAGAGCCTGGAACAGCCTCTACTCCCACGATAACCATTGCACGCCGCCTAACGCACGCGCTCCGGCGCTCCCTTCTGAGACCTCTTTGGAGAAGGTGCACAAAAATTGGATGTTGTGGTTCACCGCGCCTTCCCTAAATTTCCAGGCCGCCGGCTTGACGCGCCATGGCAGGTTCCTTTTGTTTTCGTTCAGGAAACCCAACCATTGCACATTCCTAACATCCATGCATTTTGATGTAAAATTGATGCACAAAAGCCGGCTGAGCGCAAAGACCCGTTCACCTCTCTCACACTGTCCTGTTTTCCTCATAGGGTACGGTTTCCCAAAAAGCAGTTCTAAGTTGTTGTCTGCTACCTTGTGAGCTACCCAATCAACCCGTCAATGGACTTTGGACACTGTACAAGGATCTGAGAACGTTCTTCGCGCCCCTGTGATCATGTCACTGACGTAAAGGACTAAAGTTTATAACATCTCCTCCTTACATTAATTGTACAGCGCCTTTACAGAACTACGCGGCCAAAAACTCGGTGCTGCCATCACGAGCCCGTACGCCGTGCCTGCTGTACCTTTACTCCACGCTGCCGTATGCCGTATGTAACTGCAGGTAATCAACATGCGGATCGAAAGCTATACTTTCTGGATTAGCTGGCTTAAATGGTTGTGGAACTCGCTCATAATTCGCTCGGAAAGAGAACCCAACCTTCTCAAAACTCATTTGCGTATGCTTCCCTTCCCTTTCCTGTCAATCCATCTTTAAAGTGTGAAGATATAAAGCTATATGCTTATAGCATGCAATATGTACGCGACCCCAGCGTGGATGCAGGTAAGGGGATGATGAAAGATGCGCAGTGACGAATGCCGGTATGGATGCGAGCAACTGCAAAGACATGATAGCGTTGTTGGTTGTATCTTTAATCGATAAGATGGCAGGGAAATCAGGGACTTACACTGAATTGGAAACGCCAATTAAGTTTCTTTCGTTTGACAACGGTTTCTGGTGCTCAAAAGCGTATATGTAAATGCATATCCATATGCTATCGATATTCGTATGAAAAACTATTTCGCTTTCCGGGGTATCGAATTCGCGATACGGCGCTGCCTGTACAGTTCATCGCTCTGCCATTGAGCAAATTTGCAAAGCGAATTTACCACGCATCGTTATCTTCCCTCGCCTTGGATTTCGCATACATGGTGCGAACAATTTGCACAGGCAACCCTTGCGCACGCTGACCTACTCGCTCCTACTCACCACGCCAGCAGTTTCTGACTTTTCCATTTCATTAGTTGCACGACGTAATATGTCAGTCCTTCTTCGACTACTTTTCCTGATTCGTTTTTGGCAGTGATACATTCGGTGCGCGTGAGCTCTGGTGGTAGCTGCAGCCCAAAGCAACGCCTCGGCGGTTATGAGCCCTTCCAAGTAGCCAATGCAGCTAGCATGGCGGTTCCGGCGGCCGTAACTGGTATAAGCGTGCGTGCTGTTGCCTTCTCGGTGGCCCAAATATGCGCGGCCAATCTAGGAGGGAAAGACTTTGGATTTTTCCCGGACTTAAAAGGGCTTTCAGGAAGTAACCGCTTGATTAAACCTTCACAAACCCTTGGTAGCACCATCGACTCGGCAGACACTACCCAAAGACTACCCAAAGACTAGGGTGCATTTCCAGTGCGGATTAAGGGATTAAGGATTAAACCTCTGTCCTCCATCGATACTTGCTCGACCCTTAACCTTTTATCCTCCATCGATACTTGCTCAAACGGCTAAGTTGTTGGCAAACGTACCTCGCCTTTTCAACCTTTGGTTCCCTTATGGAACAAAACTATGTGGTAAGCTCGTACCAAGGACTTCCGTGCCCTAATCCCTGGCCTTAATCCGCACTGGAAATGCGTGCCTATGAAACCCTTGATGGGTCTCCCTTGGGATTCGTGCTACTGCACATATCTTCCGAGGCTCTGTCAACACTGTAAGAGACGCCTTTCGAGAGTCTTCCGACACTTTAAGACATCGTGGGATTTCTCTTTCTTGGCCTTATGCTTAGTCGAGGCTTAGATATTATGCCATCTGGACAGGCAAACTGTGGCTTGTTAAGTTGCCATCGCATCATGTCCTCTTGATGTTCAGCTGCATTATTCTGTCACGTGTTAGTCATTCTAGGACTGCTTTGGACTAAGGATCAAGGTAGACTCGCCGAAGCTTTAACAGCGGTCTTACGTTGGGCAAGCTGTGGCCAGGGCACATGGTTTACATGTTACGGTGACGATGCGACTGACGCGCTGCAAAATGAAGGCCGGCTGTGACATCCCCACGAAAATTTTACTGCATGGGAAGGGATCCCGTCAGGAATAGAATGCTAGGCCCCGTTAGAACAAAAATGTCTAACCACGCAGCACGCAGCATTGCAATAGCAGGACGCCAAGAAACAAGACGACACTACTTCCCGGCAGCCTCGACTGAAACAAGGACATTCGGTTGCACTGCTCAGACAAGATATCCCAGGGCCGACTTGTCATTGTCAGTTCATGTACGAAGTCCTGCCATATACATGCATGACGTGACAAGAGTACGTAGCACGGCAAGATTGGCTTTCATCGCGCCTGGCGCAATGACTGCAAGGCGCATGCCGGCTAACCCTTGCACCCACCGCCGCTCGTACCTCGCCACGAGGTAAATAAAAAAACACGAACAGAAATCGGCATACTGTGCCTCAGGAACGCCGGGATGCAATGGGACCAAATGTTAGCCCCTTCTCCTATATCTTCCCCGGCGTTCCCTTCCAGCCGCCGATGTGGCGGCGGCTGGAAGGGAACGCCGGGGAGGCGCAGAGGCGTCTCCAAGGTTATTCTTACCCGAGTGAACCGAAGCTCCGGCGCTTCTATCCGTTGGCCGAATTACACCGCTGCTTGAGCCCGCGAGCGTTGAGCTTATGCGGCGCTGTGGCGCGCAGCCAGTGCCGACGCACGGCAAGTTCGCCGCTCACAGAGTTAGTTCTGTACTCACAGTTTGCATAACACCATCGCTTCGTTCTCCATGATGCCGCCCTCCCTCCCAGAATGATCGCTCGTTGCCAACCCATGCATTTAATGCTAAACTTGTATCACGCTTTGCACGGTAAGAACACCTAGTTTGTGAAAGGTAACGAGCAGGTACTAAGCCAACCTAAATTTTGCAGCCAAAGTTAACGCAAGCTAATACAATGATGAGCAGAAAGCAGTCGCGGCGCTGCGCGACTGCGCTTGCGCGTCTTAGGCGACCTAGGCGCCGGGTCATGGAGTTGCGGTCGCGACCGGCGCCACCGAACCCTGCGTCCGCAGCAACGCCACGGCCGCATCTAGTCGTGCTGCAAGGTCGCATGCCTTCCGCCGGGCCTGCTGCGCCAGAGATGAGCTCGTCTGGGCATGTTGAAGCGCTGCCTGTAAACGGGTCTGGACGGGCCCAAATACCTCCCAGTGGCTTGCGGCACGCTTGCGTGCTTCAGTTGCGGCCTGCCGGTAGACCAGCCATCGTAGAGGCCACCATATAACCCATTCACCATGCATGATAGGCACCAGGAAGACGAAACAGAGTAAGGTGGCAGTGGGGTTCGAACGTTCGATCGATCGTGTCCTAGGTTCAGCTAGTGGCTTCGAGTCATATCTTCTTCGCTGTGCATTCTCACACAGCTGCACCGTCACTTTAACTTGGCCATGGGGTTGCCCAAGTCAGCTCGCGTACATGTTACAGCTTAAGCGATGGCGGACTGAGGGGACGGTTAAGGATGAGGGTCTGCAGGTCGCCATCGCAGCATATGTTACGGACCCCCTTGCGGAACATGAAACGTGCATGCACAACCTACCTTGGCCGCCAAGTCGCGGGCCTCTAGTGCATGCCGCAGCGAGCGGCTGGTGTCCTCCGAGGCGCTGGCGGCCGAGTCGCCGTTGAGTGGCTGCACCCAGGTGGGCTTACCCTCCGACCACAGCCCCATGAAGCGGCTGCCTGTGGACCGAATCGAGGAGAGTGACAGTAAGGAAGCGGGTAAACAATGCATGGTATGACGCTGTAAGAACATGTGCACGGCTTACACAAAAAGGAGCTCAACACATAGCAACAGGATTGACAAAACTTGGGCGAGTTCCAAGCGGGTGCGAAAGGATAGGATCCACATGGAGGTTACAGTTGGTGACGATGGCGGGTGATTCGGCAAGGGCAGGGTGCAGATATTGGTTGGGGAAGGGCTGTAAGTGCATGCAGCCGCGTTTGAGGTCACACAGCAATGCTGCACGCATGACACGCACCGTTATCGACCGTGTACACGCTCCACCCATGTTTCTTGCCCTGCTGCCACTGGCCCTGATAGCATTGCCCGCTGGCGAAATGGTAGGTACCGAAGCCGTGAGGCAGGTCCTCAAAATACTGCCCCTCGTAACGGTCGCCGTTAGGGAAGGAGTACACGCCATGCCCATGGCGCTTGCCGCGCTGGTAGTCGCCCACGAAGTTGCTGTCGTCCGTACACTGCAGGGGACCGCCGGGTGGGTTTGGAGGGAGTGGGGATCCGATGCCGCCTGCTCCCACCTGAGTTTGAAGCTCGTGGAGGAGGCGCTGCGTGAGGACGCCTACCTTGCTGACGTAGCGGGACTGCACTACCACACGAGCCCGGAGGGGCTGGCGGGTGTGTGTGTGTGGGGGGGTGCATACCGAGGCCAGGTAGTTCCTTTCTCCCAGCATATCGCATCTTTGGCGGCTCAATCTTCACATGGATAAAAAGCGCCGTGGCTAAGTGCTTCAACCTTACAGGTGCAATGTGAAGTCGCGCCTCGGCAGGAGGCTTCTTAATGGCCAATTATTACACGCTCATGCCCGAGATCCGACCTCAGGGCCTGGAACTGACTAGCCCCTAACGAAGGTGTGAATAATTCACGACAACCACGATGCCATATGTTGGCCTGTTTGGTCAAGCCGCTCGCGAGCTGGTGCCAAATCCCGGCGCCAGCTCCAATATCCCATCACCATCTACCTCCTACCTTGACGGACCCTCAGCTTCCCGCATACCGCAAGCCACAGGGCATTTCCAACCCGCAGCTGCACCCACTCACCCAGGTCCCCAGCTGCCCGGCGCACCTGCTGCATGCCGCTGCCGTCCCGAAGGCCCTTCACCCACTGGCCCTCGTAGTAATCGCCGTTGTAGAAGCGGCACACGCCCCAGCCGTTGCGCAACCCACCCATGTATTCGCCATGGTAGGTGGAGCCCTTGGCAAAGGTCTCAGCGCCCGTGCCATTATATACGGCGTTGCGCCACTGCCCCTCGTAACGCCCCTCGTGGCTGTGGGCAAAAGGAAAGAGCAGAAGCGGGAGGGGCCAAGGTCAGGGCATAACGGAGGTGCGGACTTTTACGGTGAGGTTGCTTCGACCGCATGGTTGTGGTCCAGAAATTACGGAGAAGTAGTTTTGTGTTTTGAGGCTATATGGGCCCAGCAGAAGGGCGGCAAACGGTTCGCGCGAGAGTGGTTGATGCTGGCATGAGCACATAATTTGCAGACGGCAATCACCTTGCAACTAGCTTTGCTTTATGAAAAGTATCGGCCCAACGAAAATGCAGCCCGTGCAACAATACCTCCTTCTCCTTATGCCCTGATTTGCCTAATCATATTCCACCCCTGACTCCTTCCCTCTCTTATGTTGGGGGCCCTTTTCCTTACGCAAGTCCGCACGTCCTCGGCCTCACCTAAACGTGTACACACCACATCCGTCCATCCGGTCGTCTCGGAACTCCCCTTCGTAAACGTCCGCGTTGATGAAGTGGTACACGCCCTCGCCGTTCTTCTTGTTGTGCACATACCGGCCCTGTGTTAGTGGAAACGTGTTGCAGTTTCGTGCCTCATTCCAATGCGAAGTCAGGCAGATGATGTGCCCTTAGTCAGAGCACACCGGCTTCCAAAACCAGCCCTCAGTGATACCCAGTGCAAACTTTCGGTGTGACGAGGCGCAAGGTGGCCAGGCCAAGGAAAAAGCAATGGACCCTAACGTGATCCAAGCGCCATGCATCACACGCTGTGCAAGGTCCAGGGGAAAGGACTCCCCTGGACCTTGCACAGTGTGTGATTCATGCCTGATCGTGGACTTTCTTATTGGAGACTGCATTCCGGGGGGCGATACCGTCAATGCTCACACGCTATCCCTTCCCAACCCGTCATGCATAAGAACCCTAAAAGGCGGCACACCTTGTAGATGTCGCCATTGCGCAGCTGCTTCAGTTGGTACTCGCCTAACTTGAACACACGCGCCTTGCGGCCGCTCCCAGTGCTGACGCCGCCCGCGGATCCGTCGCCACCGCCATTTGAGCCCCCTTCGTTGCCGCTCGCAACACCGGTATGCCGGAAATACGTGGCTGCCAGAGCCGCGAGCTCCCTTTGGGGAGGGTAACAGGCATGAGGTTTGGCGCCGACAGAGGTTGGGAATACTCGCCTGGCTTTCAGTTGCTACACCGTGCCGATCGGGGCTCACCAAAAGCTCGGTGCGACACCCATGCCGTGAGGAGTTACGCCCTTTAATGTGCATCACGTGAATGAGTCTAAAATGAATAAGAAAACATGTTCCAGAGACGTCCATTGTTTCTTATCCGTGCCATCGCACCGCCTTGGCCCGCCTGACCCACCGCAGCGCTGCATACCCTAGCAGCCTGTTGCAAACCCAATTTGTCCTGCACTCACTTATGGATGTCCTGAACCAACGCGAACTGTGCCATGCCCACGGCCTTTAGGTGGTTATCCAGCTGGGTGGTACTGCACAGCTTGCGCTGCTCGTCTGTGAGATGGCGGTGTGGAGCCCCATCCGTGCGAGGACTGATGGGGCCGCCAACGCTACCGTCCTCATCCCGCCACATTTTCAACGTCTCCTCCGCTCGCCGGCAGAGCGCCTCAAGCCGAGTCTTGTACGAGTTCGCACGCTGTGTAGGAGTGCGGCAGGTTGAGTCGTTGCTGGGGTCGAAATCTTGTTTCTCAGGAAGGCACAACAGTGTTCGTGGAACGAATACAGTGCAGAATAGGATAGGATGGGGTGATCGGGCGGAGGGCCCGTGCAGGTCACGGATGGGGTTATACAGACCCGTGGAATTTCATTGGCCACATAAACTAGCCACCAAAGACATACAGTCAATAGGGAGCGGGGCTCGCTGCAGGATTGCAGTCCTCAATCTCACCATTAACGCCGACAGCGATGCCGCTCACCTCGAGGAGGAAAGCTGCCTCTGCCTGATAGTTACGATGGCCCGTCGTGCCTCCGTTCACCGGCGATCCTGCCCTGGATCCTGGCCTGGACGTGCTTGGAGAAGCCGGGCGGCTCCTCGCCTGCTGCTGAATTTGCTCCTGCGTGTGCGTCGCCTGGCTGTACGTTTGGACGTCATTCAGCAGCAGTGTGGTGTGCTCAAGCAGCGTTTGTAGGGCATCCTGCAGGCTGCGAGCCTTACCACACAACGCCGGCGAGTAACGGGGGCCTGCACTGACAGCACCCGGCGCGGACTCTGCAAGCAAGGCGGAATAAGATCCAAGAGATTTGTCAATCCCCTGGAGTGCCGCTGCGCAGACGTCCAACGCGGCGGCCATGTCACGGAGGCAGGGCGGTGAGGCCAGGCGCGTGCGGATGGCGGGTGACGCCAGTAGCGCCGCAATGTCCGCAGGCAGCATGGCTGGGGAGTAGCGCCAGCGGTGGCCGGAGTGTGGCGATGGAGACGCTGCCGCCGACTCCGTGGCGGAGGAAGACCCCACGGGTGACGCGTCTCTGATGGGCATTGTCGACTGTCCACTGAACTGTTGTTCCTCACATCCCAGCAGCGGCACTCCGGGAGCGTGCCCAACTATGGCAAATGATGCCGTGGCGGCGGCACGCGCGAAGGCGTTCGGCATAGCCACTGAGGCTTGCTGCGGCACGCCAGCTTCCAAGATCTCGTCACCAAAGTCCTCTTCCTGCGTCCGCCGTCGTAGCCGCGAGGGTGACCTTGGAACACTACCATCAACGCTCCGCCTGCCATCAAAGCTACGTCTGCTATCAGGAGTGCGTTTGCCGTCACCGCTGCGACCGCCAGTGTTGTAATCGCCATAGCCATCACCCCGATACGAAGACTCCGGCCTTGGCGACTTGCGGTCGCCTATCCCGGACTCATACCCATAGAGCGAACCCGTCGGTGACATCGTTGTCCTGGGCGATAAAGGAATTCCTTGTCCGGAGGGAATGCCCGAACGCTGCCGTCCGAAGCTGAAGTTTTCGGACCCCAATCCGTGGGAAATCAACTCCGACGGCGACGGACTGACCACACTCCTGCGGACGCACAGCAAGGGGTGGACAACGAAGGATCGGTTACAAAACCGACGAGCAAAGACATAGCCACGAGTCATTATAGACGAGGAAGTACGTGAATACGGAGGAGTCAGGAAACTCGTGCACAGAATGCAACAAGCCAAACCAAGGTGTGCGAGCCCGAGGCGTGAACACCCCTGCCAGTGCTCATGGACCAGGGACTGGTGAGAAATGCAGTGGCTTGGGGATAACCTCAGCTACAGTGAGGCCGCAGAGGTGCCCCCAGGCGGGCACCAGATCACCACACGTAACTCCCCGACCAGACAGATCGTAATCTCGGACAACAAGGCGGAGCCCGAAAACGCAGCAACGTCGTGCAGAACCTCTCCACCAGCATCCCATCCATCCCATGAGCCACAGCTCGTCAGTCTCTGCATGGGGCCCAGCCGCCCCCGCGCCCGCAAGGCACTCACCCCGACGGGCTGTCACCCATGATGTCCTCGTACTGCTGACCGTAATCCCGCTGCTCCAACCGCGGCGGCGCCACCTCAGTGCCCACATCGGTCATAAACCGATACTCCTCCTCGGGAAAGTCCGTTTGCGTGCACCTATGAGACATCATGATCTGTGTAGAACGGACCGTGAGGGCGGGACGTAGGGGTTGGTACGGCAGGGTGCACGGCGTTGCAGGGTTGCCTGTGCAGTCCTTGGAACCAAGCCTGACGAATGAAAGCATGCAACTGGGGATTTCGAGGGTTGATGGGAAGGCAGTACAGTGTTGAAACAGATTCATCACAAGGCCGTCCTATTCGACTACGTGAACCATAGACCCCTCTACCAGTCTAGAGCGAGCCCGCAGGAAGAACGTGGTTTAAGTGCTTGTCGATGCATGCCGACGCAAATACTGCCCACGACCCGTCCCAAAAGCGGATGTTGCAGCATATCCGCCCTTCACAGCCAGCCAGCTGCCCAGCCTCATATGAAGCATGCTCACACACCTAAAACACACGTCCATGCCTGCGTCAAAGTCCATGAATGCAGACGTCCTAGCTGGAAGCACGTCCCAGCACCCATACCTAACCTCCGACCCACATAACTGCTCACATATGCCCAGCCGAACACACACCCGCCCCTTCAGCCAGTCCGTCAACCCACCCGCTTACGCAGTTCCCCGCCACTGGAGCCTGGGCTTAGACGGGGGCTGCGCCGTTCATAGTGCTCCGGCGGCACTGCCAGGCTCTCCTTGTAGCGGCTGGTCACGTTTAGGTAGGGTGGCGTACGCCTGCCGCCGCTGCTCTTGCTGCCCGTGCCCGGCGTGACGCTCACCGACCTGTTTCCCCTGACCCTACACGCATTGATCAAGCGCGTACGTAAGCGAGAAGGAGAGAGGGGTATTCCATAAATCCCCTCTTTCTGTGGCAGCGGGGCCATCCACCTCGCCCGACTAGTTTCAGAACCATCCAACGTGCATGCAACGCGGACCATGACGCCTGTCAGGTTCTATTGCAAACCTTCTGGGGACGCCTGCGCTGGTCTCCAGCGCTAGCCTGCTCAATGATTAGTCAGTCACAGAATGCGACGCATTCAACATGCCCGGTCAGTTGCAGCTCCGAACTCCTCCTCCCATTTCCCCTTCCTTGTGTTGTTATTAGGTAGGATGGTCACCGAAGGGCGCTTACTTCATTGGCTACTCCCCAAGGATGCCACACTACAGCAGTTCCTTACCTGCCAGCCTCATGACTCAGCGGCGTTGTTCCACCGTAGTTTCCGCTCGTACGCACTGCAGCAGAAGGACCGCCGTTGTCAGGCCAATAGAGTTGTGCAGGGGCTCCCGCGAAACGCAGCTTTATTGGGGATGCAAATGGGTTGCTGCCAACCTGCACGCGCGGGGATTCTAAAGGGCACCACCCTACAGAGCCCAAGCCCAACGGCACGCACCGCCACACGCACAGTACCCCAAACGTACCTAGGCGGCTTAGGTTTTCACGCACTAACCCAAGCCCCTCCAACCAACACCCCCAGTCTCACGGTCTATGCGTGTGAACTCGAAGGCACTGGTCTGTAGGCAGGCTGGCAGAGGGATGTTGACCGTCCCGCCCTTGATGGACTGCTGCCGCCGGTGGTTCGGGCTGTACCCAGACACCCTAGGCGCGCCTGCACGCGCACCGTGGGATGGCGGAAGGGCAAGGCGCATGAGATTGCTTTTGCTTGAGCCGAAAGACCCCGACTGATGGATGCGTAGAGGTTGTCAAGTGGGCCAACGAGCAGTGCAACTGTCGTTGTGTAGTAGTGAAAGGGGGGATGCCATCCTCAGGACCTGATATGGCCTGCCCAGCTGGTTAGGCTATTGAGAGGCACCCTCTGGAAATGCCCTGGCACCGCCACAAAACTGGTCCAGTCTCCGACCCCGTGTACTTACCCTTAAAGCTTTTGTAAAGCCACTGCGCAAACTCCATGAGATCAGGTGGTGATGCCTGGCTGAGCTTGGACACATTCAGCTCCTGCGCACTCAGTTGGAGCAGCGGTGAGGACTCAATGGTGTCGGTCCATTTTGGTTTCATGTGGTCATTCCCCAGAGGAAACGCAAGGGCGAGGTCACATACATGCATAAATACAGGCGGCTGGCAGAGGTTAAGGCCTGACTTCTGCTCCCGGAGTGTCCGGATTCAAATCCGCCTCGGGTGTTTGAGAAGTGTTGAAATGGGAGATGGCCCCCCATCTTGTGGACGGTGTAGGACGTGATTATATCAACTTTCGAGCTGGCCAGGAACTAAGTTGAGGCGCCGTTGATCCGCTAGATTAGGTTGGATGCTGGTGGTGAGTTGCTGAACCCAACGAATACACTTTGAAGTCGGATGGGGTGAATGGATTACAGTGCCCCTCTCGCAGGGGAGAGCAGGGAACTGCATCGGGAAAGGGGGCCGCTGGCGAAGCTATACCATCCTAGTAGCCAACATACATACATACATACATACATACGTGTACATCGTGTAGTCCCTGGGGCCCATACCCTGCCCACCATAACCGACCCAGCAGCCGAGTGCTCCTGACCCAGTCGCGGGCCTATATAGACGTGACCTGGAACCATAAAGCCTGCCCAGGGCATCGGGGGCTTCGCTCCTGACGAACCCCCGCATCTTCTAAATGATTGCGCTCTAAACTGCTTACCTTGGTGAAGCCTAGCGCGTTGAATGCTGCCTGCAGTACTTTATAGTTCGGAATGATCTCATATTCCTCTCGCGCAAAGAAGTTCACTTTGCGAATGGCAACAACATCCGCATAGAAGGCTGGCCGAGAGGGGGGGGGGTGTCAGGGGACAAAGGACCTTAGTGAGGCAGCCCTGACCAACGCAGGGCGCGCTATCAACACAACTATCTTCCCTGCTACTTGATCACAGGATTCAAGCTAAGTATATCTATTCCCCGTGTTACGTGCCGGTTTCGCTCCCTTACCATCCAATATCTGACAATAGATAGCGCCTGACGTGAGCTGCAGTTATTGCAAAATGCACGTAAGAAAACGCTGTGTTGCTGTGGTCGTATCGCCGCTAGGGTCACAAGACTTTGCACCTGTTCAAGACGTGTCAAATTGAGCTCCAGCAGATGGTTGATCCAGTCGAGCAGCTCAGTTTTGCCAGCATAATACTCTAAGCCCTGATCAATCACAAAGTTAGGAGCCGAACTCAAGACTGGTGACAGCGCCATCGTCTTTGACCATAGGCAAACATCAGCTATAGGGATTGTGAAATCTCATTTCTGCAACACTATTTTTTGGTTTTTCAGCCATTGACTTGACATGACTGGGAGCGTTGGTGGGACAGCCTAAATGAGGTTCAATTCACGGCACACGGATAATCGACGACAGACAAGGTCCTTGCCGGAAAAAGGATTTGCACATACGCATACACATACACATCTTTCCTCTCGTTTAGTGTTTTCTCTTTGGTTCGCCTGCGAGGCTGGATAATAGCAATACCTTGCACCTCCGTGGGGTTTGTCCTGATGCATGCTATGTCTTCTGATGTTTAGCTTCTTTTGCCATCGGTGTGCATAGGGCAATTCGATAGATACAATGATCGTGGATGCATTCTCCCGACGGGCGGCTCCGGCTTGCAGTCTGGGCAGCCCTTGCCGCACACCTAGAGTAATTGTTAGCAATCGTCCATGGATGCCCTTTCTGCACCTGCCGGTGCTTTCCTTGGCGCCACGACGGGGCCGTGGCGACTCCTCTGTGGCAGGTAGGCCTTGGAAGCACACCCAGAAAGCCACCTAAACATCAAGCTGACGAGTGGATGCACTTGGTGAACAATGCAGGCGTTGGTGTCCCGGAACAAGGGGTAAGCCTATCTGCAAGGACTGGATAACCCTGGGACGGCAAAGAAGCGATGTCAGCTTTTACTTCGTCTCCTTTTCGTTCCCACTAAGTGGAGAATTGATCTAATTGCATCGCAGGTTTTTACCACTGGGAATGCAAGCGAGGATACACTGGTGCGTAGGCGCGCGTTGGTTTACAGGCCCTTGCCACAACACCCTTTCAGCTGACGCTTACTCAATTCGCCTCCACCCCCGTTCTACTATTCTTGCATTTTCATTTTGATGTTATGCATTCCATGTTGAGCCTTGTCCCGTCTGTTCTTTCGCGCAGGAGCTCGCTGCGACGAAGAAAAACCTGCGCGAGGCGTTAGATAAGATCGACCTGCTTACGCAGCAGGTCGGTATAGTTGAGGAGCTGCAGCTGCAAATGGTAGAACAGGACGAGCTCATCGCCGAGCTCGAACAGCTTATCGAAAGCGACAAACGCAAGCAGGTGCGCTCCTACACTACACGCATCAACAGCATTTCCAAACATTCCTGTTATCCACAACCCATACACCAAGTACCCATTCCAGGTTTTTCCCTGACCGTTGTCCTTCCCTTTCACCTTCCCCTCGTCACAGGACAAAGAGCGGGAGGCCCTGACTGCCCAGGTCGCAGCCGCGCAGGAACGCCTCGCAGCGACATCTGTGGAGCTGGAGGAAGCCCGCAGCCGCCTCAGCGCCTTGCCAGCCATCGAGCAGCTTCAGGCAGAGGTGGCTCGCCTGCAGGACGCGGAGTCCAAGCTGGTGGCCGCCCAGGCACAGGTAGCACGGCTGTCGGAGCTAGAAGCGTTGCAGGAGCATCAGAAGCTCCTGCAGGAGCAGCTGCAGGAGCAGCGTGACAGCCGGGCGACATTGGTGCAGGACCTGAACGCTGCACAGGAGCAGCTGCTGGCGGCACAGGCGGCGGCAGCGGCGGCACGGCAGGAGGCGCAGGTGAGTGGGGTCTGGACCCCAAGAGCCCTTGGCTGGGGCCAGAGCGCCAAGCTGATGACTTGAGCCGTGGGAGGGGAAACGCTTACCAAGATGTGGGGGGGCCTGTGGGTGACGCAGAATGTTGGCTGGGTATGCTTGCCTGAAGTGCTGGGAGAACGGCACGCGGGCGACAAGCCCCAGGGTCTGCATCCAGGCATCTGCGGGTGCAGGGCACCCAGCACGGCGCAGAAAAGCATGTGTTGTGGTCGATACCATGCGCTTTTGCTGCCGCCGATGCTCGGCTCTGCTGCCACCTCGCCTTCCGACGATCGTGCCGCAAATGCTAGGTGTGGGCTGGGTACCTCGTCCTGCCCCGGCGGGCACCCATTGGCCATGGCGTCAGCACATCCCTGACATCGGCACACGTAGCAGAGCGCGGGTCGTGGGAAGTCCTATCCTCGCTGCAAAGGCGTCTGGGCCGGGGGAGGAACGGGGGGTTGGGGTTGAACCAACAACTACCCGCAAGGAGTGAAAACCAATACATGAATCTGACGGAAACAGTCCAAACCGCAGAATGGTCAAACTGCAGAAGGGGGTTATTTTATGGCGGCCCCTCGCGTCCGGATGGGGCGCCAGGGTGGTCCACCTACACAGCCTGGAAAGGGACATGGCGGCCAGCGGGCAGGGGGTGCGGCCAGGCTGACATCGGCAGCAGCAGTCCCTGGATAGGATTGAGCTGGGTGTGAGGGCGTGACGCTGGCTCGAGGGGCGCGGGATCTTAGCGCCCATGTTTGGCTGATGGCATCGCTGCCTTCCGGCAAACGACTTGGGCACCACACAGTGCACCACACACTCACATCATACGACATAGCTCGACACGGATGACGTTGGAGGGCTCCGAGCATCTCCACATGCAGGCATCAGCATCGCCCTCCGACTGTCCGTTGCAGCTCAGTGCAGCGCAGCATCCCGGTTGATGTGATATGAACAGTGCTTGCATTCCCGCACGCGGATGCCGTCCGTCCTTGAACCCAAGGGTGGGCGCATGTATCACTCTTAACGGAAGGACGGGGTTCGTATTTATGCTTCTCTTCATTTCTCAGGCTCTCGTGCCCTCCTGGCGTGCAGGAGGCCCAGGAGGCCCTGGCTCGCAAGGTGGAGGAGCTGGCGGCCATTGAGGCGGATGTGGAGGCCATGCGGAAGACCATGAGCAAGGGCGGCAAGAAGGGGAGGCCACCCAAGGTGCCCCCGCCGCGGGGCGGCGGCAGCAAGGGCTTTGCGTCGCCCCCGCCGCCCCCGCCGCCACCCCCAGTTGCAGATAACCACCTACGACAAGAGCTCAAGCAAGCGCAGGTGAGAGCCTGGGGTAAGGACGGGAAAAAAGGTGTGAACCTGCGAACCCTTGGAGGGGGGCACTCCAGAATGGAAAGGTAGAGGCTAGCTGGTCCCGGGAGAAGAGGTGGATAGCACGCGGGTGAAAAGTATTTGCCTGGCTGGGGTCGATTGGAGTGCCGCGACGGGGATGGAGGGCGGCGAGGTCGGGCAAGGTGGGGTGGGGTGGGGTTCCTCACTCCTTCCTTGTTGCTTGTTCCCCTCGCGCCTGGCACCCGTATTCCCACCACCCCTACCTACACCTCCTCCACTCAGACTGAGCTGGAGCAGCTTCAGGGCACTCTGGAAGAGCGTGAGGCCCAGCTGCAGGCTGCTCAGAGCGCAGTGGAGTTCCTGACCAGCCAGTGCAAGGAGCAGGTAGGGGCGGAGGGGGACCGGGCGGGACGACCGGTTAGCTTAGTAGTGGTGTCGGGGGAAGGGGTCAGATTTGGGTTTTCCGGCAAGAGAGAAAAAAAGGGGAAAGAGAGAGAGAGCGCGCAGTGACGGGGAAGAAAGGGATGGTAACCCGCCTCCTCTTTCTCCCTGTCAGCCGGCCAACCTACCTACTTGCTGTATTACGTACCTACCTGTTTATCTGTCTATTACACCCGCACGCCACCCTTCAGGAGCTCCAGCTGAATGCGCTCCAGGCCAAGCTGGATGAGACCAGCTCCGAGCTGCAATCCCGACTGGCGGCCGAGGTGCAGCTGCAGCAGCAGGTGGAGGGGCTGACCGTGAAGCTCAGGGCGGAGGCAAATGACAAGGCCACATCAGTGGCAGTTCTGACACAGCAGGTGGGCCGGTATGGGGCTGGGTAGGTGGGTGGGCGGCCAGGGAAAATGTATGGGGTGGGGTGGGGGGGATTCTCGGGGATGAGGAGACCGGGACAGTGGTGCAAGTTGAGCAGTTGTGTAAATGATAAGGTTTTTCGAAGCTGTCTTGGGTCCCCCAGGCGGCGGAGCCAAAGCTGGCAGCCCCGGAATTGCGTGGCTGCGGTTATGCAGGGTGTGCGTGAAACGTCTAAAAGTACGACATTGCACGGAAGGACGGGCTTGCTCCTTCCTGCTGACCATCTAGGGTTTTAGGGCTTCTAGGGTTTTAGGGTTCCTGACCATCTTCTAGAGGGTGGCGGGGGGGGTTGAGAGGAGGAAGCGGGGTTTGGTTGGAGGGGAAACTCCTGGGTGCCTAATCCGAGGCAGGTGAAAAACTGAGATGGGATAACCTACTATGGACTGGAGCCGTGTGCGCATGTTGTGACGGCTGCAGGATCTGATCCGCCGGAAGAAGCGGGATCCAGAGGACCTTGCTTGTCTTTCCCCCCTCCCGGCCTGGACCCCACCACCAGCACAACAATGACCTAGATCCCACCACCGTAATTTCCACCCCGCCATCCTGCCTGTATGATCTTCCCCCTCCCCTCCCCTCCCTTCCCACTCCATCACCTTCAATCGTGTGTGGTTCGTCTTTCCCTCCCCTCCCCTCCCCCGCCCTTTCAGTTGGAGTCTCAATCCCGGGAACGGGCCGCCCTGGCCGCCGAGCGGGACTCCTTGCTGGCGGAGGTGGCGGGTCTGCGCGGCAGTGTGGGGGAGCTGGAGGAGCGGAGGCGGCTGCAGGATGTGGCGCTGGGGGAGCTGGACGTGTCGCTGCAGGAGCTCAGGACAGAGGTACAGCTGCTGGGGGGAGGAGATGCCCGTCAGGGCGGGCTTACTGGGCAAGGGAGTGACTGTGTACAAGGGAGACGCGAGTTGGGTTGCAATGAAGAGAGTTTAAGGGGTGGAGGGGAGTTGGTTCCTTACCTGTCGCATCATCATCATCATCATTATCATCATCATCATCATAATCGTCAGAATTTTGATTATCGATCTACCCACCCCATCACCACCACCACCGCCGCCACCGCCGCCACCTCCCCGCTTCCTCTTTGCCGGACTCCGCGTCCCACCGCCTGACCCCAGGTTGAGACCGCTCAGCAGCTCAAGGTGGATCTGGCCATCCTGGCTGAGGCCTTCAGCGCCAAGGAGGGAGAGCTGGAGGCGGCTCACAGCAGGTTGGCAGCTGCGGAGGGCCGAGAGGAGGACCTCAGAAGGCAGGTGCAGCAGGCGGAGAGCAGCCTCAGAAGCCTCACGGTAGGCTGAATGGGAGGGTGCAGGGGGGGTGGAGGTGTGGAGGTGTGTGTGTACGCGTGTGTGTGTTTGTGTACTTGGGGACCGCGCGCGTTGCGTTGGTGGTGATGATGGGTATGGTGGTAATTTCTTTGATAACATGTGGGGGGTTGATAGCAATGTGAGTCGTGTGTAATGCCTTGCATGTTGCTAACTTGGCGGCACTAATGCCAATGCTGCTCCCGGCCCCTCCCCCTGCGCCCCTGCCCCAGGTGATGCTTTCGGAGCTGCAGTCCACAAACACGGAGCTGGCTGAGCGGTTCGAGGCGCTGGAGGCGTCCTTCAGGTCCACCAGCGAGCAGAGGGCGGATGCGGAGGCTCGGGCCGCGGAGACAGTCCGGCAGCTGGGGGAGGTGCGGGAGCAGGCGGCAGTGCTCAGAGAGCAGCTCAGTGCCAAGAACAAGGTGCGTGTGGGTGTTGGACGAGGGGGTGTGTGGGGTGGGGTGCTTTGTGTGCAGCCGAACGCCGTGGGAAGGGAGGGGGAGGGAAGGGGGGGAACCCGGCTACCCTTTTTTTTCCGTGACGAACGGACAGCTTCCTCGCATATGCCTTTGGGCTTCCTCCGGCAGCTTGGTGCTTTGAACTTCGATTGAATGTTGATGCTTTTCGCTCCCGCCTGAGTATTCGTGGGTGATCACCATCGTGATATGGGTCCCCGTTGATTTCCTCCTTATCGTTCCCCGCCCCGTTCCCACCACGCGCTCAGGCACTAGCTGAGACCGCTCAGGCCCTGGCCGAGGCCCAGGCTGCGGAGGCCAGTCAGCGCACGGCGGCGCAGACCCTCAGTGAGAGGCTGGCGGCGGAGCAGGCGGCCGTCATCAAACAGACCCGGGACGTGGAGATGTTCAGAGAGCAGGTGGTGGTGCTCAATGAACAGGTGGGTAAAGACGGCTGGGGACGGAGGGAGAGAGGGGGTTGTGGAGGAGGAGGTTGAGGGGGCAGGCGAGTGCAGCGGGTGATGCATGTATGTACGTATGTATGTATGTGTGTGTATGTATGTGTGTGTATGTATGTATGTATGTATGTATGTATGTATGTATGTATGTATGTATGTATGTATGTATGTATGTATGTAAAGCCCTGGTTCTATCTGACATGCCCTACCGGTGGTGCCCATCTTTAAGAAAACACAGACACCCGTCCGGCAAGAGTTACTCGTGTGCCAACAGCACCAGCTCCCCCCGGGCCACGGACTACTAAAAGTCACACATACGCGCACACGCGCACACAACCGTACCGCCGTATGGCCGTCCACAGTTCCCCCAAAACGGATTTCAATGTTTACTTGCAGATCGCTTACTTGTCAGGTTCCGAGAGCAGCGTGAAGAAGCTCCAGGAGGCCCTGCGGCGCTCCGATGGGGAGCTGGCGGAGCTCCGGAACCAGCTGGCGGAGGCGCAGCGGCAGGTGGCGGAGGCGGACAGCAGCACGGAGGCGGCGGACAAGGTGAAGGATGGGGGGAGAGGAGGAGACGGGGCGGGGCCGGGCCGGGATTTTAATCTGTCATGGTTTTGTGGACGACGCGGCGCCGCTAGCACCCCCTTGTAGCGCCTCACCTCACCACCACGAGGGTATCTTGTGTTGCCCGTGTGCGGTTCTGCCGGTTGAACGTAAGGCCACACCCGCGCGAGCCTTTCTCTTTCCCTCTTTCCCGCACGAGCCTCTCTGCTTAGGGCCCACGCGGTGGTAGCGCCCCACCCATAGCCTACTATTTCTCCCTGCCCGGTGGGCTTGCTAATCCTCTCTTTAGATGAATACACAACCTGCCCACCCCAAACCCAAACTCCGTCCTCCTCAATCCCCCATGTATCCCGGGTGATGCGCATGTACGACGACACGTGCGACGTGTACTACAGGCCACGGAACGGCTCCAACGGGAGCTGGCGGCCGCCACTGCTGCCCTGACGGAGCGCGAGTCGGCGCTGGCGCTGGCTCGTCGCGCCGCGGAGGCGACGGAGCTGGAGCTTCGCACCGCCCGGCGTCAGACGGAGGCGGCGGCGACGGAGGTGGCGGGCATGCGTGCGCAGGTGGCGGCGCTGGTGAGCGAGCTGACGGCTGTACGGCAGGACCGTGACGCAGCGTCACGTGCGGAGTTTGAGTCGTTGCGGCAGGTACAGGCGGAGTTGGCGGCGGAGGCCGCAGCCACGTTGGAGCTGCTGAACAAGGCGGAGAGCCTGGTGCTGGCGGCCTCAGGTGCTTGGGGCTGGACATGGTTGCTTTGGGGGGGGTGCAGCCCGGGTTTGTGTGTGTGTGGGGGGAAGTGGATGGTGGGGTGGGGCAACGTACATACTATGTATGTATGTGTATCTGTGTGCTTTTAGGACTGCGCCGCGAGTAGGACGTTTGTGTGTGCGTGCGTGTGTTTCGGCTTGCCCCGCCTTACCCCTCCTCCCTGCCCTTTGCCGCCCTTGCAGAGCAAACCTCCATGTCCAGCGCTGTGGACGTCAACGCATTGCTGCAGAAGGCGCAGAATGTGAGAGGCGGAGGGGTGTGTGGAGCCGTATGGGTCCCTCTCCTAGAGGTGTCTCATTTTCGTCGGCATGGCTGTTAGCTGGTCATTTCCGTCATCCCCATCCCCTTTGCATCCTGGCGCTTCCTCCCTCCTGCCCCTCTCCGCCATCCACCGCGCCGAGCCTCTCGGAAGTTACGGACAGCTGCGTCAGCGCTTGGGACGCGGGCGGCAGTTGTCTACCTGCATCACATGAACCAACCCTGTCCCAATTCCTCCCTCCATTGCCCCCTCCTCCTTCCCTTCCCCCCCCCCACACATACACACACAACCCCGCACACGCACTGTCAGGATCTGGATGTGCAGACGGAGCTTTGGGAGGCTGAGAGGCAGCGGTCAGCCTCCCTGGAGAGGGAGGTCACCGCGCTGTCCGAGCAGCTCCGAAACACGGCACTGGGCAGGAGGGTTGGCGGTGCGGTGGGGGGAGGAGACGAGGTGGGCAGCGGCAGCGGGGCCAGCATGGCGGGCACGCTGACGGCGGCGTTCCTCAACGCGCGCGGTGTTGGTGTTGGCGGTGGCAACAACATGCGGGAAATGGAGGCGGCAAATGTTAAGCTTCTGGAGGAGCTGAACGCGGCCCGGGACAGCGCGTTATCGGCGAAGTCGGAGGCCGAGGCCCTGCAGTAAGTCGTACGGGTCGTACGAGCATGTAGTACAGCCGTCGCAGTACAAATCGTATGGCACTCAAGACAATCGCGAAGAGCAAGGCCGGAGGTCAACTTCGTGTCTCAGGATTAGACTTGACGCTCACGTGGCTTTTGACACAACGTCGAAGCAACGGAGGCGAATAGCCTGGAACTTGAGAGGGGTACCCTGGAGGGGCGTAGCGCCCCGTACCTCACTCCGACCTATCCCAATCCCACTTCCACCTACCCCGGTCTTATCCTTGTGCCATATCTTTTCGAGCCACCGCGTTTTTTTCGTTCTTAGGTCGCGAGCCTGAATGATTCCACCGCATTCGCGTGTTTAGTTTCCGACGAAGCTCACCTCGCTCTGGTCGGGTCGGCCCTCCCAGGACCCGGGTTCAATTCCTGGAGCGGGAGCTTCGTTCTCGCGATGCGCTGATCACTGAGCTACGCAGCAGTGGGGTGCCGCGGGGCAGCCGGCAGGCCGACGCCCTGGTGCAGCAGCTCAAGTCGTTGCAGGTGGGAGGGGTGGTTGGCAGGTTTGACTTGGGGACTTTGGGATGTAACCTGAACCTAGGTGGCCGCGCCTAGCCATCTGGGAGTAGTCCAGTTGAAAACCTTTTAAACTCTGTGCCGCCTCTGTTCTACCCCGTCCTTGTCCGTCCCTGTCCCTTCTTCCCAACCTGGCCCGGTCGTGGCCTGGTCCTCGCACTCCTACCCGCAGGAGGAGAACACGAAGCTCAAGCAGGCAGCTGCGCGCCAGCAGCAACTGCTCAACCAGACGAAGAGGTTTTTCGAGAAGAAGATCAACCCCAACAACAGCACAGATCTCACGATGCTGACGGCGGGGGCGGGCTCCGGCGGGGGCTCGCCTTCGCGGGTCAGCTCGGGGGGCAGTGGGGCCAGCGGCCCTGGCAGCATTGGGGTTTGAAGGGTCGCGGAGAAGTTGCACGGGAAGGAGGGGTTGGAGTCGGGGTGGTGGAAGCTTTTAGGCGGAAAGGCTGTATAAGGTTGTAGGAATGATTTTTAGATTTACTAGCGGTGGAAGAGGAAGTTGGAGGGGATTGGAGTTTTGAGGAGGGGGACGGGGGGTAGGGTGGCCAGGTGCTTTGCTTAAGGGACGGCGGCATAGCTGTGGGGTAAGTGCGGTAGTGCGGAATGAAAGAAGCGGGAGGGGGAGCCTGGTGACAGAGAAACGGGGGGAAAGAGAGAGCTTTAGTGTGTGGGGCAAATGTGGGGGCGGTTGTACATGGCGTGCATGAGCAAAAGTATTGGGGGGTTACGTTGGGTGGGGGCGTGTCTGGAGGTAAGGGATGGGAAGTTGGTGCGGAGCTCTGTAGAAGTAAGAAGGGTGTCAACAGGAGGGCGGGATCGGCGCCAGAGGCAACGCCGTGAAGGAGCCCGGCGGACAGCGCACGCGTCGCTCCCGAACGCTTTGCGCTGTGTGCTTTACATGGTGGATGGCTCAAAACGAGGTGCCCCGTTCTGCTTGCTCGCTGCGCCACACATAACCAATCATTCTTTCCGCACACACTCGTACGGTACCGGGATGGCCCGACAGCTAGGGGCTCGCGTATACAGGGGTTCAGGAATGGAGGGGTACGGCTTGTGCTTCCCGGAGCCTAACGATCCTGACACTGGCACTGACACACACCACCCGGCTGGGGTCCCTACCACGGTCAGTTTTTGGGGCCCTGAAGCCGCAGAGGCGGCAGGAGAGCCCCCTTGGGCCCAGGTCCTATATCCTTCGGAGGTGGTCGGGCGTAGGACGGGGGGTCGCCCGCTGAGGGTATGTCCTCAAAGCTCTCGCCCACCGAGCAGCCCCTCGTTTTTCCCGGAGGTTAGATTATCAGCCCCAATGTGGACTAAGTATTTTTGCAATGAGCGACGATTATTAACAGTTAGGTTTTCTGTCTAATAGACGTGTGAGCTCTGGTAAATATACAGCTGGGAGGCAGCGGTCTGGGAGCAGCTTCCAAGCTTGCTTTTTTCGTGTGGACCATTGCGCACGACGTGGTGCCGCTGTCGAGTGACACAGGCAGTATTGTTAATTTTGCGTTGCCGGAGGACGACAAGAGTGACGATCCCGACGTGTGGGGCGCCGCCGCCCTGCAGACTGACTGCAGGCCGACGAAGGAAGCGTTGTGTGAAAAGCCTTGGATGCCTTCGCCTCCATGTTTTGTCATATCTTCGTAATATAATGCGAATTTATAAAAGGTAATGGCGCGACTGCGATTCAAGAGCCCATTGGAACAAGCTCGTGCCGTGTGCGTGCACTGCTATATTGCGAAATTTCTTCATCTATATGCCGTGGGCACATGTCGACGCGTGGTGTGATTTGTGGGCTTCATTGCCATGGGGCTGATCCTTGAGTAGTTAGTACGTTAGTAACTCCCTGCTCGACGGCGGACAAGAGTTGGCGGTTTGGGTTCGGGCTTCCTACCACTGGGTGGGAAGGTCTAGACAGCAGCTGCGGCACGGCACGTCATCTTTCGTTGGGAGGCTGAGGACACGAGGGCCAGTCTGTTTCAGGAATGAAGTAGCGGACGGCAGGGACATTAGACTTTGGCGGTTTGCGCGAGCAGATGGACGATCGCTTGTTGTATTCGTCAACTAGCATCAAGCGTATTGCAGTCGTCACGTGTTGCATAATCGCCAGTTCGGTATACCGGCGTCCCAAGGATAGGCAAAGGTTAAGATATTCTACTGTAATCCCACCCCGTTTCGTCTTCAGCAGCTCCTCATAGGTGTCCACTCGGCATGTTAATAATAAACTGTCTGCACGGCACCAAGGCAACGTTACATAAGGCACTATTAAGCCTACATGCGAAGCCCCACACATGTGCCACATACGGCGCTGGTAACATCGGGCCCTGGGAGCCGTTACAAGGACATAAATCAAACGAGTAACCATCATAACCAACTCCACAGCTGGTCCCCTATCCTCCGCCCTTGAGCGCCGTCTAGCGGCGTTTGCTTGGCTGCACGATGTGTACGGCCCATGCCATGTGGGAACGGCCTTTTTGCACACACTCGCCTTGCACACACACACACGTGCCACTTCATGCCTCGCAAATAGCACCCAATCGCTCCTTCCAGTGCCCAATGCCGCCACTCGATGCAGCCCGGTGCCTTTGCAACACACAACAATTGCAGCGCGACACGGACAACCAGCCCAAGCACAAACAGACGCACAACGGTAACAGTAGACAAGCCTTCCAAACGTAACAAACTTACTACCTACATTGCAGACTGAGACCAGTGCTCCAGCGCGGCACCGGCAACCAAAGGCCCCTTGTTCTAAAGCCCTCACGGTTCTCGTCCCACAGCGGCTCAGGCCCCAAATGGTTCACCGGGAATCGGCCCTCTCTACCGGGACTATCACAACCCCACCAGAAACCCATTTCACCAATCCCAAGGTGCAGCACCCCTCCTCGCCCGCTGCTATACCAATGCCCCTTTACGACTGCCGCGTAAACTTGAACTTAGGTTTGTTAAGCGAGAAGAGCTCCTCCTCGCCTCCAGCGCGATCCTTCTGCATCTTGCGGAAGCGGTTCAGCAGGAAGCCAGGCACCAACTTGTCCACGATGCCCTCCTCGTACGCCTCCTTGACCGAAAAGTACCTGAGGCGGCGCGGCCAGAAGAAGCAGCCGAGGCAGCTGGAATAAGAACCGCCCACGGGCGCTCTCCAGCTTATACAGCGCACCCACAAGGGTGCAAGCTAAGCAGCAAGGGCATTGGTGGGAGACGGCCCAACATCCCCGCACGACGAACTGCGCCCCAGTGTGGAGGGGTAGCGGCGTCCATCATCCCTTAATCGCTTCAGGACCGCCTCAGACCAGAAGCTGCATTAGAGTTTGGAGGTCGAGGTTTACCACCCACCGCGCCCCCATCACCATCAACATATCTGCAAGAGATGGGCTAGAAAACCTTCGCTAGGAAAGACGGAGAAGTGCCGCCCAACCCCCTCCGCTATCCTCTCCCCGCCTTCTTCCATTTGCCCTTTTGATTTTCCCCCGCAGCCTTGCGAGCCACCTTACCGCTTGCGCGACAAGTACTGTTTCTGGCAAGTCTCCAGGTCCTTGCCCGTGGACCTCGCCAGGATGGCCGCATAGTACTTGGTGGCGTACTCCAGCTCGTGAGCCTGAAGCTGTGCATCGACCGTCTGACCGAACACCCGGTTCATGACGGGCGGTGCGGTGGAGATCTTGGCGTGCGGGAACGTGTACCTTCGGGCCGGGTTGGGTGTGCGTGAAGGAGGACCAGGGGAGAGGGTCATGGGTGTGGATGGATGGGCGCTTGAGGCGCGAATTCACAATGGTACGCGAACAAACACTTCTTGACGACAGATTTACAATACACGAGGAAAAATTCAGAAGGGAGCGGGGCGGTGCAGAACAAGCGTGGAAAGTGTTGGGTAATGTTGAAAGAGCAACAGGGAGAACGAGGATAAAGTATACTTGCCTACCAACGATGAAGCCTAGCTGCCCCCCAACTGCACACTGTCCTCTTACGCATCATTCATGGGGCCGCATCCAACACCGGCCTAGCCCTGAGCAAAGCAGGGGCGCCCGTTCCCCCCAACCTGGACTTCCGGGCCTCAGGTGGGCACACCCTGCTCCAGACCCGGCGGCCACCAGGTCGAATACCCGCTGCATTTCCCGACAACTGGTCGTTGGTCCCATACCCGAGGGAGACCCGCGAGGCCCGCGCGGGTATAGTTTGCTAGCTGGGTCCCGGGCCCCCAACTCATGAGCATACCATGACCTAGCCTACGAATGTCCACCAGCCGGCGGAACCCCAGGCCGGCACCTGGCGTCCCGCTAGCCATTTTTCACGAGCCATCCCGCCCACACCTCCTGCCAATGCGGCCAAGTCCGGCCTGTGAGCAAACCCTCTAGCTACCCCGGTACACCCTTTTTAAAGGCATCCCGCCCGGGGTTCGAGGAGCTCCAACACAGGAAGAAGTTCTTAGGGCGCCCAGCCCGCCCGCCCAGCCTGTCCCACTCTCCTGGACGCCAGTAGAAATCTTTAAATCCCCCCTAAGGACTAGGATTCAGTCGCTATTGGCCAGGGGCTCTGAGGCCCGCCCTAACTTGTCACACTCCCCACGGCACCCACGCGAAGCCTGCCATGTGCCGTTTGGCGGTATGGGGCCCCGGCAAAATGGAATATGAATCCAGCCCTATTAGCTGAATCCATTCTCAATCCCCTAAGAGCTGGATCCGGGATCTAGGAAGTCATTGGACTTCCTCCACGAGATCTGTGTGTCATGCCGTACCATGCTATTTACTGCCACGATGGTGCTGGCATTAGCTTTAAGTGCTTAACCGGGGCGCGTCCCAACGCAACAGTGGCCGTGCTGCGCATCCCTTAGGTCGGTTTAGCACCCTCTCAAAGCAAAGAGCACCGTCCCGGCGATCTCGCTTTATGCATCCCTTGGCGCTGCTGCACAGCCAGCATAGACGCAGGCTGGGACGCGGAGGAGCCTGCTGAGGTGCTCCAGCAGTTGCTGCTGCTCTGCTGCTGCTGGTAATGGTGGTACAGGAGCTCCAAAAAGACATAAACAAAGGGATTTCCCTGTTAAACTATTCACTCCGCCGTCAGGCCTCTAGGCCTCAGGAGTTGCCTCACGCCGCTGAGCCATTACAGCTGAAAGCACCTCTCATTCACCAAGCACAATTCCGTCCCCAATCTAGGAGTCCCACAATGCTTTTGGTTATTCGCTAACTCTCTTGTAATACACACACTTCGCCTCAATACCCTCCCCCTCCCCCTGCCCCGTCGTTAAGGTCTTCCTCCCTTTCCGGGAACCCTTCCAAGCCGTCCCAGGAACAGAATTCGCCAACACAACCTTGCGCTGTTTTCCTTCCTACAATACGCGATGATTCCACCCAACCCACTTACCCGCCTCACCGCACCTCCCGGAACCCCTTTCCCACCTGTGCCCTTTTTGCCCCGCTGACAGCAGCACGGCCGCCTGGTTCTGCGCCTTCCACGTGACCCCCGTGTACAGAGGTGCCCGCGTGAAGCCCAACGCCGCCCAAATGGCGTAAAATTCATTATCCGCGCTAATGGCCTGCCCCTTATCGTTGATGCAGCCCGTCGAGTTCAGGTAGACGTAGATAGGTCGCTGCCGGTTGCGGTCATCAAAGTCCAGGTAGTAACACTGCGCCACCACCAGCTCGGTGACCGAAGGCAGGAACTGCGGCAAGGGGAGCACGGGGGGAAGGCAGGGGGTAAAGGAAGAAACGATGCGGCGGCGAGTGCTCAACGGCGAATGTGCACTATCGGGCGGGGTGGACGTGAAAAGCAATCAAGGTAAAGCGCATGACGCCAACAGCGGGGTCATGTCGTTGGGTGAGAATATTAAGGGACATTGGCCCGAGCAAGGGGGGGAACGACATTCAGTTAGAACGTGTGACCGCCAACTCAGGCTTCCAGTGCGTGGCGGATGTAATCGCACCCCGTTCACGTGGCTCCAATGATGATGCATGATGGGATGAGATCAGGTTGGAGACTCCTGTTGATGTGCGGCCCGTACACCTATCGCCGCTTGCCCTTAACGAAGGGGAACCATCACGGCTCTTCCTTTAGAACGGACATAGACATGGCCCATTTGCATCTCCCTGTCGCACGCCATGGGCATCTACTCCTTGCTAAGGTCATTACAAGCAATGTGGGTTTCAATTATAGAAGACCGAGCCCTAGGGTGGTACGCAGCCTAGTGCATATCATTTTGATGCTTCGTCCATGCATCATATCATCATGCACCCGTTTCAACTTGTCCCGCCAGCTCTCCAAATGTTAAGGCATTAAAACTGCATCCCCGCTCGCGGTGCGCCCTGCCCATGCTGCTGTCGGTCGCCTTACTGCCGTAACTGTCTCAACCCTGATGACGTCCAAACGAATGGCGGCGCTGGGCACCAGACAACTACAGGCCAAAGTGCCTATGTAGGCCGTGCTCCAAAACAAGGGACCACGGCGCCTGGCTCGCATCGTGCCTATCATAGATTGTTCTCCAAGCCTTTAGTGCGGGCTACTTGATGAGAGTGGGGCCATAAGCGTACGGACAGACCGGCGCGTCACCTAACGCATTCGCCACCATGCACGCCGATAACGGCCTTGTGCGGAGGCCTTACCGGCATGCTAATGTAGATGACGCGCTGCTGCAGCAGAAGAGACGGGAGGTCCGGTGGGTTCCCAAAGCGCTCTGCCTCCGGCAAGAAAATGGGCCTGCCTTCCGGATAGTTTGGATACTCCCCATATGCTGCGCGTGGCGAGCTGTAACCCCTCCCGCGGTAGCTTCCGCCTGCCATGTTCGTGACGCTGTATCCGAACTGCTCCGGCTGGAATTTCTCGCCGCGCAAATATGCTTTTGATGATAGCGTTTTCTGCAGGAAATGCAAAGGATAAGACGTAGACGAACGTTAACGAAAAGGCCTCTTGCGGCGCGGACTCCACCCACGGCAGGATACATACCGGGTCCGGCAAGTCTGTGCGCGGTCCAGCGAGACCAAGAGCCCGAATCTGTTTTTCAGATAGCCCAAAGGATGCTTCTCTCTGATCCTGCTCCAGCGCTGGGTTGGACGTCGACGCCTGCTCCTCCTCCTGCTGCTGCGGCCCGGGTGCGAACCACTCATATTGCTGGCTGAGCCTGCTTGTTAGTTGATAGTATTCGGCATCCCCGTCGCTAAACTCTGCGGTGGGCCCAAAAGTACGCCAATTGTTGTTCACCGCAACTTGGCGTCCTCGCCGACGCAAGGCTGGCGCTGCCACGGGCGCTGGCGCAAAGTGCACAGGAACAGCGGTTCGCAGCTTAGGTGCTCGGAACGCCAAAAGGGACTGCATGTTGCTTCCGCCCAAAGCACAAAGTAGCCCTTGTCAAGATGCTAACCACCTCCCTATCTATCCACCTTAACACTAAAATCTGACACGAGTACTGAGGTACAATACAGAACTTTTCGCATGAAGTGTGGATGCAACAAAAGAGGAGAAGTAGAATCTCTCCGGAACCAGAATGTTGTAAGGCCAAGCACAACTGAAACTTGGATTACTTGTCGAGCTAAGAGTGGAGTAACGACAAGGCTTGCTGCGCCTTCACTTTAGACTTGCCATATCTAGCCCTGGAAAACAATTATTAGGGTGTTTCGGAAGGCTGCGCGCAATGTCGGTACTAGCTAAGCTTCTGACCGGCACAGCTGCCAAAGCGCAGTCTACGCAATTAGGATTGCTTGGACAGCGGTCAATCTTGGCTACAGCCCAGCAAACAGCACTGCCGGAGTTGCGGGGGTACGCTTCCCAGACCTATCCCGTTATCGACCACCAATATGACGCTGTGGTGGTCGGTGCTGGTGGAGCTGGCTTACGCGCTGCTGTTGGGCTGTCGGAGCTCGGCTTCAAGACAGCGTAAGTATGAGCGCCGGAAGCTGATTCATGCGGACAGTCGGTTGCCACGTTGACAATGTCGGTTTGCCACCGCTGCGTAGGTGCGTTACGAAATTGTTTCCCACGCGCTCTCACACGGTAGCAGCTCAGGGTGGCATCAATGCCGCTCTGGGCAACATGACGGAAGACGATTGGCGCTGGCACGCTTACGACACAGTTAAGGGCAGCGACTGGCTTGGCGACCAGGATGCTATTCATTACATGTGCCGTGAAGCACCAAAGGCAGTTATCGAGCTGGAGAACTACGGCCTGCCCTTTTCGCGCACCGAAGATGGAAAGATTTACCAGCGCGCCTTCGGAGGCCAAAGCCTTGACTTTGGCAAGGGTGGACAGGCGTATCGTTGTGCTTGCGCTGCGGATCGTACAGGACACGCCATGCTTCACACCCTCTATGGAATGGCGATGAAGCACAACATTCAGTTTTTCGGTGAGCAGTTTTTCGGCTGGACCTTTTCCAGCTGGGCCTCGCTCAACTGACTGTTCTGTTCCGTTAAAACTTAAGTTACCGTATACAGTCCATGCGCGAACCTGCTGTAGCGGCGCGCGAACCTGGCCGTCGCATGACCGTCGCAATCGAACGGACGCACCTTTCCCCTTTGCAGTTGAGTACTTCGCCCTGGATCTTATGATGGACTCGGACGGCGCCTGTCGGGGCATCATGGCGCTGTGCATGGAGGACGGCACCATCCACCGCTTCCAAGCTCACCAGACCGTCCTCGCTACGGGCGGGTACGGCCGCGCTTACTTCTCCGCCACCTCGGCTCATACCTGCACCGGCGACGGTGGTGGCATGGTTGCCCGTGCTGGCCTGCCTCTCCAGGACCTGGAGTTCGTGCAGTTCCACCCCACCGGCATTTACGGCGCGGGCTGTCTTATCACGGAGGGCTGCCGTGGCGAGGGCGGCATCTTGCGCAACAGCGAGGGCGAGCGCTTCATGGAGCGGTGCGTGATGGCCTTCTGCTCCGTAATTCTGTTCCCGCGCTGTCCAAAGCTTACCCGTAGCATAGATCCAAGTTTAAGCCAATAGCAATCCAAGGATTCAGGCGAGACGATGTAGCTGGCTGTTCATGTAATGTTGCCTGCTTTGCCATGGGTCTCAGCCACCGGAGCTGTAATCTAGCAACTTTTGTTGGGCCAGCTACAGTGTTTGCCAGCCATGGTGAGCGGCGCCCCAGCATGTGGAATCGGTAGGAGGCGGGATAAACAATCTGTTGGACGAAGTATTGGACGGGATGGAACAATGGCAGATAGCAGCAGTCGCTGACAGTGGCGACAGGGCCTCCTGCCACCTACTAAACAGGGCTTTACGTGGCAGCAAATTTAATCGCTTTCTCTTGCGCATGGTTTCAGCCCAGATTGCAATGCCTCCTACGCAATCCGCATCCTGCTGCCGGTGTCCTTACCCTCCTGTCAATGCTTTGGCTCTTGTCACCGCAGCTATGCACCTACAGCCAAGGACTTGGCGTCTCGTGACGTGGTGTCCCGCTCAATGACCATTGAAATTCGGGAGGGCCGGGGTTGTGGTCCGGAGAAGGATCACATCTACCTGCACCTGAACCACTTGCCGCCGGAGCTGCTGGCGGAGCGACTGCCTGGTATCAGTGAAACGGCTGCTATCTTCGCGGGCGTCGACGTCACCAAGGTGGGCGGCTGGGTTATGGAAAGCATGGGGGATGGGATGCAGATGGGAAGAGAGGGCAGGCGGATTTAGTAAGGCTGGGTCCTGCGACAGCATTTTGGCATTCCACAGGTGAAGGGATTCCGCATGCTTCCTATAACGAGACGAGTCAAAGCAGTTACTGAATTCGTTCAGGGACGGGCAGCCTATCCTTGAGTGGGGCTCGTGGCATTGCCGCAGCGTAACACCCATGCTGGCGCTCTATCTGTATGGTGGGACATCACGAATTTGTGGGGTCACAAAAGCACTGTTCTGCATGCAGCCCGGTAGGGATGCCTCGCAAGTACGGTTTGTGGTATATGTGAAAAATGCTACAATGTGGGCGATGTGCGGACTTAAAGCCCAGTCATCATGCTGGTTCCATGCAGCGTGGTGCGACCCGTCTGGGCTGGCCAACCCAGCCCCTGGAGCGGTCGGGAAAATTTGAACCCACAGTGGGGGGTTTCACGTGAATGGAGAAGCCCAGAGCGGTTCTGGTGGACGGAAGCTAAGTCTAACTCAGCGCAGCTTGGGGGCCCTCTTAGCATCTCTAGCTGGCGGCAAAGCATCTAACTTCAGGAATGGCAGGACAAGCGAGCTTAAAGTGCCCGGCAGGCTGACAATGCCTCTTTTGACTTTGGGTTGCATAGGCGCATACGGCTGCTAAGACGGGCGCCACTTAAAGCCCTGATATCTCCTGCCCGTTCGCTCCATGTTGTGCCGCCGCAGGAGCCCATCCCGGTGCTGCCCACGGTTCACTACAACATGGGGGGCATACCGACCAACTACATGGGCGAGGTGCTGGCTCCCACCAAGGAAAACCCGGACAAGGTGGTGCCCGGGCTGTTTGCCGCGGGAGAGGCAGCCTGCGCGTCCGTACACGGCGCGAACCGCCTGGGCGCCAACTCGCTGCTGGACATTGTGGTCTTTGGACGCGCATGCGCCAACCGCGTTGGTACGTCCGTGGTTATGAGAAATTGTTACCCGATCCGTTGCGATTTGGAGAGTATTGGCTATTTTGAAGCAGAGGGCTTTCAGATTGTGGTTGGGGTTACGCATGGGAGGCAAACTGTAAAGGGCCCAGAAGGCCAGAGCTGGGTACCGTGGAGCATGTGGGCTCTTAACCCATCCGCTACGCCGTCCGCCGGTTTGTCTCTTTCCGTTCCTTACCGCCTCCCTTCGTTCATCGGCTGCAGGCGAGATTATGAAGCCCAACACACCGCACAAACCGCTACCAGCAAGCGCCGGTGAGCACGCTATCGCGCGACTGGACAAGCTGCGGAACGCCAAGGGCAATTTGCGCACCGCGGAAATCCGGCGCAACATGCAGAAGGTGATGCAGAACAACGCGGCAGTGTTCCGTACCCAGGAGACGTTGGCGGAGGGCTGCAAGCTGATTGACGAATGCGCCGCATCGTTCTCAGACGTCAAGGTGTGTGCACTCTTGATTTTGCATGGTTGATGGCACGAAAGAAGTCACACTGCGTGGACAATGATATCATGGGTCATGCATGTGTGCTCGCATCCATGATATGCAGCAACCCCCCACCATTGGCGATGATATTGTTTCGTCTTGCTGCCATTCCATCCCACCACGCGACCATCCACCCTCAGTTCTGCGGGCGAATATGTTCATCTCCGTGTCACATGGCGTTGCTGCCACTGCCTCTGCAGGTGACGGACCGGGGTCTAGTTTGGAACACGGATCTAGTCGAGACCTTGGAGCTAGAGAATCTGCTGCTCAACGCTGCCATCACCATGCACGGTGCAGAACAGCGCAAGGAGAGCCGCGGAGCACACGCGCGCGAGGACTTTACCGAGCGCGACGACGCCAAGTGGCTCAAGCACACGCTTGGCTACATGCCGTCGGTAAGTTTGTTCACCTTCGCCAGCCACCTATTCCATCCGTATGCGCACCTTCTGCCTCTGGCGGACACCCCCGCGGCGACCTCACCCTTTGCTGAAGGCGCTGTAATAATGTGTGCTGCCCGTGCTGCCGTCCCGATGCAGCCCCGTCGCCAAGGAGCCCCAAGGGCCAAAAAGGGTTGACCGAAAGAACAATATCCCGTTACCGTACATATGTTACGCCCTGAACACCTGGATAGTTATGGGTCACCATAGCATTTGGGGGCTTGACAACTTGCGTGCCCTAGCTGGCCCTACGGCCTTGAAGACCAGTGAGCTTCGGTAGATGAATTTTTGTTTTTTCTTGATCGCCCTGTGTCGCTATGTGCAGGTCGAAAACAAGGTTAGCATCTCGTACCGCCCCGTACACATGCAGCCGCTGAGTGAGGAGATGCCGTACATTCCTCCGAAGGCCCGCGTGTACTGAGCGAAGCGGACATAGAGTTGTCAACGTCTGGCTATCTGGAAGAAGCTAGGGGCAGGGTCCAGGAGTCAAAAGCTTAACTATTCGGGCCAGGGTTCTTGGGAAAGCGGGGCGTAGAGGTATATGCATGGGTTGGGCCTTACAGAGAGCGCCAGGTCAGGAGTCTTTCGGCTGTAATACAGGATATGCTGCAAGGCAAGGCCTGCTGCTGGTTTGGTTTACTGCGTCTCGAAGGAAACGTTTGCTTTGACCTCGTAGAAAACTTCTTCGAGTCTTCATTCGCCCTTTGATAAACGCGTGACACAAAAAAACTCTCCTGTCTCTCGGTCCTACAAAAATAGTTTAAGAGGTTCATGCTGCTGTAGAGTTACGTGGGATGCTTAGCGCCGGTAGCCGTTCGCGCGTGCAGGACGGTCTCCCTAAAGATTCCGTGTTTTCTAGTTAATGCCTTAGTTATTGCAAAAGGTCCTGTTGATGAGGGAGCCGTTTAGCCGGCATCGCGGGAAAGTCGTTGCCGGTATCGGTGTCGGTGTTAAAGACGGGACTGCCCAAGCTATGAGCTGTTACAAGGTGTTTGCATCACGCAATATGTGTAAATATAAGCTTCAAATACTTTTTGCTTAAAGTCGCGTACTGTACGGACAGTCTCAATCGCGCCGAAAGTCGTCCTAACAGGATGGCTGCTGCATGCTTGCATCCGATAGCAAAAGCTACATATCTGCAACCTGATGCGCTCATATCTGCCGAGTTCTCACCATCGCTCTAAACCATTACAGCGGTCTTCTTTATTGAACCATCGGTCTGTGGCATCCTTGTCTTCCGTCTTGCGGGGCCTGGGAGCGCGTAGCGAGGGGCCGCGAGGCCGCCTTGCCTCCGTGCCACAGGCTGTGATGGCACAACGATATTCGAAGGCATACCGCAGCAAGGACGGTGCCCCGTCTGTGGCCCGTGTGCATTCGGACGTCTGCGAGAAGGCCCCTCCAGAATACAGTGCTTATGAACAGTTAAAAATAAGCTGGGGTGATCAAGACAACTATGAGGCAGGTTTTCCATAGGGTGTTTGTTCTGATGCCTTGGCAAACTTGGGCAACCGGTATGCGCCCTCGCCTCAGGTGGTTCGCAAGGTTGGGCGGGGCAAATACAGCGAGGTGTTTGAGGGCGTCAACGTCGTAAATGGCGCAAAGTGTATCATAAAGATACTCAAGCCCGTCAAGAAGAAGAAGGTCCTGCGCGAGATTAAAATCCTGCAGAACATCACAGGAGGCCCCTGCATCATCAAGCTCCTGGACGTGGTGCGTCGAGTTTCGGCTGGGGGGAAAAGGGAAGGACCACGGGCAGGGATACTGCTGGGTTCGTGTTAAGCCATTCTGTCTGTTCATCGACGGAGCACATGGAGCATGGAGAGCAGGCGAGGGCGCAGTTGCGTCCACGGCTTGCCAGCTTTCGGCGCAGCTCGGGGCAGAGGGGTAAGAAACATTCTGCTACAGCAGGAGCAGGCTCGCGTAATGAGCTGCATCAGAACTGAGCCTCGAGTGGTGCTCGCCAGCAAGTTTGTTAGGGGTAGGGAAGCCAACAACGCTAAGCCCTATTGCACTTCTCACCCAGCGTGTCTGGCCAAGCGGTGCGGTTGGCGCTCCAAGTGACGGCACCGCGACCGTATGTGTGGATCTCGGCTTTGCCTCACGTTATGCGAGGAGGTAATTTTGGGAGTCACACCGAAGCCACCACATCGCATCACACTGTGCCCTTTTGCTGATGGAGCCTGCAAAGTGTGCGAAAGCGGAGAGCAGACCGCCCCAGAGCGTGTGTGCCCTCGTTGCTGTCGGGATCGCAACCAGCAGCCCTAGGATTGGGTTCGATGTGACTCCGACCGTTCTGCGAGGAACCGGGTCTTGCGCCACCGAATCAACTTTCGGCGGTGCTGTATCTACATACGGCGCTTTGACTTGTCAAATGGTCGTACAGCGCTGCGCATGGTGTTTGGGTTGTTGGGGTAATCCCCATCTGTACGCGGGTAGGTGGGTCGAGGCCACCGGGTCAAGGTCTCTGGATAGCAACAGCCCAGCAGAATGCCACGACGGTTCGCGGTTTAGGAATGTGCAAAAAATGTGGCTCCAACTCACGTGAAGGCCGAACGGTACCTGTTACAGGCTGACGGAGTCCCGATGAGGGGAGGAGGTTAGTCGGGGCATCGGCTTGTGTAAGGACGGTTCGGCCGCCTGGAAATTAGGCGCCTGAATCCTATGATGATCACACTACAACGTCGCAACAATTCACGTGTAATTACAAGGAGGCGGCAGGAAACGAGGACGTTCTGAGACAGGATGACTGAGTCAATAAGCCCTTCTGCCGTATTCTTCATGGGCTCTTTCCTGCCGCGCTCTTCCGCATTTCACGCACACACACTTTCTCCTTCCCGCCCTCCCATTTTATGCCTCCAGGTGCGTGATCCCGAGTCGAAGACCCCCAGCCTCATCTTCGAATACGTCAACAACCAGGACTTCAAGGTGCTGTACCCCACCCTCACCGACATAGACATCCGCTTCTACATGTACGAGCTGCTTAAGGCCTTGGACTACGCACATGCGCACGGCATTATGCACCGCGACGTGAAACCGCACAATGTCATGATCGACCACACCAAGCGCCAGCTCCGGCTCATAGACTGGGGCCTAGCGGAGTTCTATCACCCGGGTCGCGAGTACAATGTGCGTGTAGCGTCCAGGTACTACAAGGGGCCGGAGCTGCTGGTGGACTTACAGGTGGGAAGAAGGAGATGGGAATAAGTTGAAAGGGAGAGGCAGGAGATTTTATATGGGATCCCCAGGAGCAATACTTACCAAAGTAAACGGACTACCTTGTGATGACCAACCGAAGGAAAGCTGTTACTGCCGCACCGCCACTGGCATGCAACGACACCATGCAACGTATCGAACGAAGGAAAGTATCTCACGAGTTGATGTTATCATAAAGGAGGTTAGAGAAGGACGCCGGATGGGAAAAGGAGCATGCAGCAAAGCGAAGAAAGATAATCCACGGTAAGCCTGTGGGGACGGATGTTCATACGGATGAGGCAGACGGGCTGTCCTGTCATAGGACTTTGCCACGATTGCCCGTGAACTCGCGCTGTTATGCTCCCGCGCACCCAGCAACCCATGACTCCAGCTGCTCGTCCCCTGACCTCCAGATCTACGATTACTCTCTGGACATGTGGAGCCTGGGCTGCATGCTGGCCGCAATCATCTTCAGGAAGGATCCATTCTTCTGCGGCCACGACAACTACGACCAGCTGGTCAAGATTGCTCGAGTGCTCGGTACTGAAGATCTGTACGCGTATCTGCAAAAGGTGCGTTTTTGCCGAAGCGGAGACCGGGTAAGGAGAGTGGCAATTGTTAAAAAACGCGGCATTTGATAAGTGTGCCCAAACTGTAACTTTACCGATGGTTCTGCTGTCTTGCTGGTGGGAGATCGTGGCCCATTAGATCTTGGGGGGAGATACCAGCCTAGAGAAATGTAATATCAACCCTGGCCTCGCGTCACGTCTTCATCCCCTCCGCGCCCTCGGCCGTAATCTGTGATACCAACCACGTCGCATCCGGTTGCCGTACGATAGTACGGTATTGTACTGGATCCGCAATTGGAGGCACTGGTGGGCACACACTCGAAGAAGCCTTGGAGCCGCTTTGTAAACGCAGACAATCAGCACCTGGTGTCTCCGGAGGCTATTGACTTCATCGACAAGCTTCTGCGCTACGACCACCAGGAGAGGCTCACGTGCACCGAGGCGCAGGCGCATCCCTACCTGTTGCCTATCCGGGCAGCGGAGGCAGCTAACGCTGTGGGTGGCAGCGGCAGCGGCTAGGGAATGCTCGTAGGGGACGTAGGTCGAGGGTCTTTAGGTGTGCGCGTGTGTGGTGTTGTCAGCAGAGAGGCATGCATATGTGCTGTTTCGGGTGGTTGCAATTGCTGGTGTCTGTCTGCATTGCGTCATGGGAACTTCAGAGGTGAACGCGACAACGGCGCAGCGGAAAGGTGTCCAGGGGTGAATAGGTCGGATGGCAGGAAAAAGGCGGTCATGGGTGGTGCCAGGGTCCAGATGCCACGGTATGGGCTTTGAGCCCGTGCCTGGCCACTTTTGCTACGACTCATGGTACTTTACGTTGCCCGGAGCTCACACCGTGGTCGAGGCTAGAGCCGAAGTGCGGATGCAACATGGTTCAACTCACCAGCGCAGCTGACTCGAGATGGCAAGGATAGTGTAGTGTGCACTTAGGTCAGTGAAAATGCAAGATTGGTGACACGCAAGATGTGTGCATGATGGACTTCTTGGGTTTGATGGCTCTGCAGCACTACGGCCTTGGGCCACTGTAGTTTGCAGATGTGGCTTGCCTGGAGCTGCACCTGAGAGAAGAGGGCCAGGCGGTCCAGCGGGGTCTAGCTCGAATTGCTGTCCGCCACAGGGCACTTGGATTCGTGTGCAGACTGGGCCCGGCAACCAGTGGGATTACGGCATGCTATTTGCTGCAAGGCTTACCCTGGCGTCGCTGCGCAAGCGAGTGTCTTGTCTGCGCTTTGTTAAGAGCAGTGCACATCGATGTGGTGGGTAGTAAGGAAGAAGTCAACTCATGGGCAGCAATCCGTACGTCGCACAGCGTTCTGTGTGTCGTGCCGTCGCTCTCACCCATGGCAGATGCAGGGGATATTGCCCGTGCGTTTGCTGCTGCAGTTCGGCTGCTGTTCCGGGAAATCGGGGTGCAGGGAAAGTGCCGATCCCATGAGGCTCCAAACGGGACTGTGTACGTGTCTTGGCACTGGTTGGAAAAGGGCCCATTTCCGATGTGGCCTTGCCTGGCGCTGGGCTTCGTCCGCGCTAACTCCGCGTCATCTCAACCACACCCTGGAAAGATAAATAAGCCCTCCTTACCCAAGGTTTACCGGGCCCTTTCGATGATTTAAAAATGGAAGAGGAAGCTGGGCCACAGCACCGTATGGTAATGCGACGCCGGGGGAAGTCTTAAGCACTACCTCCGTCCTGCCCTTGCTCAGCGATAGCAGTTCTAGCCCTAGCGTAACCAGCTCAGCCGATCTCGGTGTCCACCATGTCACGAGCACTCACGCAATATGTGACGGTGCGGTAAACCTCGTCACGGCATCCGGAAAACCTAAAAGCGATACGAACACTACCGCTGTGTTAAATAGTTAATCAACACCCTACAGGATGGGGGCCGCCGGAGGGTCTCCGCCAGTGAGACTCACGGCGGGCAACCCTACAGCCCATGTCATAGGACTGAAATGCCCTCAAGGATTTCGATGGGGTTGCAGGACGTTGCCGTCCATCCCCTGCACAACCGGCGGGGACTACTTGCTGTCCTGCCGGGACTAGCAGCGGTCAGGCCGGCGCCCGCCGAAGCCAAAGGCCAGGGTGATCTCATGGCCGCATGCAGATATGGTCCCAAATCACTAAAAAGGGTCACACCACATGTGGCACGCCGAATTCAACCAGCGCGGACGGAGTAAACTCCCAGGTGGAAACTTCTCAACGCAAAGGGCCCTTTACGCGCCGCCATCTGCTGGTCCTGCGCCCCCGCCGTCCTCCTCCACGTCATCCTCGCCGCCGCCCTCACCCACGCTGTCAAAGTCCTCCTCCTCGTCTGTCGACTCGTACATCCCCGATGGCAGAATGTCCATGTATGCCGCCAGCTCGTTGAAAGAGAACGCGCCCACCCGGCTTGTGTCGATCTGTGGTGCAAACAAAGGAGGTAGGCAAACAAACAGGAGGTCCCCAGGTAAGGAGGTGTCGGAACTTAAGGTGTTGATCGACTGTGCCTGTATCAGCCAGAACGGGCGAATGAAGGTCCCGACGAACGGAGTGAACTCAACCCATCCCTGCCTGCCCAGTGCGACAGGTAAGAGGGAGCTATTAATGCAGGTGAGGATAAATGCAGACCCACGCAAGCGCCAGCTGCGCATGAAAGATTAATCAATACAGCACACAAACAGTAGAACAGGCACACACATATGTATACACGTACCTGCAGGAATACATCAATAAACTTTTCAAAAGTTCCGTCATGCTGGCTGATGCGGGGGGGGCACTTGAGGATGTCTGCATGCTGGCGGTTGCGGCGGAAGGCGAGCAGGATTTCACGCCGAGTGACAAGCGCGCCCAGATCCTGCATGGCGTGAAAGCGGTTGGAAGGAGCGTCAGGTGAGACGGGAGACGAAGAAAGGAACCAAGGCAAACGAAGCGGGGAACGAACACAGGACCAGGAAATCCCAAGGGCTTACTAAGGCCCCTCCATAGGAAAGCATCCTTAGGGCCAAGGCCCATGGGGATTTTGCGGGTGAAGTGAGCCAGGAACGATAGAAACGGAGAACGGGCCGGGGTGAGAAATGCTAGGGCCTGAGCCGACCCGAAGGGAATGCCCAACTCGTCTTCGACGCTTTACAAAAATGAGCGATGCTTTCTGGTAGTACCCACACTCATACCCACGTGCGCTTGCCCTGCTCCTTCCGATGCGCACACACACACAACACACACACACACCACGTCGAGGCGGTTGTTACATGGATTTCCTCGCGTGGACCTCTCATAACTCTGCACCCGTAAGTCTAAATATCTGCGCGTCGACATGTCTATCTGTATATCTCCTGTTTACACCTGTAGTTGCGTGATCTACATAGGTGGGACACGCATACATGAGTCGCACATGGCGTACTATATCACAGGCTAAGGCCCTGATAACCGGCAGCGTAAGCCAGATGCTGTTAGGTTAAAGCCCCGCCAGCTCCTGCAGGTAAGCTAGTAACGAACTCAAAACGTCTTCACGATTTCCCCCAGAGTTATGCCTGAGGCAATCCTTTACTCACAGCACGCTGCTGGGCGTTCCAAAAGGACATGCTGCTAAGTCGTCAAACTGCTTTTTAATGTACAATATCGATGGGCGCCAGCCGCAGGCCCCATGTTTACAGCCAGCGCCCTAAACACCAAATGTGTAAGGCATGCGCAATGCCATGCCCCTCGACACGAAAAAAAAGACAGGCATCACGCCAAATGAAAAGTAACCTCATCAGCATCAGCTGCTCCCCCAAGCAACGAACCCATATAGTGCTCGTATTTGGCTATCATTACTCCGGCGCTGTTAACCGTCCGAGGAAACCTCGATGGTGGGGTAACGAGGGGTAGATAACGCACACACACACACACACACACACACACACACACACACACACACACACACACACACACACACACACACACACACACTCGTATGAACCCACGCAGTACAAGCGGAGGAAACTCAGCTCCGACAGAATCATGTGTCTTCGGTCACATGTGTCTGCATATATTGGCAAGCTAGCCAGCTAATAAACGTTGTCGGAGGTGGCCGAGTCAGCATCCACAACCCAAATACCCAAACAAGTAGTCTCAATAAACGAATTACGTTCAACGCGAGGAGCTGTTTCCGTACCGCCATGAGGGCCTCCTGGCTCAGGTTTGTCAGCCAGCATTAACACATGGCAAGGTCGCGCGTGTCCGGGCGCTCACCTTGTCCAGGGTTTTGAAGATGTCCCTGGCGTGGTAGGCGTACGGGTCATTGGGGTCTACCTCCGGCACCTCGATGGGGGTCGGGGTGAAGACGATGTGCTGCGACTGGGGCAGGATCTGTTGGGGAGTGGTGAGGACAGGGCAGGGCACGGGTGAAGGCGGTGCTGTCCTTACCGGGGGGAGAAAAGGCTTTTGCTAAATCAAGGCACGGCGCGGGGCAGTGCGAAGAGAGGGAATGGGACCGAATGAAGGCGTATCATACAGATATCAAGGCTTCAGGACGCAGCGTAACGGGGGAGGGGGAAACGGTGGGCCGGGAATTCCCAGCACCCACTTCCCCCAGCTCCGCTCCCTCTCCCCACCAACCGGCACCGGCCCGTCATCACCATCCCCCACTCACCGCCATCTGCACCAGCGGCATCCATGCACAGCTGCTGAGCTCCGCATTGTGCACGTAGGCCATGAGGGTGCATGAGGGGGCCCGGGGCACTTGCAGGGAGGTGGCGAAGGTGCCGCCCTCGTGGTCCACCGGGGGCAGCTCAATGGGCTGTCGGGGGGTGGGGTGGGGGGTGAAGACGGGCGGGATGTGGGAGGGGCCACAAGGGCGGGCAGAGGGGGTGACAGAGTGTTGGGGGGCTGTGGTTTTCCCTTTGACCCTTCCCCCGGTCGGCGACTCACGTGCTCGAGGCCATCCGCCATAAGCGCTACCCGAGCGGCCCCCGCCACAACCACATTGAAGGGCTCCAAGCGGTCGGCCTCCAGAGGGTGGTACGGCAGGGGAGTAACCATCTGACCGCCGCACGAGGTGAAGAACGCCGAAGCGTACGGTAGAGGTGTACGCAGTACGGCAGGGCTATGCAGGATTCCGTCCTCCTCCACGTCGTGGGGTGCATTGGGCGGCAGCACCACCTGGCGGTAGGGCAGGAGTGGTGGGATGTGCGGGTGGGGATAACGGGCCAAGGCGACAGGAGGGGGGTAGGGAATCGGGTGGTATGGAAGAAGGGTAGCGAGGCGAGATATCTGCGGTTTCTAGGATGGTTCGGGGGCCCCGGGGAAGGTAACGACTCAAGCGGGGTCCCCCAGAAGCCCTTAAACCGCCCAACCACCCCTCCCTGTCCCACAGCCGCCTCGCCACCCAACGGCCCCCTCGCTGTGCCCACCCGACCACTTGCAACTTGCCACGTTGCAACTCACTCCACCCACCTCAGACACCGCCCAGCACTCCGCATCCCTGCCTGCCTATCTCCCTGTCTAGGTACTACTTCCCAACGTCCGCCGACTCCCTACACACACACACACACACACACACACACACACACACACACACACACACCACCTCACCTTGACCCGCAGCAGCAGCTGCTCTTCCACCACCTTGAGCTTCAGCCCCGAAGGTGGCAGCCCTGTCAGTGCCAGTGTCAAACCCCCGCCCGGCAGCTCCTGTTGCCGTACCACCTCCACTTGGTACTCCCCAGGTCCGGGCAGTGACGACCACAGCTGGTGGCGCTGGGCCAGGTGGCGCTCGGCGCCAAACCGCACCTCAACCGTACCGCGCTTGCCGGCAACGACCTGCAAGGTATGGGCGAGAGTGGGGATATGCGGATATGGAACACATCTGCAAGGAAGGCGCCGCGGGATAGAAGTCAAGTCAAAAACAAGAGCCCCTCCCGACCTGCGGTGTCTGTTTCCAGTCCCCCTTTCTCCCCTCCGTCCTGCCTTCAGGAGCTGCTATGGCGCCCCCCCCTTCCCTCCTCCTGCACCTCCCCCCACCTGCTGGAAGGCGTACGCGGGCACCCCCGGCTCCCTGGGTGGCCACTCCGCCACCAGCTTGCCGCTGCCCGCCTCCCGCAGCCGGTGCTGCAGCTGCGCCCCTTTCACCCGGGGGCAGTACATCTCCAACTGGAAGGCGGGGAGGACACCGCCCTCCCTGGAGGGTTAGTGGAGGGTCGGGGCGTCAAGGTGGTGGTGGTTCGCGGGCTTGTGGGAAGACCCGGGCGTTACGACGACCTGGCGCAGAGGGTTCAGGGCTGCAGCATCCGGCGAGACACGCACTGGGCGACATGACCTCGGCGCGGCATGTTCTCTCCCCCTCGAGAGGTGTCACCCCTCTTGTTTGGGACAGCTTTCAATTTCTCTCCCGTCCTCCCTCTCCTTTTCCTCTCCACCCCACTACCTCATACTCACCTAACCGCCGGCAGCACATTCACCGCCTCCAGCCGCTCATCTCCCAGCTGACAACCCTCCGCGAAGAAGGCCAAACTGGCATACGGCAGCGCCCACCACACCTCCTGGCTCAGCGGCTCCGGAACCAACTGCCATGCTGCCTCCAACGGCCAGTACGAATACAGAAACGCCTCGGGCGGCACGTAAAAAGGGCATTGCCCGCCCACCAACGCCGCAGCGGTTGGATCCACCAACCGCCAACGACCATTTACCTTGACACCCGCCCAACAGTGGTTGTGCGCATGGACACGATCCCCCGGCGCCAGCCCCGAATGCTTCCAGTAACCGGGTATGGGCACTGCGTCCAGTTCGCAGGCCCGGCATAGGAGGGTGAAAAGGCGGGCCACTCGCTCGGCCCAGGTACCGTAGCTGTTGGTGAGGAAGCTGGTGACCGCCGCGGCCCGGTTCCGTGTGGCGAGAGGGGGGGAGGAGGTGCGGCTGGCGGTGGGGGTGCGGGAGGTGGAGCGGGAGAGGTTGCGGGTGGGGGAGGGCGCGGTGGCACCGGGGGGCGGAGTGGGACCTGGAGGGGGCGAGGGTGGGCGGTCGCTCAGAAGCAGCTGCTCCGCGGCGATGGCCTGGGGATGGTGCGACAGGGCGGGGGCCGAGGTAAGGGTCGTAAGGTTTTCAGGTGGTTCCTTCCAGGGACATGCCACCACCAGCACCCGCACCACCAAGGCGGCGCTCCCCCACCAGGGAAACGTGTGGCCGCACCCGTGGTTATAAAACACCACCCAACCCATTACGGCACATCCACCGGCTCCTTCCCCCTCACGGACATCGGCAGTTGATTCTTTGCTTCGTGTACGCGTTTCCCCCTTCCAGCCCCCTTCCAGCCCCCTTGCCGTACCTGCGGTGAGGCTCCAAACAGGGGCGTCTCCACATCCCAGCTGGTCCCCAACCTAGCCATGGGTGCCACGTGAGTCACCACCCACCGCCAACACACACGAGCTCGCTGAAGCTGGGGCTGAGGGTCCGTGCTCGCCGCCGCAGCCGCCGCCGCAGCCGCCGCGCCCGCCGCCAACAGCGACCCTCGGGAGTTGCGGCCGCCCCGGCTGGCCGTACTCGCCAGCAGGGAGCTGCCGCCGCTGCCCGGGGTGCCCCCGCCGCCCCCCGAGGCCACCGCCTTGGGGGACACACACACGCTGGAGAGCTGGTCGGCAAGGGTGACCAGGCTGCCGGCCCCCGACAGGACGGACTCGGGACGTATTGAGGCAGCCCAGGCGTCAAGGCGCAGGAGGGTGCTGCGGTCTGAGCCGTCAGCTGCGCATTCCTCCTCAGCTTGGGAGGCCACCAGACCTGAAGGGGTGGTGGGAGGGATGGGAGGTGGTGTTATAATGGGAAGGGGGCGGGTAGGAGGGAGGGGTTAGGGGCTGTGGTTGGGATTGGAAGGGGGAACTGTAAAGGGCAGCAAGGGTGAGGAAGAGGAGGCGGAGTACACCTGGGAGAGGGGGTGCGCAATGAGGGTCTCTATGCTCTCGGAACGCATCCTCCCCCCCTTCACGCACACACCTGCGGCCAAGGGTGGAATGGCGCCACCCCCGTCCGCCAGCTCCCCGTTGGGGAAGTACTTGCGGCGGATGAGGCGAAGTCCCTCCGCGTCAGCGCCGTGCATGTTTGCAGCCAGGACCTACCAGTACGCAAGCAAAGGGGGGGGGGAGACGTCCAGTGAGCCGAGGGAGGGGAATCAAGTGCAAGCAGAGGGGAGGGCCCCTCATCGCGCCAGCCGGGAAAACTGACCCGGGTCGGGCACCTGGTGATGGACTGGCGGGGAGCATAGCGGCAGCAGGGGTACATAGCTACGTTATGGGAGGGGCGGCTGGTTCCATGGGTTCCACTACCTGCTGGCACCTGCCCCCAACACCTCCCTCCACCCCAACCCCGCGCCCATCCTTAGCTGTCCCGCCTCCCTCCCTCTCCGCTGGCCCCTCTACACGTCCCCCGCCACGTCCTCCCTCTCCCCATTTCCCCCCTCCCTCCACTCCCCCCGATTGGGGCCCCCATGGCGCCCACCTTCTCCTTGGAGTCCACGGCCACTCCGTCCAACATGATGACCTGGGGCAGCAAGTGAACCACGTGCAGCCGCAAGCTCATGGCCTGAGGAAGGGGGAAACGAGGGGGGTCACACGGCGAAAGGGGAGGGGCGTCAGCTGAAGTTTCTTGGGCGTAGGCGGGTGGGGGTTCCTTTGTGGACAACATAAGAGGCCTTTCCCCTCCCCGGTACCCTGGGGCACAACGACATCTGTCATGCCGCCGCCGCCGCCTCCTTCTCTTCCCGCACCTCAACCCGGTGTATGGTGTGGTGTGGTCCGGTGTGGTGTGATGTGGGGCTCCAATCAGGCAGAAAGCTAAACCCACAAACTAGATAACATTGGTTGGGTACGTCGGTGGCAACACCTTCAACCTCCTTCCAGCTGAAGCCTGGACCGTAAAAGCCCCGAGGGGGAAATGTGCAGCGAAGCGAACCAAGGGCCCCCGTAGCCTTATCACTAAGGGTGCTTCCATTCTCCCCTCGTGCCAGGATCCCGCTGAATAACCCGACACAAAAGGCGCCATGGCCACCTAACAGAACACGTGTTCGCCGAACACATATGGGCGGACAGACAAACACCCCCGCACCCCCTCCCCGCCCTCCCTCACCTTGTCCAAGGGGTTTCCCCGCACGTCCAAAGACCCCAACAAAGGGGCGCCACGCACCACCACCAGCTCCTCCAGCTTTCCCAGCAAATTGTGCGACACATCCAGTGTACGGAGCGCCGACAGAGAGCCCACTCCAGCCAGGTGGCGCAGGCGGTTGTGGCTGGCAGTCAGAACCTGAGTGTCATGGGATCGGGGGAAGGACTGGATTAGGGCGCGTGGACAGGTGCTATGTGTATATGTGTGTATTTTACCTACTTACAATCCTTTACCCCCCTCCGCCCCCTACCCTCCTTCCCCCCACCCGCCATTTGTGCACAGTCGCTGTACGCTACATCGGACAGCACCGTCTCCCCTTCCCCCTACTTGCTCTCACATGCAGTGTATCCAGCCCCTTGATCAGCTCCAGGGAGGTCAGGAGGTTGTCATCCAAGTGCAGCTCACGCAGGCAGCAGAGACCCTCCAGACCGCGACAGCTAACCAGCCGGTTGCTGCTGAGGTCCACAACCTTACGACGGGAGAGAGGGGGGGAGAGGGGGGAGGAGAGGGGGAGGGCAGACAAGGCAGCTGGGGTTACAAATCCTCCAACGGTACCGGCCCAGAGGTGGGTAGGAGGTGGAGAACCATATGCTTCTTTTAGAGGCAAAAGCGGGTGCAGATATCTGGACTCCAAGCACCCCCGTCGGCCCTCCTACACCCCATCTCCGCCTCGTAACGCCTCTGCGCTCCCTCCCCTCCGCAGGGTCCCCCCTTCACCTTCAGCATGCCCAGATTCCGCAGCCCCGCACCCAGTCGCTCAATGCGGTTGTTGGCCACTGACAGGTGGGTCAGGCGGGAGAAGGCGGACAGGTCCCGGAGCATGTCCAGGCAATTGCGGGAAAAGTCAGCCGAACGCAGGTTGGTGGGACCGGAGCCATTGGGACCCAGACGCAGGTCCAGGACCTGGGGTGGAGAGGGCGCAGAGAGGGAGCGAGGGAGAGAGAGGAAAATGGGGAATGAGGTCGGATCAGGTCGGGCAGGGCGAGGGGGGTCCCACACACAGGGAACAAAGCACGGTATTCGAGAGCTGGAGTCAAAAGATATCCCCGCCTGGATCAATAGGGCTACGGCTTCAACCTCCCTTCTCCCCCTGCCTACCCGGTTTTCCCCCATCCCTCTGGCCCCCGTCCTCCTCTCCCCTCCCCGGCACCCTGCCTGTGTGAGCTTGTTCCCCGACACGTCCACATGTGTCAGGTTGCGTAGGGAGCCCAGCGCCCGGATCTCCGTCAGCCGGTTGTCCCGCAGGTGCAGCGACTGCAGGTGCTGGAAGGCCGCCACGGGGTCGGCGGTGGCCAGGTCGGTGCCGTTGAGGGTGAGGGTCAGGTAGGCGGGCTTTAGCCCGTCAGCGGTGCGGCCCAATTGAGAGAGGCCCGCGGAGAGCTGCGGGGGGCACCGGGGAGGTGAAGGAGGGGTGGTGTGGGAAAGGAAACTCGCTGACCGGGGGAAGGACGAGTCGGGGCCCAGGATACCGTAAGAAACCGGGACACACAGGCCATGGCCAGGGGGTGAAGAGATGCACGTGGCATGTGGAGGAGGGGAAGGAATGGGGCCCGATAGAGGGACGGGGGAGGGTGTGTTACACACGGAGGTGGGGGCACAGGGATCCGTACCACGCCCTGACGAGGTACGACAGACGGAGACTCGCAGCGAGCTGTGGAGAATGGAAATACAGACGCGGGGGGTTGCGGATGATGCGGAGACGGGGAGCCTAGTAAGTTTAGTTAATACGTAGCACAGGGGGGGGCTGAGCTACACTCGTAAGCTCTGCCAAGATTTACTCCTGTTCTGGATTATTAAGATACTAAAAACCAATAAACCAAATATTATATTGAACAGGTGTAGACGTGGCGGGAAGGTCTGCAGCGGTTGTGGTGAGATGCCTTTGCGTTGCTTTGCGGCACGGAGGCTGTTGTGGCATTGCGTGATGGCACAGTGGCGCTGGCAGCTAGGCAAGCTCCCTCACCCGTCCCGGCTCCACGCCACGTCTGGGCCCACCACCAACCAGATGAGTTCCCTGAAAATTCCAGCCCACCATCCGCTCCTACATATTCCCCGGGCACGGCGGCCTGGCTCCCATGCAACTTTGCAACCTGACCAACCCTAGGGAGTGCGTGCTTGCAGATACCGCCCTTGCACTGTAGCCCTACGGCACCAGCTCCCTTACTGCAAAACGGCAATATACCTAACGTTCGCCGATATTCTGGTTAAGGAACCCACCCAACACAGTCCGATTATGAGGCAACGGGACAGAACCGCATCAACATGAACCCACCACTAAGCCCCGGTGTACATGTATCTGCACCTGGGCCGTGGCAGTAGACACCTGTGCCAGAGGGAGACCCCTGGGCGCCTGCTGCTCCGAAACCGGTGCCCCGGGGCCATTTGTGTGTCCCCTCCCAGGGCCCGCAAGGCACGAGCTCTGCTACGGTGTGCGTGTGTGTGTGTGCGTGTGTGTGTGTGCGTGTGTGTGTGCGTGTGTGTGTGTGTGTGTGTGTGTGTGCCTCCAGTGCCCCCAGTGCCTCACCATATTGAGTGTGAAGGGCGTCTTACGCTCCTCCACAGGTTCCGGAGGAACCTGGATCACCACGGGCTTCTTTGAACCGCGCCTGCTGCTGCGTGAGGCTCGGGACGTGGATGAGCGCCCCGAGATGGATGCTGACGGGCTGTTGAGCGCCTGGTGATCAGCCATGAGCCGGCCGCTGATTTTAAGGATAGGCTTCTCCATGTCGGGTAGCTTCCGGCCAAGCTCCGTGGGTATAGATGCTGGGAGCCGGTGCCCCTTCTATCAGGCCTTCCAAACCGTTGCAATGTCCCAACGGTATACCAGGGGAAACCGCTCAAGCTCAAGCTGGCTTTCTGAGCCAGATGCTGTTGCCGCTGCTGCTTCTAGCGCCAGTTGTTCGCCTCCAAGAACTAGAGTCTGTTGGAGGATCCTGTTACTACTGTCCGGGTTGACAAAAATGTGGATGACAGCTGATACTCCAGTCCCTTTGCTTAGTCCAAGTCCAAATAGTTATACGTGATGATTTGCTACGACTCTAATAGACATACTGTCTCGTGGGAATTGAAGGTAGGTAAGGGATCCAGCTCTGGAGGGCTGTTCTCTGTTTTGGTTGCGTCAGGGTCCCGCACCGTGTTTTAAAATCCCTTTCAATTTGTACAAATGTGCAGAATGGCACAATACCTGCACCATTCTATGCTGGAATCGGGTCTTTAGTTCACCTCGTCCCGGCGAGTCTTGTTGACCTTTATTCCTTACGTTTGCCGGGCATAATGCAAAAATCCAATTAAAGAAAGTTCCACGGTAGATATAACAGAGCGCAGCGACGCTGGGTGTTTTCTAACCGTACTTCTAATAATACGACAAGCTTGGACCCAATCTAAGGTTCTAAGGATAAAGAATAAAACCACAAAGCTATGCTCCAAATCTCCAGATGCTGCAAAAATGTTGGTTGGAAATTTTACTTCCAAGATACAGGATACAAGTTCCGCACAAGTGCGGGGATGCATCTATAAAAGCAGGGGCCCCATGGACGGTCAATTGTTACCGTTTTCTTACGTGTGCGTATCTTGAATGGAAGGAGTATCGGCATATGGCCCAGAGCCCTTGCAAGGTTGTCGCATGAGAGGATGCAACGTGATACGCTGTACACTGCGACATTTCCTCGAGGGCACAATTATTGGATGTCTCGTTAGGATGCAACCAGTGACAAGGGGTCCCGCGATTGCAAAGCAGGTATGGGTATCATGCCCGTGCACACCTTTGGCCAGCCAGACAGGGCCAGCACAGCGTTCAGAACCGGTGGAGCCTAAGCCGTCGGCCAACTCAAAAGAGGCAGCGAGCAACACGCACGCAAGGAGGGCCAGGCCATACACAGCCAGCACGCCATATACAGTCAGCAAGACTTCAGAGCGTCGAGTTCTCTGCAGAAAGAACCGACCGATCGACCCGCAGATAATCGGCATGAAATCCAAGGGCAAGCCGCATATTACGTACTCGCCTGTTGCCTTTAGCGGTCCCAAGAGCTTGCAGCTTGCTGTATGAACCTGATGTTGCAGTGGATCCGACCGGCGGAGCCTGGTGGAGCTGCCGCACCCAAATAGGGTACAGGCTAGGACACCCCCGAAAAGGTACCAGGGTGAGCCCCGTATCACGGCTCGGACAGCCCCAAACAACAAACCAGAGTCGCTCACCTGCCCTGCAGCGCTTCTTAAAGGGAAACCCTGGGCACGATGTGCGAATGGGCGCCAGGATAAAGGCACAGTGGGGGAGTCAGCCAAGTATTAGCAGCGTACCACCAAAGCCCCGCAGAACAGGGCCCTCGAACGCTTGGCTGGGGCCCGCAGGGGTTACACCGCGCACACCAGCCGATTGCGCTCATATGCCACCGACCCGAAACCCCACTATGCGATGAAAGACATTACCCAAACGCACCCTACCACGTGGCTACCGCCTACCGGGACCGGACAAAACCCGTTCCAGCACTCACAAGTCGGGCGCACACAACCGCTGTTCCAGTTGGGTTGCGGGGCCTAACAGAATCCCGTTTCCGCCGAGGCAGCCCCAGGGATGCGGAGGAGGGACGCGTTCTCCAAAATCTGAGACCTTCCGATGCATCACTCGTTCCTGGAGGACATCACCTTACTCGCTCATCATGCCCGCAGCGAACGAGCCTCTGCTTGTTACTTCTCCTTAACCTCTTTTAGTCAAGTCCCCTTCTGTGCCCTGCTCGTATTTGAGCTCTGCATTTCGATTCTCCGCCTTGGCTGGGTGCTGTTAGTTTTGGGGGATGGTTCCCCGCTAGGGCTCGTTTCTCCTTCTATGGTTGCACTCTAAATATGCTACTCCTGGGACAGTCACGTTAAATGGGAAGACACGGCAGCATGGATCGTATAGCAAGGGCTAACCTCGCGCTTGTGCAGCTGAAACAATAGACGCCTCACATCTGCGGAATCCAGCCAGTGGAACAGCCGCCAAGTTGCCTTGCCGCCTAAGCTGGAGAGTATCCCGAACGTGAAGCGGTATGCAGCTGGACCAAATCATGATCTAAAAGCGGAGCTGCCACATGAGGGTTTTGTGGGCGGAACCCACAGCGGTGGTGCCTGGACATGAAGGCGGGGCCGGAGGAAGGCGCGGCCGCTAGGGGGGAGAACACCTGCTATGCCTGATGCACAGGTCACACAAGGGATGCAAGATGCAGGGCACCACGCGCTCCTCCAGGCCGCTTCTTTCGACAGCGATTCTTGTCGGCTCGTAGTCCGGAGGTAGGGATGACTCCCATGTTACTGGCTTTCCGCTATCCACCGTCAGCTCACAACCATCTAAGCTCGTGTATTGACCAACTGGAGATCTGCACTGGAAACCCACATTTCACGGTGTGCCATCAGGGTCTGGGACGTAATTGCGCGCCGAGGGAACCGAGGCGGCTGTTGCTTCCCAGACATTCACTAGCCAGCCCGAAGCTGTCCGGGCAGCACTTCTCATGCGCGGAAAAGACTCAAGGTGGCACAGCAACACATTACTCCTCAACAGGTAACGCGACCTCCTGCAGCGGTACACTGCGGCAATGTTTCAGCAGGAAATGACCTGTCCTTGATGTTGTACGGCTTGGCATTGCTGTACACCCGTGGCGGTGTGGAGGCTATCGTGGTGGGGGAGGCAAAGGTCAGGGCACCAACAATGCAGAATACCAGCTGGTGCAAAATTGCAGCTACGAAAGAGGGCAGTAGAGAACGAGAAACACATTTCGAGCTCCGGTGGCTCATGTGCCTCGTCGTACAAGCTTGAGCAGTTTATGACAAATATGCTAAGAACTTCATTTCTGTTTGGTATACCAATAGCAGATAGGCTGGTCGATAGCTTCTTTTGAGCGTAGTACAGCTTTCAGCCATGCTGATTAATATGCCTCTTCCGGCGAGCATTGGTACACAGCTCTTCCATTTTTCGCGCAGTAACGTGGACGCCTCAGTGCTGTCATAATCCACAGTCGCGCTATATAAAGCAGCCTCCCAGCCAGCAGGTTCTAGTGCAGAGCCTCCCATGCTCTCCTCTGGCCGCCTGCTGGCAGTCACTGCGATCATTGGGCTTGAACGTCAAGCCGCTGTGACTATTTCCGGCGTCTCGCTGGGTCATTGCTGTGGCATCAGGAGCGCCGTGGGCTCCGGACTGGGGTCCTGCTGCGAGCGTCCCGTAGCGGCCCCTTTTTGCAACCCAGTTCCCAGGCCCCAACGGGTACAATGGTTTGCGCAGCAGAGCGCAGGTGGCAAGGACCTCGAGGGCGACACTACGCAGGAACCATCTCCCAGTAGCAGTGCTGCCTCCCCCTCGCAGCCAGCCACGCCCCCTCGTTCCTCGCCCAAAGGCCCCGCGCCCCTGGCACCGCCCCCTGCTTCCGCGGAGGCTCGCGCCCTCGCGGACACGCTCCGGCAATTCTCCCCCACGGGCCGCCTGCTCGATCTCTTCGCACCGACAACAGGCCAACGACCACCGGGCCCGCAAGGCCCCGCAGCAGTTGTGGTGCCCACTGCCGCCGCAGGTGCGGCGGCTGTTGATGCGGCCAAAGCCGCTGATATCGACGTTGTCCATGTCGTCATGCGCGCGGTAGAGAACTGCAAGCCGCTGATGAAGATCCAACAGAACAAGGCTGGCAACAAGGTCCTGTTGGTTCCCAAGCCTCTGGACCCGGCGCAGTCCACCAACTTTGCAATCAAATGGATAGTCCAGGCGGCACAAAAGCGCCGCGACAATGGCCGCGGCCGGGTGCCCATGGCAGACTGCCTGGCGGCCGAGCTGCTCCTGGCGTACCAGCGCAAGGGCTCCGCGCGGACTCGGCGTGACGAGATTCACAAACTGGCACTTGACAACCGGGCCAACGTGCGTGCAAGGTGGTGGTGAATGATGGTAAAGAGTAGCAGCAGCTGCGCTGGTGGCGTCCATTATTGCTGGTTGTAGCGGGACGCAAGCATCCCGCGATAAGGTACTGCGGTGCTGTTATCATAGGAAGTTTAAAATCGAACTCCATTCCATGGGATCCAGCGGGAAATCGAGGAGGAAATGAAGGAAGTGATGGCTGGGGCGGCAAAAAAGGGCGTTAAATAGCAGGAGCACCGCAAAAATATTTGCAAGGGTTAGTGGGCAGGCGGACGCACGCATGGCCTTAGCGTGGATGCTGGGGCTTGTCTCCCCCTTGCTTTCGGCTGTGGACTGTGGAGGGATAGGAGGGCTTAAACCCGTGGAGCGCTGGATGCGTGGAGAAAGTGCACGTTGTCTGGCGTGGGGTCTGCAGTTGCTCTTCCAGCTCTACTAAGCACGATAACGGTGAGGGACCGTCGGCTGCGTGCAGTCAGCCGTTGAATGATGAGACGCTTTTGGTTAGCAGGACAGGGTATGGATGGGGAGAAGCTGGGCTGTATGTCTTTCATCGAACCCTGCCTCTGCTCTCAATGCTTTCCGTGGAGACCCATCATGTAGCTGTCCGGGGTGTAGCAGCAGAAGAAGGGGTGAAGAGGTTTTTGGATTCCATTCCCAAGCGCAAAGGAAACTCTCTAACCGCATAAGATATAGTATTGAGTAGCTCCATCTCAGGAAGCTGTCAATTGACATCTTGCCTGCGCGGCTTGGTGGAGAAGGGGTGGTGTGGTGTAGATGGTTTTGTAGGAGCAGGTGGGTAGGTCGGGCGCGCTGTTGTGCCAAGCACCTGAGTGCAATCTGTTAATGAATGCCATACGGTGACAGGCTAGATTTTTCCGCGTGGGAGGTGCGGGTTCATGCGAAAGGAGGACCGGCTCGGCAAGCTCTCGGGTAGAACCTTCAACGGGGCAACGTGCACAGGTTCAGTGCAAGGGAAGCACCTGTCCTTGAACTGCATGGAACGACATAAGTAGGTTTCAATGGAGTTGCCCTTCAAAACTCCTCAGTCGCCATCCAACGCACCTATGCTGTCACCCCGACAGGTCGAAGGCCAAGTAGCTGAGCTGAAGACAAACAGCGAACTTAGTCCGTGAAAAGCATATTTACCAGGAATACCGCCGGAGCTGGAGCACTCTGTTGGAGAGAACTTCTATCCACACCCTAGCCCAGTACGATTCCAACGAACTAAATCCACGTCAATAACTGGGCCTGCAACCAGATGCAACAATGCACCAGTCACCACAACGTTCACCCATGGTCCTATCCTGGGCATAAGTTAATGGCCATTAAGGCATGCGAGGCTTGATTTCCTTGTGCACGTAGCAGCCCAGTCCGTGGGGCCACAATAGGATCGCGCCACCGATGGACCAAAGCATGTGGCAGTGCATAGGAGCTTCACATTCGCCGCATTGCAGCGGGAAGACTTCCACGCGGAAGGGGTGGACCTCCATCCCCATCCTCGCTGTCGCTGATGGTTGAGCTGTCGGTTGATAGACTGGTGGCATTCGACATCAACAGCGGGTCCTTGACTCCAATCTGTGCGAAAGGACACAAAAGAAAAACTGATGGCTTGCAATTTCGATCCGAATTCGGATTCCGATTACGTACCTGTTGCAGAAGCTTGCGGCGGCGAGCGCCGTACTGCCGCAATCGGAACAACGCGCCATCACGGCGGCTGTTCTCCCGTCCTGAGAGGCTCCCACCCGTATTCCCCATCATTGTCGCCGTTGCCTGCTGTAAGCCGCCAGGAGCCAGCCCGTCATCTTCTGACCCTGAACCAGACTCGATGCCAGGTGAACCCCCTGCCTCTTGATCGTAATACGATAACGGCGCCTTTGCCTCCGCCGCCATGGCGGCAGGCGCGCGGATCAGCTGACGTGGCAGCGAAAAGCCGGCAAGAGACGTGGAGGCGGCAGGCACGCTGTCTACGCTAGTTGAAACATCCAACGACGACTCGATGGAATCGGCCAGCCCCAGGCCCTGCATACGCCTAGCCATTGTCGCAAGGCCGCTAACTGGGGCCCCCATGCGGGTGCGGCACTGTGCCTCCAGGGGGTTACGGGACCGGGGGTTAAGGTTGGGCCCGCTGGATGTGGAAGCTATAAGGGTTTCGGAGCTGCTCAAAAGCGGATCCTGGGGCTGCTGAGCCGAGGCAGGCCGCCAAAGCTGCCGGGTAGGGCCCTGGTAGTTTGCCAGGGATGGCGGCTTTCCTGCAGTCCGCCATGGCATCAGGGAGTGCAAGTAGTTGCAGTGGTAATAGGGACATGATCAATCAGGCAAAAGGCACGCCTGGCATACGGCACCTTGCATACATGCTATCTGGTGGTTCAAGAGCATAGGGGAAATGAGCGGAATGACCGTGACTCGATATATAGGCGTAGGGTACATGTCATGCATAATGATTTGAGGGCGAAATCGGTGGCCATGTCACAAGACACCCGAGTTGTATTGCTCTGTAAGAGGACGCTACCGATGGCCAGAACCTACCGAGGGTACCGGGGATACATCGCGGTACCCAGCAGCGGATACGAAATGAAAAGCAATTAGATACTACGAACGCAACCCTACATGCTGGCTAAGCGCAGAACGACCCGCCGACGCACCCACCACGCACCCGGTGAATCCGGCGGTTGAAGTGCTCCACCACCCTCAGCCGCTGACGTGGCTGACGGCTGCAGCGGCGCCAAGGCCGGTCGGGTCCTTCCCGGACCGGACGGCTGCTGCTGTGGCGCCAGCGACACGGGCGCCACTGTCGCCCGGGTCAGACCTGAACTCCCGCCAGTGCTCCCGGCCTGCTGGCGGCCCAAAGGCGCCAAGCCAGACAGGGCAAGGCGCTCCATCGAGGTGCGCAGCGCGATCTCATCCCTGTCGATGTCAGTGCCAGCGCCCACACCCGGCTGGTTTTCAATGTCCAAGTGGTTTTCTGAGTGATGCAACTGCACAGAAGCGAGTTCAGAACCGGACGAGCCATGAGCTGAACCCCCTGATGCCTGGGAAGGCACGACTGGTGTGGCGGCCTTGCTACCTCTGGAGTCAGCACCGATACGCTGGGAGCTGCCAGCACTCATGCTTCCCAAGTCAGGCAACCTGTCTGACACACGCCCTCCTGCAGCGGCGGCGTGATCCGTTCCACTGCCAATTTCACTGGCTGGGGTACCGGTGCTGGGCGAGAATGGGGCACTATGTGGCGCTTGCCGGACTCCGGACCCGGCCTCACTGATACCACTGTTATCCCTGATGTTGGATCCCGCATGCACCAGACCTTCCTCGCCAAACTGTCCAGCCTTTGACGCGTCCTCCTGTGGTTCTGGCGCGGTGGGTTCGTTGGCCTGCATTCCGTGGGCGGACGGGCTGATGCTGACACCGGCGTTGTCCTCAAGGCTGGATTCCGCCAACATAGCCACCTGGCCTTCCATGTTTTGCAGCTCCTCATCCTCCTCGTCCTCCAGGTCATCACCCGCCGCCTCTCTCGCATCCTCTTCTTCCAACACGCGTGCAACCTCGACCTCGTCTAACAACTCATCGTCAGAGAGTGCAAAGTCCCCTGCTTCCCCAGTGTCACCTCCACTGTACTCTTCAGCAGCAGGAGCATGCTCGTCGCTCTGGGGCGTCCAGCTTGCAACTGGGCTGTGCTCCTGTTCTGCGGCATCACTGCTTACACTGTTGCCTGGGCGTTGGGATGTTTCCCTCAAGGCAGGGGCGCTGGCGGTCGGAGCTGCAGCCTCGGCGGTAACGGGAGGGGCGACCTGTACACCACCGAAGCTATCACTTCTGTCAGCTTTCATGCCCGCCCGGTCGTCCGAGGACTCGACGTGCACACTGCGAATCTGGACGGGATCTTCGTCCGCAAAGTCGTGATCTCCAACGAGCTCGTCATCACCGACCGCAGGAGTCTGGTACGCGGTGCCTGCAGTGGCTGACGCCAGGCCCGGCCTCGCATTGTGCATGACGGCCGGGGTATGCACACTGGCCACCGAGTAATGCTCCACAGAATGGGCCGATGCCTCACCGCTTGGCACTGCTGACCCTTTCCTCGAATCATGTGGAGCGCCGTCACCAGCGGTACCCGAAGACGGTGCGATTAGGTCTTCACTCAATGCAAAACTGCTAACACGGGATGCAGCGCCCAGGCTTTCTTTTGCCCCGTGCTTGCCGCTGCCTGTGATGCTGCCAGGCAGCGAGGTACCAGCTGGTGATCGCTCCGCAGCGTCGACACCGGCGGTGTTAGTGGACTCCTCTAGAAGCTCAATTCCATGGCCTTCTGAGCCAGCACCAGAGGAGCTGTCGCGTGGCTCATCGGTGCTCACACGTGACGACGGCCCAGCGCTTTGTGTCAGATACCTCGGTGGCCCAGTGCCAGCGTCGCCACCGTTACGAGCTTCCAATTGATTGCTGACGGGGCCATTTCCACGGCGCCAGGACCCCGAACTGACCAGGCTGCTGTCCATGGGTATCTTACCGCCATTAAGAACACCCGCGTGGCTGACATCGCTACGTGCAGACGAGCCACTCCTCGTACTGCCCGAGGCATTGATGCCCATTCCAGCGCTTCCCACGCGATCTGTTGGCTCCAGAGAGCTCGACCGCTGCTCAGCTGCTGCTGGATGTGACCGCTGTGGCTGCTCTGAGGAGGTTCTATGCTGATCCAGCCGCACCGGCCTGGCCGTCAGGGCCGCCAGCTCAAGCTGCGCGTAGCTGCGCTGAAGTATGCCGTCGTCGCTGTCGAGGCTGCCACGGGAAGCCATGCGTAGGGCTTCTAGCGCCGCAGCCCGCGCGCGTGCTGCAGGCGCCTGGGGTGAAGACGTTCGCGTGGGTTAGAAGTGCAGGGGAACAGCTCCTTAGTTGGGTATGCCATCGCCGCAGCACACCGCAGAGATGTGAATGCTCTGGCCGGGCTAATGGATGCTGTCTTTGCAACTAACAAAGCATGTACCCCATTCTCAAAATCAAAGAACGATTAGCACACGACACCTGTAGCGGAATTGCCCGTTGACAGGGGAAACTCTTTCCCCTGTAAGCTGTAGGCAAAGGCCCATGCACGTATGCATGATAGACACACCAAGGCCTTCGATAGCATAGCGTGTACCTGTAAACGACGTTCCATGCTGTCCGTGCTCGACTCCACGTCAGACGAATCCCGCAGCTTAGAGAGCCCCGGAATGTTGAGCAACGGGCGGCTGCCCTCTCCACGCGCAAGCAGCGGAAAGGTGAACTCGGATGCACCGCCATGCAGGGCAAGGACGGATGACAGCTGCGAATTGTCGGCTGGAACCAGGTAGAAAGGCCGGGGCATGGCGAGGGGAGAACCATCCGGCGCCAGGATCGGCTGTCCACCCTCCACACTTATGGTCCCATAAGCGCGGGGCAACGGCGGGACAGTGCCGTTGGGCAAACCTGTGGCACGGGGAAGGAGCGTAGGCGGTCACAGTGTCAATGCCTAAGCGGCAGGCCCGATACCGCATATCTGGCGCTCGAGTGCACCCCTGGCTGTACTCGAGTCACATTACTCCCCATTGCCCGGTTGCCCTGACCTGCCACCACCCGGCCCCTCTCACACCTGCCATCATCGCAGCCTGAAGAAGGTAATGGGGCGGCGGTGGATCCGCCTGCGACGACCTATCCATGACCCCGGCAGCTTGAGTAGCTCGCTCCTGTACCCCGGCAGCCTGGATGGCCCGGGCCGCCATGCCGTGCGCCTGGATACCCCGTGCCTCCACGACCCCGTGGGCCTGCACAGCACGGGCCTCCGCGCCATGCGCTTGCACGCCGCGTGCCTGCACACCATGAGCCTGGACGCCCTGCGAACGGCTCGGACTTTGCTGCACTGCGCCGCCTGACGACGCCAGAGATACGCTGGTCTCTTTAACGAAACCTTGATCTGGCGCCGGTGCCGCTAGCGGTGCACCCGGCAGAGGGTCTCGACCCCCCAAACCAGCTTTCCCCGCCCCCATGGCGCCTGGCGTGGGGATTGACGGCAAGGAGGCTCCTGGGAACCCCAGCGGGTTGCTGAGCGAGCTTGGCATGAGTTCTGATGACAGGCCTGCCGGGATAGCAGAAGTTGGGAAAGAGACGGGCGCGCTGTACTGCCAAGTCGCCTGGCTGTGTGTCGCTGGTGCAAGATCGATTGCGGACATCCCCGTTGATGCGTCGGCATGGAGCATGCGGACTCCCGGGTCCTCGCCGTCGGTTTGGACAGCGGCAGCTACAGCATTCGGTGCTGCTTGCACTGTCTGCGATGACTGCTGTGCACGCTTGGCAGCGTAGACAGGTTGCCACGCCTGCGTGGTGCCAACCGCAGCCGCCGCGCCAGGGCTGGCAGCATCCTGTCCGCCCATACCACCAGCACCCTCAGGTTGAGTTGTTCGGCCAAGGTAGCTTCCGCTGAGGCCTTCGATGGCGGCCGTCGTAGCGCTTTGCGTCCCAGTTACGAAGTCCCCAAACGATGCATCAAGGCCAAGGACTGGCGAAACATCACCACCCGTGTCGCCGACATCGGTGACTGCCGCGTGCACCGCGGATCTCTCACCATCCCGCGTATCATTATAGGGTGCGTCAGCGGCCATACCAAGGTGACTAACGGCAGCTGCAGCCGGAGCGTCCGCCCCATGCTGGGATGCCGGCTCCTGCTGCTGCTGCCGCTCCGGCAGCACCGGCATTGTCGCAAGCGCCGCTACCACCTCCTCCAGCGTCGGGACGCCTGCAGTTTCTGTAGCCGCAGAGGCGCTCTGCTGCCATGGGCTGGCCAAAAGGCTGCGCAGGTTGTCCCGGAGCACGTCACACACCAGACGGCGAGAAAGGTCCAAGTCCACCAGTGGCGGCACCATGCCTGAAGATGAGACCACGCAAGCGCTTGCACGCGCAGGGAAAGGCGGCTCAAATCAACCCGGTCACATTAAAGTCAGGCGCATTCTCGCTGCTAGCGCACAACGTGGGGAGCAGATTGTCCGTATCTGGGCAAAGTCCGTAACATCCCTCATTATAAGGATAATGCGTGGGCTTCTAGGATAGGGAAAAGCCCACGGATGTGAAATCGTGCTCGCGATGTTGTAAGATTACCTGAAAGGTCTTTCAGGCTGATCTCTGGAGCACGGTGGTCTTGTGCGGATAGCTGTGCCATGGCCAGGCGCTTCACCACCTCGTCTTCCACCACCTGCCGGGAGCAAGGGGAACTCGCCACCGGTTGGGCCTATAACCCGGCCAAGCTACCGCTGGAGCGCTGATGATTTGACACGAGCAATGCGTGCTCGCTGCATGAAAAGAGTTTCTGCCACGGTGCATTGCCATGGACGCATGATGATGGTGATTACCCGAAATGACCAAGATTCCCTCGGTAGCAATCGCAGCAGCATAAAGCCTCCTGCCCAGCCTTACCTGCAGCATGTCAGCTTCCCATTGCTGGCCGGGATCAGGCGCGCGCCGACCCGTGGCCGGCGCGCTGGCCGCAGCTGCCGCGGCAGCTAATGCTGCGCCCGCGGCCTGCGGAGGCAGTAAACGCGTGTTGCTTGGGACGTCCCCTGGCGCAGGGAACGTTAGCTGCTGCTGAGGCTGCGGGGAAAGTTGCTGCTGCTGCTGACGTTGCTGTTGTTCCAGAGGCTGCCAACTAAGGCCATTCGGGCCTTTTGTTGCTGCGATGATCGCCCCGTCACCACCAGTCTGCTGCAGTACACGTGTCTCAGAGGGATTTGCGGACATGCCAAGCACATGGGCAGGCTGATGAGCCACCAAGGGGAGAGCCATTGCCGCCGCGGCGGGGCCTGGCGGTTGCCGTTTGATTGGCGTACTGAAACCCAGGCCGGTTGGTGCAGCTCCCAAGGCCGCCATGTATGCTGAGGGTGCACCCTCTGCAGATGCTGCAGAGGCAGCCCATGCGGGCAAACGAGTGATGGGCGGATGTGCGGTGTCGACGACGTACTGGAAGCGAGGACGGGATGTAGCTGTTGTGTTAGGCCAGGCAAGAGCGCCTGGTTGCGGCCACGGCTGCTGCGCCACAGCAGCAGTGTTGCTGCTTGCCGCTCCCAATGTGCTAGGTGCTGCAGTTGCGAAAACAGTACCACGAATATTCTGAATGCCGTTGGGTTGTGTGGCGAGTTGCTCAGGAGCTTCGCTTAACAGGGTAGAGCTGGACTCGACCAGCGGCTGCTGCTGTAGCAGGCCCTTGTGCTCTGGCTCGATTGCATGAAGTGAGACTGGTTGCGGGTCCGCTAGTCCGGTTTGCACCGCTGCCTCGCGGCCGGGTGCCTGGTCTACCGGGGTGGGAAGAAGGCTGCCTGCTCTGTCCACAGGGACGCCTTTCCCATCGCCTTGGTCAGCGCGGACATCGTCATCAGCTTCATCACCATCGGACAGTAACACGGAGGCCAGGGCGCTCAGAACTTGATGCATGGCATCACCAGTGCTAGATGAATTGGGAGATGGCGGGGGCGCGTCCGCCGCCGCTGCAGTCCTGCCCGAGGTCTTGCGCGTGCGCGTGCGAGCCCGGCTGGGCGAAGCCCGGGCTGTCGGCGGGCTGCTCGAACGAGCTCTAGGGGGCCCAAGGGAAAGCGTTGGTGCAGTGACAAACGACCGGGGTTGACTGATGTCCATCGCCTCAAAGCAAATGAGAAGCGGCAAGGTTCAAAAAGGACGGCATATGTCGGCGACGGGCCGTTGTATTCATATGTAGGCACAAAGAAACCCGCCACGGAGCCAGTAGGCAAAGGCCCCGATGCATGACTTCACAGTTAAGATCGAGCCGCCGCAAAGAGAAAGCCCGCAACGTGTGACGGAGTGACATCTCACATCAGACACACCTTGAAGATCCGGCTTCGACCGCCTTAGGCGCTTCATCCACACGGCGCCCGAATGCTATGCGTACAGACCCAGATGCCTGTGTTTTACGCAAAGCTCTAGGGGGTGACGACGACGTTTCCGCCGCAGCCGCCGTCAGTAATGGGCGCGGCGCTCGCGGTCCAGGGCTGAGCGCACGCTGGCGGGCCCCAGTCCGCGCTGTGAAGGACCGGCATTGCGGTTACAAAAAAGGGATTACCTGCCGCACGCATGTGCTTGACAACCAAGTGCAAGGCGTGTACGCCACGCAGGCATGCATGGCACGCAGGCATGGTTTCTACAATACATCCACACGCGAAAGTAGAGGCGTTTGCTACAGTGCCAGGGCAACCTTGCGATGCGCTGAACATTTCCTGGGGAAATGCGTGCTCACCTGTCGCATCTGTCTGTTCCTGGACCACGTCAGGCCCGGGGGCTGTGGCGGTGCCGGTTGAGATAGCCTGTCGTCCCGTTAAAGTCCGCCCCGCTCGCGCCGTCTGCCCCACCGCAGCTGTGGTGATGGCCGCACTGGATCCCGCCTGCTTAGCTCCAGGCGATCCACGCTGTGAAAGGGCCGCCGCGGGTGCAGCAGCCCTGTATGCAACCTCTGCCTCGACGGCCTGTACAGATGGGAAATCCGAAGGCTGTAAGTGAGAAGGCTGTCATAGTATGGCCGGTATGGCAGCCCGGCAATGATGTCTTGCGTTCAGCACAAATAACATTCTCAGCACACGACCTGCTTCGCAGGGCAAATCCAAGAGACATGGTTCAGGACATGCATCGCTATACCTACGCCATTTTGCTGTACACTAGCTGATATCTGCAAAATAAAACCACACCTTCGTGAACTCGCCCAAATCGAACCAAGCTTCATCAACGTCCCAGACGGAGTACGGTGGTGGCAGCAATCCTGTGAAATCCCCGCGGGGTTGTGGAGCCGCTTTTGCCAACGCCAACCCAGTCGTAGCTACTGTTCCAGAGACAGGACGCGGGCGGCCGCCAGCAGCGTGCATCGAAGGCATCGTGTGTGCTGCTGCACCCAGGCAGGCCGACGGGCTTGCAGGTCCCCCTGCTTGCACCATGAGCCGCGATGCCCGCCTTGCCTGCTCCAGCTCGCGCTTGACGGCAGCATAATCGAACGCACCGCCCAACAACTCCTCCGCCTCCCTGCAAAGGGCGAGAGGCTATTTTGATTTGCCCGACGGCGCTTGCTGCCACCCTGGGACTCTTGTTATGAAGGAAGATGCGCCGCGAATGCACATGGGCAACAGCTGCAACACCGTGGGACGCAGGTCGCCACCCGCAAAGCATTAGACGCCGGCATGTGGCCCATGCCAGCATTGCCTCATAGTATACAGCTCGTCGCGCTGTAACACCTAAGCGCACCTTTGAGCTTCCTTTCGTTCTTCTACGTCCGCCAGCGCTGCCCATGAGGGTGGCTTGTGCTGCTGTGCGCGTGCGCCATCTGGGTCGCCTATGAAAGCGAGCGTTGAGCGAAAAGCATCCCTTACGTCCGCAGGCAGCGCAGACCGACGCGGTTGAGGCGGCCCCAATTCCCAAGCCTTCGAGGTCGCCTCTGCACCGCCAGCCTGCGGCCCTAGAGCTCCCAACCCCACAGCGGTATGAGCTCGTGCAAAGACGGACTCTCCACCGGTGACGAAATAGCCATTTGTATGCACATCTCCTACCACGCTGGGACCATTCCTTGCGGGAGAAGGCTGTCGACTTGTGGCAATGCCATTACTTCCGTTTATGGGTTGTGAATCAAGCCAGTCAGGTTGCTCCGCATGAGCGATGGCAGGTAGCACTGGGGGGGCTTCCATGGCAGAACCCAGAGATGCAATCGTCTGGGTTTCGCTACCAACAGCTGCATCCACACGTGTTGGTCTGCCCGAAAGCTCTCCGCCGACCGCGCCCTTGCCGCTACCGCCGGCCAGCGCGCCCTCTTCGTCCCTGGAGGGCTTAGCTCTTCCTGCTCTGTCCTGTCCTGCCTCAATGCCCCCTGTAGAGGCAAGGGTTGTTACCTGGTCTTGCGGGGCATGTGACTGCAGCTCTTCTAAGGATTCCGGCCTGATGGGCCTAGGCGTCCTGGCTGTGACTCGCGGCGCACCCAGCCGCACCACACGCAGGTTGCTGCCTGGCGTGCCGCTGGCGTTGCCGCTTAAGGCATCGCTGGGACTGGCAGTTCCTCCTCCTAACTCCGGCGCACCAACGGGCGACTGGCCCAGTGGCACACCCAGTCGCTGCGACCAACGCAGGCGCTGCCGTCTCATCTGCGCTTCTCTGCTGGCCTGCCCAAGCCCTCCCCAACCTCCAGGCCCATCTCCACCTCGATGCTCATTTTCGTCGGGGTACGCCGCCGACGCCTGAACAGCCACCGCATCTCTAGCGTTCACCACCGCACGCCGCGCAATGACCATTGGCGTAAAACGGCGGTGAGGCGACACCAAGGCGCCCTGGCGCTCCTGCGGCTGGGGATCTGGGCTTTCATTACCGCAGTCAGCTGCAGGAGCCTGAGCTGCTGAATCAGTCCCTGGCCGCTGATGCAGCAAAGACTGAGGGAGCCGTGCTCCGCCCGCAAGCTCAACAGGCAGACCATACATGGACCGCCCTGCTGCGTGCATGCGGGCATATGCTCCTGGCGGCAGGAGTCCTGGAGGTGGCAGCATTGTTTGCTTTACCGCTGCCGCAGCAGCTGTGGTGGCCGCTGTGGTCGCGACGGATATGATGGCGGCCAGCTGGTCGGCGTTCTGCAGCAGGTCCATTTGCTCCTTGATGCGGCCGTGGTGGGGTCGTGGCCGCGGGCGCTCAACATCATCATCATCTGCGCCTCGCCCTGTAGACGTGGTGGTGCTACCGGCACCGGCTGTCGAGCCTTGTCGAATTGCCGCTGTCCACGGCGGCGCCATAAGCGCCATGACGGTTGCCTGTGCTTCTTCAGTTTGCATGGGGTTCGGCAACGGCGGGTCTTGCCCCGGCCCGGGCTCTGGTGGCGAGCCGGAACTGGAAGTTTCTATCGAGCTTAGGACGCGGCCCTGTGCCGGGGGCCCAGTCGTAAGAGGCTGGACTGCAATGCACTTGCTGCCAATCCTGGACCCAACAGGGTCACTGCTTGCGGTATCGTCCTGGCCGTAAAGTTGGCTGAGAACCTACATGGTGGCGGAAATGTTATCCTTTTGTGTCCACGCTGACAGATGCATTCAGGTTCGGCAATAGGGTCCGAAGTGTGTACAAGGGAACGGCGATAGTTGAATGGTTCTTAGCTCAGCACCCATGGGAGGGACGCGGCATGGCATCAGCACCTGCTTTATGTAGTCCTTGGCGACATCGTAGTCAGCAATGTTGGAACCCGACTGCAGGGGTCCTGCCAGGAGCCGCTCCAGCGCGTCATCAGTGCACCCCCGAGATTCTCCCTGCGTTTTCGCCAGGGTTAACATCCCAAGTTGGTGTCGAAGCTCGCGTCAACCGCCGGCTGTCAGGCGCACCTCCCGAAGCACCCGTATAAGCTCCGTCGCCATATGATGTGCCAACGGCGAGTCATTCTTCGTCCTAAGGATCAGTAACCGTTGGACAGCGTAAGGTGTGCCACAGGGGGAGTATGCCATTACAGAACTGCCATTTACTCACGGGACGACTTCCTGGTCGCTGTCGCCTCCGGACCAGTCCGCATCTTCGTCCTGGTTAGGCAAGCGATGATGCTTAGTTGTGTATGCAAGGCCTTGCGTTTCTATTGTAAACCTGTACTTCTCTTCGCGCAGTTGGTCTATGCCGCTCTTCATTATCACCCCTGTGCATACTGTAATAGGCTTGTTCCGTTTTGGTATAGAAGCTGACAAACGTATGGATTGTCGAAGCTTCGACTGCGAGGAATTGGCATTTCATCGTGGTTGGATCCAGCAGTACATTGCAAAAGTGCGCCTCCCAAAGGACACTACAAGTTAACAATTTACCTAATATTTATCATAATTGGCTTGCTTTAGAGTTGACTTTTGGCCGAGGTCCCCGTTCTGTGGTTATCCCCTGCGCTCATCCAATCCTTTTCGCCTTGCCGCTGCCTATGCTGTTTCGGATATAGATAATAAAATATGGGCCGAATAGCAACTGCTGGTTCAGCTTGCTCTGCAAGCCACCAGAAGTATCGCCCAGACTTGCTTGCGCAACAGGATTTGGACTCCCCACGAGCTGAATATTTGTTTAGGGTTCCTCGATTGCTTATAAAGCCATTATGTGCCATGCTTCTGGACCCTCGCGACGAACCAATCGTGCATCTCCTGTGCAATCAGTTGCAGCTCGTCATTCCGTCAGTTGTGCTCTTATTTGCATTCAATCGGAGCCACTGGCTTGGGATGTTGTATCTTGCATTCAACTACGGCTTATTTCTCCAGCGATTCATGCTCACGCTTCACTTCACCGAACATAGATCGCTGTTTAAGCAAAGTAAGTTCTCACTCAAGGGGTAAATGTTCCCTTGGGAGGGTGTCCTCTGTCCAGCAATAGCGCGTTGCCTGGAGAAGCCCCTGTCGTTACGTGACAAATGGGCTGTACGACGACGCTTGTCTCATTATCGCGCTTCTGAGGTAGTTTTAGTGCTTGATGCACGCCAAATGTGTTTTGAGGGTTTCCAGACGGCCTAGAGATCCGCGTTGTGTAGAGCACCACCAAATGTCGCCTAGGCAAACAGGGCAGGGGGACGTCAATCCTGTCGGTCTACGGTCATCACCCAAGTCATGAGTTGTGAAGGCTTTATCTAACTGCGGATGCAGGGTTCGGCTTCCTAAATCTACTGATACCGTACATCCTATGCAACTTCTATGGCGTTCCTGGCGGGTTTTACCGTCTTCACCACGTCGTTATGCACCATGTGGTGGGTTCCCCATGCTGAGCTTGTGGTAGGCGAGCCCAACAGCCTAAATAAGCGGCGACACATGCGCATGCATATAAGGGTAGGGGGCCCTTGGCCTGTACTGTTTACGAAGGGTTGACAGAACCTGGAACATCGACCCCTAGCCGGGTCGTAATGCTGCTCACGCAAACTACACTCGTTGTGAGCATGCAGGTATTAAGTAGATTCTCAAGTGGTGCAGGGTGCTAGGTGCAAAGCATGCGGGGAATGAAAGGCGGGAAGCCCCTTCCCCTCCGTTCGCCACGAAGGCGTGCTGAGTTCCTCATTTGCCCCCTGGCCACCTTTTCGCCTTGACTTGCTTACCGACCGTTGCAACCCCTCGCGTCTCAAGGCATGATCCTCGGCTAGTGTCGGCTCCTGCATAGACAGGCATAGTACGTGCCGATTACCTCCGGGACCACTCTAACGAGATCAGGTCGTCGTCTCATGTGCAACCAATTTAACTTTAATTCTCTTCAAACCGATTCGTTATGCTGTGTTCAACTTGAGAGCTTATGTTGCCCGAACGACAAAACCCAAATGCCAGGAAGGCAATGCAAGCCCTGGGGACTTGACCTCCACAGAGGCTGTGCAGCGAGACTCGGTGTGGCAGTTCATAAGGTAAGACAAGCTGGCACGCGTGGACCTGGCACACTAAGCGTCCATCCGGGGGTTTGCGCCTACACAACGGCCTATGTGTGGTTAGACGGAAAGTTCATAGGCACCTCGATTCTTCACTTCAGACGCTAGGCCTCTGTTCCAAAATCTCGTCCAACCTGCGACAGGTACTGGGTCCGCTTCTGGCTCTGCACATGGTTTGAGCTGCCCGCATATGCAGCATGGAAAGGTCGCCATGGTCAGGCCAACGTTTGCGCCGCGTCTGCTGTTGTATACTGGATTGCACTGGCGGGCCTTTGGCGGTTAAATTCGGTCGCCACGCTTTGGTCTCTAGTGGTGCCTTTCTTCGTCTCCACGTTTGCACTAATGTTCGGGAACTGGAGCCAACACATATTTGTCGACCCCGATGACCCGCGCAATTCATATCGCAGGTTAGAGGCCTTCCGCGTGCTGGTTGAGCCCCTCGTAGTAGCGAAGTTTTGTATCGCTTGCTTTGTCACGCGTCCTCGCGTACTCGGAATGCTTGTAGATCGCTTGAACTCGCATTTGCTTTGCGTGCATCAGTCAGCACAAACTGCTTCCCTGCCCCCGTTCTGTAGCACGTACAACTGCCTGGCGTGCCCAGACAATTGCCGTACCTACAACGATGGCTACCACATTATTCACCACCTCAACTCGCGGCTGCACTGGTCAGAGCTGCCGAAGCGTTTCATCGCGACCATGAGCGCTCATGACGAGAATGATGGTGAGACGTAATTATTTTTGCTTGCAGCACGGCCGGAGGGATCTTGAATGCGGGGGAGGGTGTGGCCTGCTTAATCGACTGTTTTTACCTCCTTACAGGATGTACCTGCGCCTCGCATCACTACTCGAACGACGCTAATGCTAGTTCCCAAACCTTCCTTTTTCCGCCTGCAGCCCTTGTGTTCCGCGGCATCGGGTTCTTCGACGTTGGCTTCATGGTCTTCACGAAACAGCTGGACAAGTTAGCAACCTATATCGTGCCATGTGGGCCCAACCAAGCGAAAAGGAGCCATGAGGAATGGGTAGCTTTATTGCGGCATAGATTGCGACCAGCTAGCAAGCCTGAGGCATGTTGCGGTGCACGCGCCCAAACCACGGTTTCATAGAGGTCACGAGGTTGCAGCAAAGACTTCCTTGGAACGATGCGTTGGGGAATATGAAGGGAGTTAACAACAATGGTGCATGACAGCGGACCAGGACTCGAGGGTTCATCGATAACAACATATGTGTTACGCATGACGGCCATAACAGCACTTTATCCCTTGGAGCCGTAGGCCTTAATGGCCGTCTATATCCCTTACAGCCACTGCTCAAAAGCAACACTTCAGCCCGTTTTCCAATCATGCCGAAAACGTCCATTGCCATGTGCTTCCTGATGTCGTTACCGATCATCATTTCATCGCTCGCATGAAAAGCAGCTCTGGCACACCACAAAAATTTAACCCGACGTAGCATCCCCCAGGACGGGAAGCACTACGCGCCTGCCACGTCCCCGTACACGCTGCTTGCTTGCAAGCAAGGACATGAGGTCATCGTTCCCGGCGCCGCCGCTGTCGGAAAGGTGGACGGCAGCAAATTCGTCAAAGGCCAGGCGAAGGTGCAACAGCTGGTAGAGTAGCGTGTAGTTGGGCGCATCCGGTGGCACGTACGTAAGTGCCACAGTGTTCGCCTGCAATGAGGGCATTACCATACGGGTCAACTAAAATTAAGGAAGCCTCCAACCCGCAAGAGTATGTTGTTTCAAACAGATCTCAGACACCACCTCAGTCACCACGGTTCTCGGCACACCATGCAGACACACAACCCACCTCAGCTTCCAGCCACGCCACCAGGTTTACATCTTCCACTGGCCGTGGCTGCCCCCGCCGGTCGCGCCCAGCCTCCCGCACTCCTTTAACGAGGAGTAACGGCGGGCGAAGCGGGTATTCAAGGAACAGACGCGCCAGCACCTCGCATTCCAACGATTTGTGTCGCAAAACAATCCGATACATGCGGGACACTGGCTTTGGTGCCGTCATTGTCGTGCCTGGACTTCCACCGGCAGGTCCCCCGGTGGCGCCGCCTTCTGCCGCGAGGATGTCGGAAAGCAAGTACCTCGCAACAAGCTCGTCCGCGGCGGCACCCCCTTCCTCCTCGTATTCGACATCCTCTCCATCCTCATGATCCCCACCGCGCGCCTCGCCCTCCTCAGCAGCCTCGCCGTCCTCTGCCGGCTCCATGACCGCAGCTGCCATCCTGCCCGCAGCTTTAAAGGCTAAGCGCCCGGCACCTAAACCACTAGGTGCAGGTGCCCCGGTGCCATCAGCTGCACCATCGCCGGCTGCGCCATCGAGCCCAGATGTTGCGGCGCTCTCTGAAGGAAGAACACAAGGAACTTTTAGTTTGAATCAAGCACAAGGAATGCATAAATGTGATTTGATGTTCCCCTGTTTGCACACCTGGGGAGACGGACCCTGCACAAATATGCTCAGCCGCAGTCAGAAACAAGGTGTAACATATGCCTGGTGCCCTGTCGAGACGCACCATTTCCAGGGGTGGTGGGCCGGCTGCCGCGCCGGCCCACCTCACCGTCTTCGGCAACTGTATCCACACGAATATGCGATGGTAGCGCTGAGGCAACCAGCTGATGTGGCTGCAGTTGTTGCACGGCACCACTTGCGGCATGGCTGGTACTCGCCACTGGGCGGCTCGCAGGCGGAGCTCCCTTCGTTCCGTTATCCCTTCCCTTGCCCGCACCGCCCATGGTTGCATTTGCTGAAGTGGGGGCCAAAGTCTTAATTTCCTCCACGCTGATAATGCTGGTAACAGGTAGCTTGGGGTACTGCCTTAGGTTCGGCGGGTTTGGCGCTCTATCCAAGGCAGCCAGGATTTTCCTGGGGACCAGAAGCAGAGGAGGCGGCATTCAAACAGGAGGAATTCAATGAGGAATCTAATAATCACCATGCAACACAATGTTGGTGTTCTACAGCTCAACATTAACTTGCTAGGGGTGCGCCCGGCACAAAATGTAAAATTTGCTTTCGAATGCAGGTAATCACGAATTACAGTTGTGGAAACAAGCATTTCGGCCTTACAGCATGACCACACTTAAGCGCGATAAGGAGAGTAGGTAATCCTTCCCAAGACACTCTCTATTTGCCAGCTTTAACATGTCGTGCAAATGACCATGCAGCGCAAACACGACATACTACTTACGCAGCATCGCCTAATTGGGCAAGATATTACGTCAATAGCTGTGCCACACAGATAAGAAGAATATCCTCTCCCTTCCCTTCCCTCCCCATCTGCCCCGCTCACCCGGAGAAAGCCACTCACTTCAGGGCCTCATCCCCCGTCTTCACCGCGCGGAGCCGCTCAATCACATGGATGACACGCTGCTGCCGCCTGTACAAATCAAGGCCCTCCAGCACACCTGCCGAAGCTTCCGAGCCGCCCTGACCCCCTTGAAGCTGCGTTGCCAGCGGTAATGGAGGCGCGAAGTCTAGACCCGCCAAGTGTTGGCACCACCTGTCGTGGATAAACACCGATTGGGTGTATGCCTGGTGGTGAATAATTATGTTCTTGCATGCACCGGGCGTGCAACGATATATTGTGTACGCGGTCTAAGAACTACCGGAGCAAGCTATTCACCTGTATGGCTTTGCCGGCCGTGATGTGTCGTATTTGAACGTACCGCCCTGGAGCTGCGCCAAGCTCTCGTACGCTGTGGCCGAGCCATCATCGCCAGGAAAAAGCGCTGCTAGAAGCACGTTATCATCGCGCACCTCGCTATGCGCCGTTACCAGCTTCAGGCTCACAAGGAACTGGAACTTGACGCTGATAATGGTTTGCAAGCGCCCATTGTTTTCGCGCTGGACTTCAAGCAGCACGCTCAGCGGGTGCACCTTGTACAGATCGTCACCGGATGGCAATGCTGCTGTTACTGGAACACCTGCCGAGCTTGACGGCTGTCCCACAGCGAACGGGGGCACGGGGGAGAGCCGAGGATGCTTCGCTGTAGGTTCCAGTCCTGGGCCAAGGCTACCCGTGGAAGACCCCGTGCTGTTACCAGGGCCTTGCCCAGCGTCGGGGCCGCCCTCAGCAGGATCTAAGGTTTGGGACTTAGCAAAGCTCTCTGCTTCCAGATAAGAGCCCAGGATGGCGACGCGTATCGGCATACCCAGGGCCTCCCGCACTGCGGCCAGCTGCGAATACACGATGTACAACGGCAGCGGCAGGAGGTCTGCGCTGCGTGCAAAGCCCCGCAGCGATAGGTGCGGCGCAAGGATAGTTTGCAGCGGCTTCGCTGTATCCTCTAAGCCCTGGAGCTGCTGTTGAAGATCGTCAAGCGTGCGTTTACGCTTCTCGACCTCCTGTCTCGTCACCGCCCGTGCTTTGCGCAACTCCTCAAGCTGGGACACCATGGCTTTGCGCTGGTTAAGCTCGTCGTGGAGGCGTTCAAGCATAAGCTTGTGTGCATCATCTCCAATCTGAGCCAGCACATCAAGACTGGCAGACTGGAGAAACTGCTCTGTTGACACCAAGCCAATCGCGCTGTCAGGGTGCTTAAATCTGAAGTTCTGGCATTCGTGAATTTCTTTCTCGTAGTACTCCTTTTCATAAAGGAGGTTTTGAAGCTGTAGGTGAGCCTGCTCCAGCCGATTCTTGAATTTGCAGGTTTCCTCCCGCTGATCCTCGGCCCGAAATGCAAGCTTGCGGCTTTCTTCTTTAAGTTGCAAGAGCAACAGCAGGCCTTGAGTAGTAACGTCCTGGATTCCATATTTCCCTCTGGCAGAGACGCACTTATCGGCAAGCTGCCGCAGAGCGTCCACCGACTGTTCCATGTTTCCAGCGGCTGCAGCTGCTTTAATGCTCCAAGTACAATTCTGTGAAAGACAGCCAGTGACGCCTATCCCGTCTTTGGTCTAGAACAGCTATCTTTACAACTGGGCTAGCATGTCAAATCCTGATTTGATTTAACAGCTACATGATGATTGGTCTCTAACTTGCACATGGCAGCTGAGCCTTTGCGGGCGAAGTGCAGTGTACGACGCAAACGCAATGCTCGTACCGAATAACTGCAGAACAGTTCAACGATCTGGCATTCCAATAGCTGAGGTTCTCCGCTCGTCTGCGTCTTGAGCCCTAAGGGCTATGCAATTTTGTAATAAAGAAGTCAAGCCGACTTACAAAAAATTGATGCGCTCCGCAATCGTGCTCGTGCTCCCAATCTCCTCCAGATGCTGTAGCATCTAGAACTATGCTTTGGTTCTACCCATACTGTGCTCCATTATTTAAAGCCTACCAATTCCTCATGTGCAACCAGATGCACAGCATTATGCGGCTGGTTAGCAGTAACGTACACCGCGACGCACACAACGACATATATCGTGACGTACGCACTGGCGACTACCTGGTTTGAGTGCCTGAACCCTGTAGCTCCTATGCATTCACGACATTCCAGCTTCATCTCACCTACGCATTTCGATCCCCTGGATTTACCGTACAAATCGGAAACATTGTCACAAGGGCAGCAGGAGAACATTTGGCTGCCGCACCAATAAAATCTAAAGACATTTATGTCCGTCAATGCAGCGCCTCAAAGAGGCACGCCCAGGATTTGCAGGCCACGAAACATGCTACCGAAACGCTACAGCCGGACAGCCAGCTAAGCCGCTTTGGCAGGCTTGGCGCCATGCCCTGATGCGGCACATATAATCCGGTGTCACCAGCCTAACTATTTACCCAATCCTATGGTCCCCGCCTGATATGCGCACTCAGACATGCTGGTGCTGACCAGCAGTGCATGCAAACAAAGCCATCTTATCATCCTCGGTCCATATCAACGCACAGTAAAACGTGCTGGCGCTGACCAGCAGGGCATTACACTAAGTTCCAAAGATCATTGCCGTCTGTCAAAACCACCATCACGTCGAAAAGCACCCCTCTCTTAACTAACTACGCAAGCACATCGCAACGGACAGCATTTTCACCGCTCACGTGAATGCCGTCGGGCAGCACCCATACGGTTGCTGTAGATTGAAGCCGCCTTCAAACCGATACTTGAAGCTGGTCCCTTGCTTGCCCTTCACCACCAGAGACAAGTCATATCCAGCACCAGAACCGAAGATCCCCGAGATCCTTACCCCACTACCCAGTGGCTCCTGAAACACCCCACCCGGCACGGGTGGGCTAACCATGACCGCCACGACTGCAGTGGTGTTCAGCTCTACATAAATGCTCTTTAGGTCTGTACTGCAGCAACCAGCATTCGCTGTGTCGCTCGCATCGCAATCGAGCTCACCGTAAGTCACTGTAAAGTTAAGGGTAGAAACATCCGTAGCGTACCTGTAATCCCCACCAGCGTAGTCCAGTCGATACGGTGTATGCAACATGTTATGGTCGCATGAACACTGCAGCTGGGCGGGCTTGACAACTGTGGTCTCAGAAAGGCCATGAGCACAGCAAAGAAAGTCAAGATCCTTGATACTAAACTTGCCGAACATCACATACTCGCACTCAGCAGAGCCGAGGGCGTTCGGTGCGCAAATGCTCGGTGGAGAGACGTCCTGGATCACGAGGAGGAGTGACCAAGTGGTGCCAACTGCCGGCATTGTGAGCTTCAGCTCGCGCAATTCCATCCAGACCTGGGCCGAATCCTGCCCGTAAACCACGTTTGACAAGGGAATCGACCTGTTGTTGATAGAGGCAGCGACCAAGCGATTTACTACCTCAGGCCGTATGTACAGGCGCAGCCGGTCCAAGTCCATGTCGTTGCACGAGCTGTCGTCGTTCACGGCAGAGGGCGTCGGCACGGTTGTCACTACGCTGTACGAGTAGACCATGGCGCCGCCGTTTGCGGGTTGGGGCTCTGGACGGGCGTACAATCGGTACGGTGAATCGAGCTTGTTGTCGGTACAGCCGCAAGTGAGGGTCGGATCACCTAAGAGATAGACGCCCCTTGGACAGCACCCGGGCACGAAGCGGCCACCTGGCACGCTCACGTAAACCCCGTTTACGACCTGTTGTCCGCTTAACATGTAATCACAGATGTGTGCCTCCTCGACCAGGAGCGACTTGCCGCATGGGAAAGCGTCAGTGTAGTTCCAAAGGGTAGCATTGAGCGCAAGCGTCAAGACCAGCTGATCGCCTGGCAGAACCTGGCTCGTGTTTCGTTCAAAGCCGGTGAATGCCAGACCCAACTCCGATTTATGCTGTGTGGTTACGCTGCCTGACTGGATAATGGAACCATTCGTGTCGTAAAGCCAAAACTTTGGCACCAATTTCCACCAATTGTTGCTGTATGCAGGTGTCAAAGCCATTTCTATGCCATCAAGAGTTGCATCGCAACAGTGGCCAGGACGGTAGGTGACCTCAAGGCAGTCCGACGATGGCACAGTGAAGATGTTGAATGAAAAGTAATTGTAGGGACCTTTAATCTCTGAGCCGCGGTAACGAAGGCGCCACCGACTGTTGGGCTCGAAAACGCTAACGCAGTCGCACTGCTCAGGCTTTGGAACTGGAATCGGGCTCGGTGGTGGCGGCGGGTGTGGCGGTGGCGGCGGTGGAGGAGGAGGCGGTGGAGGCGGGGGAGGGGATGGTGACATAGGTGGCGGCGGTGGTGGCGGCGGTGGTGGGGGTGGAGGAGGAGGAGGCGGGGGAGGGGAAGGCGGTGGTGGCGGCGGTGGTGGCGGCGGCGGTGGCGGCGGCGGTGGTGGCGGCGCGGGAGGCGGAGGAGGAGGAGGGGGCGGCGGCGGCGGTGGCGGAGGCGGAGGAGGCGGGGAGGGTGGTGGCGGTGGCGGTGGTGGTGGTGGCGGCGGTGGTGGTGGCGGCGGTGGCGACGGTGACAATGGTGCTGGAGGGTGTGTAGGTCCCGGCGCTGGGCTAGGTGGCGGCGGCATTGTTTTCGCGCAAGTTGGGCAGCATTGATGATCGATATCAAAAACTGCATACTGGTACAGACCCGATCCCCCCAGCTTAGATGACTGGAAGAAGGCGTCGAAACTAGCACATGGTGGCTTCACTGTGAAACACAGCCGGCTGTTTTGCACCATAGTGCGCGTTGCACCTAGATTAGTGACACGGACCTTGCCAACAGCGTATTTCGTATCAAAGAAAGTTGAGGTGAGTTTGCTGACGTTGCCGAAGGTAACCCCGACAACGCTCTTGTTGCATGCTTTGTCTGCACGGAGCATCGAGCGACGGCAAGGGGCACCATTCGTGTCAGCGTAAGCAGTTCACTGGATGCGAAGAAGGGACGTGAAAGGATTACGCGCCGTCCGCCAAGTCATATCAGGGGCAAACCCGCCAGTCCCCTTCAGTTTTCCGCCGATCAAAATGGTTTCAATCCCCCCTTGCCACTTACGCACCTGCCATGAATTCAACCTTTGTCAGTAACTGAAGGATGTTTTCGCAGCATGCGTTCCCGGACTGGCAGCCTGAGTCCACGAACTTAAAGCAGACCCTGTAAGTCCCGCTCGCCAGGAGTTCTTCGCTACTCTTAACTGGTTCATAAGGAGACGACCCGCAGCGGTAGTCAGAGCATTTACAAAATGGAAAGCCGAACAGATATGCAGCATCCGGGTCATTAGGATCGAAGGACGATGAGTCGTAGTCTTGTGCCGAGCCTAGCTGCAAGAAAGCTGCAAGAAGAATGGCTGCAATGGACCAAGCCAGCAAGCGTTGCCTGCTGGTCCCCATTCGCCCGCCGCCCCAGAGCTGAATTGCACCGCCTGCTGTCAGCGCTGAATTTGGAACCGTCGACCTGGAAGAAACCCAAGCCCCTGCAGGATGGGAACAGGACATCATACGTTATGCATCCTTTATAATCTAGGGTCGGCTCAGGTCCATACTCTCGGCGGTCACAAAATCTAAGCCAAGACAGCTAGCCCGACAGTCCGCAAAAGCCATGCCCGGACCATAAGGACACAAAAGAAGTCCAAGACGTATACACTTTAGGTCGCATCTGCCCACGCAGGGGATGCTGAGGGAGAGCCCATTTAAAGCCAGGGTCAAAGTTCCCGACGTGAAGACCAGCCGAGACATACCTGCTCCGCAGGGTAATAGGAAAAGTGTTGTCACAGGTCCAGTATCACTTTCGTTCAAGCGCAGTACTTTTTGGGAGATGCGCTTGAGCTCAATCAAGCGCTTTCCTGAAGCCCCAAACAGATCAAAAATTCATAACTGAAACGACCTGATGATGTTCATTAAATGGGTGCGTGTAAAGCTGGGGCGGGTCCATCTGTCATCTTCAAGTACCTCTGTTGCGCCAGTTGGCAGTTGCACTACAGTCCTTAAACCGGTCGTACGTTATCACACCATGCAAAGCAGCCTTCCTTATTTTCAACGGTCACTGTCAGAACTTCTACTGTGATTCGGGCTGTGGAAGTCGGGCAAAAAAATGTATTCCGTAGAACCTTCTTTTCCAAAGCCTCCATGTTTCTGCCTTCCTTCTGGTTAAGGGTCCTCTCCTATAACCGTGACAGAAATGTGGATAAACGCTTGTTATACAAGAAATGGATACTGTGGGTATGGGATATCATGGTATTATGCTGGTCTCCACTCTGGTGTATGTGTCCGAATTGGGGCAGCGTGCCTGAAGATTATGCGGTGTATAATCCATCGTTATGCTGTCTTTCAGTTTTCTAGGAAAGCAACATGGTGACATATACCCAACGGCAGTCTAGCCACCCATGCACCGGGTAGGCTATGGCTAACAGCCTTTGCCTCAGCAATGCCTTTGCCACTAAGGGCCGCAGAGCTATGCAGAGTATCGAAGGAAATTTTCACAAACAGCCGGTTGGTACATCTATCAAGTAAGACACTACAAAGTAGACGCTTACAAGAACGGAAGCAGCTCCACCGTAGACCGGTACAGCCATGAGCCACCTGCCCATGCCCTTTCCTCGCCACTTCCGCAACCCGAAATTAACATTTACATCTGATCGCATTCTGGAAACCCAATTCCAACGTCCCAATATCACGTGTCGACGGGGGTCGAAGGGGATGCAGTGGGTACCAAAACAGCACCCGCTAAATGTTACGAAGCTTGTGATGAGCACAGAGTATACATATGCATGGTGATTACCTGCCAAACAATTCGGTTGGGTATATGCCCCAGTTCAACACAACATCACATACCCAACCACGCATTCGAGGGCTCGCGTTGAACAGGCAATAGTCCCATCCGAGCATGCCTCCACCGAACACAATACTCGCACGAATCGCAATAGGGCATTGCAACTACGCTGCCAAGGTGATGGGACGACAAGTGTACATGCCGAACTCTGAATCAGCCTAGGAGTCCCAACTTTGACGATACGGGTTCCACCACAACCCGCCACAACCTGCCATGTGTCACAACGGGAGCCCTGCTAAGCTTCCACTCCTGTTAAGACCCGCATCCAAGTACCGCAATGGCGTCGTGAACACACATGACGTGTCAGTGCTGCCACCTACAACTCTGTCTATAGCAATCCACGCGGGTTGCGCCCCTCCATGCCCAGCATTCAACCCGGTCCACTGTCAATATCGGATCCAACCATTCTCCACTGTCCAAAAAATAATAAAAAACAGAAGTACGGTCCATGACCTCCCTAGTCATTTTGGTCTCCATTTCCAGAGCTACACACCCAGCAACCTTAACCGCCACCTTCGTCAAGGCTTTTGCGTTCTCGTCAATGCCCAGCAACCTCAACCGCCGTCCTAGTCAAGGCCTTTGTTGAGTCTCGGACATACTCCTCAACGACGGTATACATGGCCAGGTTAGGGAAGACCTCGCTTGGAGATACGATATGCCCAGTAAGCGGGTCCTTCCTGCAGGAGCAATAATTACGGAAGAGTACGTTCACGACAATATAGTTGGATATAAGGGTCAAGGGTCCGCAGCAGTTGGAGAAGCAATTCCATCTTAGCAGCCTCAGCATGGAATTCCCCACCCTGCATTGCCACAACCCTGCACACAGGTTCCTCAACGGAAGACTGCACGGCGCCTGGATGCAAGTCAAGCACACTTATCCAGTCTCGCTGACATGCTCGCTTCACTGGCACAGCCCTGCTCCCCAGCCGCCAAGCCGCACGTTGCCTCACCCTGCTTTAGTTAGCCACTCAACAATGGCAGCCCGCTCGTACGTTGCCCCTGTAGAAGTGACCGCGGGCTCCGTGAGGATATGGTGCGTGATCGGGCACAGCAGGTGCTTTGGCGCTGATTCTGCCGTTTCCTGAAGTTCCGCCGGTACCTTGACCGGGGGTGGCCAATGCTGGCGGCTCTTGGGTGTGACGCCATTGCCGCTTTCATGACCCGCGCCGTTGGCAGTTGGGTGCAGCTCCTCCACGGCCCGGTGGTGACCCAGGTGCAGGAGGCCGTCCATGGCTCCCTGAAGATGAAGGAAATATGTCAGCATCCGCGGGGAGCATAAACGTAAGAGGACTGAACATCATATGAAGGGCGACATGTGGTGCGCTCGACGCGTAGGCCAATGCAGACTGCATTCACTATTCACGCCGTGCATTAGCTGGAGGACGGAGGATCCTGTTTAGCCCCATGCACAGGGAATCAGCGGGTTGCATGTAACACATGTGTTACCCGGAAATTCAAAGAAGTATTCCATCTACCCAAGATGCGTGAGATACGTAGAGAACCCGAAAGGGTGGAAGCTCACCTCGAGAAAATTTGCGTTGTTCGGCTGCAGCGCCATGAGCGTGATGCCCGCAGAAACTAACGGTACCCACGTGCCGTACAAGTGGAATGACATGTACAAGAAAGCTCGCGCTGGCAACAAAGCGCCAGCAAGGCGAAGAAGCAGCAGTGCATGGCAGCCGAGCATGAATGGTACACCGTGGCTGCAGGCCAACGAGTGAACAGCGGCCTGAGGCCTACGACGCCAGGCCAACATGCCGCTGTGGATCAAGACGCGCAGTTCGCAGAAGGCCTTCAAAAGCCCTGTTTATGGAAATGGGTGCCCCAGAAGTCACTTGGTGACGAGTAACGAACCATCCATTCGGGGAAGGATTGCCCAAAGAAATGGTTCTTGGTAGTGTAGCCAGGATGGGATGCACAAAAGAGCCAGTAGGCTTGTCCTTGTCATTCAAGCGCATGAAATGGCAACAAGTGTCAACAATGCTTTCAGTCGCGTGGCACAAGACTGCAAGGGCCGGTGCCGCACCAGTAAAGAAAATCCATCCTGCAGCGAGGGGCGCGGTCTCCACCAACGCCAGAGCTAAATAGCATGTTACAAGGCCAGGGCACGCCACCATTAGCGGCCACAATAGCGGGCCCAGGCCTTGCGCAGTCTGGGATGCGCCCGCCACCGGTACGGCACCTGCAACCTCGGCCGCGGCCACAGAAGACTTTGACACAGAAGAGCTTGTGGGAGTTGTGTGCTCACTGGCAGCTGATGATCCAAACTCAGTAATGCCCACGGCACGCAACGCAACATTCAATCCACCCATGGTCAACTTGTCCAATGCCTCCTGCATGGCAGTGGATGCAGCCATGGAGATGAATCCTGTTTCAGGGAAGAAACAACGTGCACATCCGCTTTTTGTAGCAACACATCCAAAGCGTGGGACGTACCGCTTATGTACAGCACTCCACGGCTCAGGGACTGTCAGTTTCACACGAGATGGAACAGACACCGTACACTTTGCGGCACAGGCACGGTTTCAGCAAAAGAACAATGTGTAGTCCTGCTCACCATCACATCCACGTGCACATTTCGAAGGAGCTTATATGCACCGTTGTGGTCGTGTAGCCAAGCGTACAGTAAGGTAGTGCGCGGTAGCGTCAAAAGTGCAGCAGCATACATGTAGGCTGCGGTTGGCTCCTGGCTGGCAAAGGCATGCGGGTCGGTCCAGTTCCGCGGGGCGCCACTGCTATTTGCGGTTCGTAGCACAACTTCCAGCTCATAATTGGAGTACAACATGGGTATGGTCCCAATGGTCTCGCCTGCAAAAGCTGTGCCCCTGAACATGTGTTCTAATAGGCTCCTGGCGAGGCAGGGGTGCGCACCTGGAAGCCCAAAGATTGTCTGCAGAGACATGCGATATATGAGATTGAAGGGATGGCAGCTGAAGTAGCGAAGCTGAATGACGGGTCGCGGCGCCTCCGAGCCGGATTGCGACAACATATCCGGGACAGACACTCCGAGCCCTGGCCTCGAGAGCGAAGACGTTATGTCCTTAAAAGCAAATAAATAGATCAGGACAAGGCTAGCTCCACAGACAATGGCCAGCTTCAAAGTGCCCCGAGTGCCCCGATTGGCTGCTCGGAGTCGCAGCCCGGGTGCTCGTGGCCCAACGTCCTCTTGCAGCAACGCTTCACCATTTGCAAAACGTTCGAGTTGGTTTCCATTTTCCATGGTTTTTAAGGCCCAGATGCGCCTGACACGTTGTTTTGTCAGTTACTAGGCGGGAGAATATACGCGAACGCTATGAACATAGGAGAAGGTTGGTGCAAAGCTTCGCACCGCAATAAACTAGTTCTGGCAGGAAAGAACCTATGGGCATTGCAGCAATGCAATCATGATGGCCGTATAAATCGTTGTACACGTCAGTCAGGTTTTAAGCCACGTTACCTTGACAACTGCCAAAATCCAAGCAAGGTAAGCACATTGCTTTAACAGATATTTATGAATATTCGTCCAACGGTTGGTCATGTTTTTTAAGTTCCGAATAGCGTAGACAACTTGCGCCGACAAATGTGAGGAAGCCTTTTGACATTAATTGCCAATTAGATGGCAGCTATATACCAATAGGATGCGAGACTTACAAGGACTTAACGGATATCCTCGCATAATCAGGTTTACGGCTGGAGTCCAAACAACGGGCCTGCCAACTGCAGGCCAGCACCCCTTCACCTCCGCCAGGCGCGGGAACTGGTACCCTAGAACCGGCACCCGCATGACGCTGTCACGTATCATATCTACGCCGGAACTCAGCACGCCAGCTTCTTTGGAAGGTGAAACGACCTGATACCAACAACTGACAAGCTCGCCCAGCACGATGCCTCATACCCGCACCAAAACAGTTCCTTGCGTACAACCTACATTTGTCGTACTTCACCCAACTGAAGGATGTGAGACTGGGAAGCCTGAGCTATAACCCGTACGCCCAGACAGCAGCCACGACTGACAAGCCTTGCTCATTGACAGCTAATAAAGCTTCGTCTGGGCTGCTCAATGCGCCCCAAGGCGTCCTAGTTGCCGTACACCTGGTGAACCCACATCATGCTACGCAAACAACCTGAACCTGCTACTGCATTCGTATGCTGAACATGCATAAACCCTCCTCCACCAGATAGTAGACGCCATCACCACCATAACTTCTTGCACGCGCCCCGTCCCGTCCATGCGGACTTGCAGCCTGACTGGCCTCCACCGAGTCGTCCTCTAGTCCCTCTCACTTATGATGGTGAGGAAGTGATCTACCTCCTCGGTAGTTAAAACTCGGAAGGCTCTGTCGCTGCCGTCAGGCCCATTGCGCACCACCCCCACTTCCAGGTCCGCCGCCTTGAATTCCTCACTCAAAACACCCTGCAAAGCAAAGCTTAAGCACTTAGGCATCGTCCACATATTTCCGCGAAAGCGGCACCTTTCAGGTACTACTGCTATGCACTTCTTTCACAGTCCAGTCCGAGATGGAAGTTCCATCGGAAGCACCCAACGGTACGTACCCGTTGACCAATACAAACAACCCTTAGCTTTAGATGAGCCCTACCTGCAAGGCTGAAATTGCAGTAATGACCGCCTCATCGTAGCTAAGCGCGGGGTTGCCCTTCAGCTTCTTCTCAAGGAAGTTGTGCGCTTCTGTCTCCTTTACGCCCACTGCAGTCGCCTGTAAGCGGATGGGCACGACAAGCGCAAGAAGACGAATCGTAGTAGCTAAAAACCCAATAACACTGTATCTCCAACGTCGCTACCTAATATATATACTGCTCCCGCCTTGCAGTAGACCCGTGGGGCAAAAGAACAGCCGTGCGTGCCTCCCGTGGCCTTGTGAGGCGTGCGCCATCCTCACTGAGCGCGGAGATATAAGATTCATAGGCTTCAGGCGCAACGTAAATCCTGACAAGTGCTTATATTAATGCAGCCACTCCAAGAACACATGGAAGCTCGAATGTGGGAATGGGACATCAAAGCATACATTAAAGTTGCCAGCAACGAGCGGAGCGCTGGTTACCCGCGTATGCCATAGCATACAGGGCAAAGTGGATCCTTACTTTATACCCCACATAGTAGCCAGCGGGATCCACTTTGAACAGCTGTGGCCCGCGCTCCTCATCGATGCCAATCAGCATCGATATCACGCCCAGCGGTCGCATGTACGCGTGCTGCAAGAAATGGCAATTACACATCAGGCTCTTAGTAGGGCTTGCAATGTTTAATGCATGTGCCATGGACATAACGGTGCTTTCACGTTGGCATGCCGCATCACAGGAACACATCGTACCGTGCAGGGGCCCCCCGAGGGCCCTGCTTCCAACCGCTTACAGCGGTGTAGTCGTGTGTAACCCTTGGGGACCGAAACGCACACCCAAGCTCGCACGGTTACGAAGTCCATGCGCAGCAGCTACCAACCTGCGTATAAACTTGTGCCTTGTCCGCAAGTACCTTAGCCAGATAGTCGACGGGAACTTCATACCCAAACTTGAACCGGAAGTCAGCTGCCTGCTGCCTTGCCTGCTGCACGATAGCCCGCGTGTCCGCTGCGGAATTCACGGTTCAATGCATACAGGCTTCAGCGTTGACAACTGCGGCCTAAAATCCCAAGACGCTATTTAAGTGCAGTGCACCCAAGCTGCTCGAGGCATCCCCACCAAAAAAATGTTCCAAAAAGTTTTGCAAGTCACGGCAGAAGAAAGCCAAGCGGCCAAGTTGGTCTCACAACGGATACGTGTGTGCCCCACGACCCTTGGGCCATTCACTCGCTCCCCAAGTGACACCTTTAACTCATTGGCCACCTTACCGGGAAGTCCTGTCACCAGCATGCCGACATATTTTGTAATTTTAAATAACCGCGTGACGCTAGTGGGATCTATTAACTTGTCCTACAGTGCAGTCGAAGACGACATTCCGAGTTCAATGCAGAGGTAAGGCTATGGTTCTAAGCTCACAGTATTTCAATTGTTGCTGCTGCCACCGCACCTGGACTTTCTTCTGCGTCACAAATACAACAGAGTCCTTTCCTCGCACCGCTATGCTGGTAACTCCAGCAGTCCGCACTGCCTTGAATGCATACTCTGCACGGAGAAAGAACGGCATGCATTTTGTTGCTCCCCAACTTCACGACCCTTACGTGAGCGCGAGATCCACAGCGCGAGGGTGGCTCACCAACTTGAAAGAGCCTGCCTTCTGGACTAAAGATGGTTATGTGCCTATCATATCCGGAACCACCTCTCGACATTCCTCAAGGCAGGCTCTCGCGCACTTGCACTCAATTGATGAGCAGCCAGGAGTGAAAATACACAGTTTAGTTAGCGTTTTGCTTCTTGCAAAATTACTGCATGTGAGCTACTGATGCTAAAAACGCAATGTGCACATTTTCAATGTACGGCTGCTCTCGTACCACCCGGTTCTCAGTTTCTGTAGCGGCTTCAAAACTTGCTGCTTCCCTTATGATTAGGTTGGGCCTCCATGTGAATATAACAGCTTGCATAATGCGGAAGTCACAAATTCGTGGCACGCTTCGTTCTTGAAGTTCCAACCCTCGCTGAATGCTCATTTACGTTAGCAACTAGCAAAGCATATGGTTTGCCGTTCTTGTATTTAGGCAAAATGCAGCAAGGCAGGGTCTTGTAACGTTAATATCTATGAAATGGGCTGCTGCCAGTCGGCCACGGTGGTCAAGGAGGAGGAGGAAGAAGACGAGCAGGCTGAGCAGCCTATCGACATGTAAGATAAGGACATTGGGCTGCATGCTTTGGGTGACTGCCTGGGTTTCCATGTTATGCAAACTGCGCTTTGCGTACAGTCGTTTTTCTGCCACCTCGGCGGATGGTACGGAGCGCAATACTCATTCTACCGTGAGGCAATCTCAGCCCCGAACCAGTAACGATTTGGGAGGGCCGGCGCCGTTCACAGGGCGGTACGGTGAGTGCCCGGGTTGGGCTGGGTTACGGGCTTTGCGTATCCATTCATTTGATAACCATGGCGCCACACCTTCAGGTTCATCACGGGGAGCGCCCTCACCATCGCTTTCGTCCGTATCCTTGGTGCCAGTCGCTCGCACCGGGAGCTATGACGTTCGTGTTGCCTCCCGCACGCGCCAGAATGGCGGTGACGGAGTAATTGAAACCTCACGGCTTGTTGTGGATCACCTCAAGGTGCGCGTTATGGGTGTTGCGCGCTGCAATCGAACAGGCACGATTGGCCTTCACTCCTCCGTGCTTGCTTGCAGGGCAATGTCTTCATCAATCAGTACCTCATCATAAAGGATTTAGGAAAGGGTGCCCATGGAACTGTTAAGCTTGTATATAACACGCAGGATGATATGCTGTATGCTATGAAGGCAAGTCCTGTCGCATGGACGTTGTGGCGCTGACAGGAGAGCCACGCCGGCGAACTCACAACTCGGCGAACGTGTCGTGTAGGTGATTCATAAGAGGCGGATGCGTCGGCAGTCCTATCTTGCAGAACCGCGAGCGATAGCTAACATGATGCGTAATGTGGGCATGTCGCCACTGTCGCAAAGCCAGACAGAAGGGCAGCGGGGGCCTAGCCCTCTATCCAGCCCACGCACCCCGAACGGGATGACGGTGAGCAGAATCTGCAGTCAGTGACCCATCGCCGGGGGGTCCGTCAGCAGGGCGAGCAGCTGACGGCTGCGAACCTATGGGGGGTGCGTGCAGGATGAGTACAGCAATGAAATTGCCGTTATGAAGGAGCTGGACCACCCAAATGTAGTGAAGCTTTATGAGGTTATCCATGACCCGAGCAACAATAAACTGCTGATGACCATGGAGTACGTGGAGGGCGGTTGCGTGCTGGCTGGGAGCAGCCCAACACAGAAGGTAAGCACTGGTCTATTGGGGCGGGCGACATGAGATAGTGTTTATGCCCAGGGCCATGCAGGTGGCCTCTGTGGTGCATTGCATGTATCAGCTCGGGCCGGTAATGTGTGTGCCCAGCATGCTGGGGATACAAGGTTGCACAAGGGGTGAACCTTACTTTTGTGACGGAGGATCACGTGGAATGCAGAACCCTCAAGCCTGCCTAGTACGGGCCAGTAATTCCCAAGCCGCCTAGTTGTGCAGGGCGACCAGTCCTCAGGCACTACCAGAGGGCTGGGGCCGCTGAATGTTGGGATGGATATGGATTGGTCGCATCTGCAGTCAAAAGTGCAGCAGCATACATGTAGGCTGCGGGGTGTTCCCCTTCAGGGAGACCAAGGGGAAGAAGTCCTGCACAAGGGAAAGACGGGTCGCTAGGTCCGTACTTTGACTTGTATCGACTGCTTTCGATTGCCGCAAGACGCGGATGGAGTATACCGCCACCCCGATAAACGCGTTAGCATGCATGCACTTGTTGTCAAGTGGCGCATTAGTAGCATTCCGTAAAGTCTGGGGGCGCCTCGTGCGCAGAGGTTTGAATGGCCAAATAGGCATCACGAGTCACGCGGAGCAACAAGCACCTTGGACATCCGGACAGCATGAGCCGGCCAGCGCACCACGTCGCAGTTACTCTGTTATCTCATTGGTTGCGGCATAAGACATCAAAAGTTACTGATTGCGCCGTATGGTGCGATTTCCTGCAACAGGTGCCTATTCCCGAAGCAACGGCCGTCAAGTACTTCCGTGATGTCGTGAAGGGCCTTGAATATCTGCACTTCAACCGGTATGTAACCCGGGGCTGCCCTTGCCTGTAGAGGCAATTTGGGGTTGTGCAAGGAGGTTCAGTGGGAGCTTGAAGAAACGTGCTTCTGCCAACGTGTGTGCGCTAACGCGGTAACGCTGGCGTTTCCTTCGTTCTCCACCACGATGCGACATTTGTCCGTCCAACTTGCTCACATTCCATTTGCGCACCATGTCCCTGAACATCCCTCGCAACGCCCAGAATTGTGCATGGCGATTTGAAACCGGATAACTTACTCATGAGCAGCTCGGGAAAGGTAAAGATTTCAGACTTCGGGTCGGCGCGGTTTTGCGAGAAATCCGATATGATTTTTGCGACGGCGGGGACGCCCAGCTTCATGGCACCGGAGATGTGTCAAGGTACGTGGAGCTTTGGTTGTCCAATTGCTGATTGTCACGCCTGCGCGCCGCATATGATGGGGGAAGATGGGAAGGACGGGGGACCCTTAGCTATTGTCTAATGTGAGGGCCAATATCGTCTGTGTGCAGCATAATAATGACCCTTGTTTTCGTGGTTCACCGTCATGGCCACAGGGAAACAGTTCAACGGCTTCCCGGGGGACATTTGGGCCCTGGGTATCTGCCTCTTCATGTTCGTCTTCGGCAAGCCTCCGTTCACCGGCACCACCACCTATCAGATATATGAGGCGATTCAGCGAGGGGAGCTGCAGTTTCCCCCTGAGATTCCCGCGTCGACAGAACTTAGGGTAAATGCGGTCCGGATTACCGGCGGCATCCTAGGGCTGTGCATGGATGGGTTAGGTATGGGCAGCAGCCCCAACAAGAGTTCAAAGGCCGCTCTGCTTTGGGTTTACCTTACAGGACCGTTGGCACCTTGCTGTTGGCTGTGTCCTCAACCCCAGAGCGCTCCCTACAGGAGTGTCATGGCTAAGGTCCACACAGTCCTGGGTCCAACAGACTCTGCCGCTGCAAGCTTTGGAGTCTGCTGGACGATTGAATCTGAGCAGCATGTACAACGTATGGTATTGCCCACAACAACAGCTTAAATGTGGATGTATTGGCCGTCTGCAGTACGGCCCATCCGTTAATAGACTTAGCACATCTTTAGGCGTGGAAAAGATTGGCGACCTGGCAACCTCCTGACCACTGGGCCAGTGCTACACGCAAAGCATGCTGCGATACGAGCATGTGCGATTTAGCGGTCTATGCGGCTCAGTTTCGTTTCTTCCCCCCCACTGCGCCGCTGTGTAGGACCTGTTGACGAGGTTGCTGCAAAAGGATCCTGCTCAACGAATTAGCTTGGAGGAGATCCCTGCCCATCCATGGGTCACACGCGGCGGCGCATTGCCGGTGCTGCAGACCTCAAACGAGCGCGCCGTGCAGCGCGTGTTTGAGGCCATGCGGAAACGCAACGGTAGGTCCCGCTACCTGGGCTGGGAAGGGTCCTTGCGTGTATAGGCGCGAAGGACGTACCTGCTATGGACAGCCTGCTTGTCCGTGCTATTGCGCTGCAGACAACGGTAAGGGCTAGCCGCGTTGCCTGATGTGTCATCCTAGGCCTCACATCGGACCAGTCTTCCTACACAACCCTTGCCGCCACCTACAGAGTCTGGCGCGAAGCGGCCGGCGCCATCGACCGTGCCCTTAGCTGCCCCGCCGGAGCCCGTGGACATGCGGAAGCTGGTCCCGGACGCGGAAGTGCGGCACTTTAGGGATGGCGAGGTGATAATTGCGTAAGTCGCCCTTGGGACGGTGGCGGGGGGTGAAATTAGTTTTTGCATCAATATTGATGAGTGCCTAGGGCATCTTATTTCCCCGGGGTCCAGGGCTCCTATGAATGGTCAGGCTCCGCATTGTTCGGCGTAGGTGGGTGCCCCTGTAGGGGTGCCAGGAGGCTCAGGCCCTTGCTCGTGCACCAAAATTGTCAGAGCTTGTACGTCGCCAGTGTGTTTGGTGGCAATGCATTACCATACCGGCTCTGCACCGTTCATTTCGTGCTGGGGTTCCCGGTTGAGGAAAGGGAGCCCGGTCAGGGCAGGCTGCTGAGCTTCTGGTCGTGGCCGGATCCATCACTAGCTTATTGCCTCACGCCTATGGGGCACGCGGTGTCGGATGATGGACTGCCCTTGTGACTGCAGCCAGGGCCAGCTGCCGGAGGGCCTTTATTACGTGCAAGAGGGCTTTGTGGACATGATGCTAATGCCGTCGGAGAAGAAGCTAGTGGCAGACGAAGACTTTGCCGACGCCATAGACGACGAGGACGATGAAGAGGATGAGGCGGTCGTGACGGCGACCGCCAGCGCACTCGACTGCGGCGGGTAGGCGTCTATGCAACGGTCCAAATCATTTCACCCGTGCTGTCCTAGTTCTCGGTTCTGGAATCGCTCCAGGTGGTCGTGCAGTGAGCTGGCATACCTCAGAAGTTGTATTCCATTGCTGAAGCATCCAGGGCTGGCGCCAGAAAGAAACTTCGTTTTTTCATCGCCCATCCCTAGGCCGACGAGGACAACGTCCTTGAAGGAACATTCAGTAATCACTTACTGCTTTTTGATAAGAATTAGTCCAGCAGCGTATGTTGAATTGGGACAATGACCTCAGTTAATTCGCAATGCCTTACACTCCATTCGTCGCCCAGGAGCCCAGGGAGCGGTAACGCCGGCGAGGGTGAGGACGGCAGTGAAGGCGAGGAGGACGGGGATGAAGGCGGCGGGGACCTGCAGGGGGAGTGTGATGACGAGGGGCCAAAGCCCATGGACGGCTTCATGGCGTTGTTTGGGTCGCGCCTCTCGGACAGGTGCGGACATGGCTCGTTAATTTGTACAGCCGCGGGCTTCCCGCCGCTGCACGGGGCAGGGCTTTACACGACCCCGGATATCACTTGACATGAGTTGGGGCACCGCTGGCAGCTGTAACGGCCCTGTACTGTAGGAATGGAGCAAGGGACGCTCGGGGTAGAGGTTGCAACCAGCTCGGTAGGACATCGGCGCATTGGACAGCGGCAGTGTAGGACCTGCCGCAGAAGCACAGGGTCAACTAGGTGGTCGACTCCCCCGCGCCTCGATTGACGAATATTTCTGTGCCTTGCTGGCGCAACCTGCTTGGAACAACCTGTTGACGCAGGGTTTCTCCAATGGGCTCGAGCTCCATTATGTCGCCCAGAAATCCATCGACTGTGGTCACGCCACGCCACGGCAGCCAGACCGTCACCGTGCGCAACCATTCGGCCACCATTGCCCCACGCTACGGCAGCCAGTCCACGGGCCTGCAGCGCACCAGCAACGCGCAGGTCGAGTCCCCGGGGCGGACCTCCAACAACGCCTCGGTATCGGTGCCGCTCCCCCCGCCACTTTCCGTGCACCACTCGATCCCCATGGCCTCCAGCTATCACCACCACCACCTGCCCGCACACCTTGCTCACCTGAGCCAGGCCAGCTCGAGCCGCTCGCAGAGCCTCAACCCCCAGAGCCGGTCGCCCTCCACCTCCAACGTCACGCCCGCAGCTAACAGCCCCATCGGCAACCTCGGCACCAACAGCGTCGGACCCACCTCGCGTAGCGACAGCCCAACGGTGTCCGCCTTTGCGCGATACCCTGCGACGGCGCCGGCAGTGGCCGCCAGCGGCACCGTAGCCGGCGGTGGTGCTGTCCTGACCAATCAATACAGCGCTCCGTCATCGATGGCAGGGCGTGTTTCCTTGAGTGGCGGCCCCATGCAGGCACGAATGCCCAGCTACACCGGCAGGGGTGAAATGCTGGGAATGGGAACAAGTAACGCCTCAATAAACCCGTCGCCTCTGGGGCTGTCGTGTAGCAACGCGGCAGACATGGAGGACAACGATGATGATGGGGGCCTGCGCAAGGAGCAACCCATGCCTGCGGGTGGTGGTGTCTGCGCAATACCTGGCAGGGGGGGCACCAGCTCCCGCCGGCTGATGGCTGTCAGTAAGGACCAGGCCCAGGCGCAGCCACCGTCCCTAGTCCCGTCGCCTCCCCACACATCGCCTCAGGCCAGTAGGCGGTCGCTCATGCAGGAGCCTAGCTTCAACCAACGATACCCAAGGTGCGATGCAGCCCCTGTTCGGGGATAGTTGGTGCGCCGCCCTTTTGATTTGTGGCTTGTCAGTACCCGATGAAGGGGGCCCCTATGTTTTGAGCCCACGTGGCATCTTGGCGGCCTACCTGACGATCTGCCTGTCACGCAGGCACGAGGGTGTGCAGCGGCCGCCCAGCAGGTTGTCCCTCACGGACTCCGCCTCGGCGTACCAGCCCCCCATGTCGGCACCCGGGAGAATTGCGTTGCTTGGCCGTGCTGCTTCCAACAGGTTTGAAGGAGGGGACCCCTAGGGAGCAGGGGCGAGTTGTTTGTTAATCACTGTACTGCATATTGCAACTGAAGCCTATTAACTCTCTTGTGCCGACAGCGTAACAAGGTGTATCCTTTGCCTAAACAACTGGGCCGTGCCACCCCTTTCCGGGGTATCTTCACATGTGCTGTTGGCCATCTGTTCACCCACTTTGCTGGCAGGGCGCGACAACCGTTGGAACCGGAGGATGGCGGAGCGGCAATTGAAAGCATGAACCGCCTGCCTTGCGACGGCGGCGATGGCTCTAGTAACCGCCGGATCAGCTCTGCACGGGCTGCGCCCACCGGCATGGGCGGCGTCACCATGCCACAGCTGTCGCTACCCGCGTCCTCACCCCAAACAGGCACAGGCGCACCTGGAAAGGACGGTGACCTTCTCTTCCTGACACCGATGGAGTCACGGCGGCTCAGCGTCACAGCCGGGGGTGCAGCCAGCTCCCGGCGCCTCGGCGGGGCAGGTGTAATCGTTGGCCCCTCGCCGCCATCGGGGCCCCCCGGCTCTGTCTCTCCGGCCATCAGCCGCATGCATAGCAACGAGCACAATGGCCGACAGGGGCTGGTACCCGCTGCGGAAGTTGCCATAGCCGACGCAAGCGGAGACAGCGGAAAAGCCAGCAATGACAGCATCAACAGCAATGCCGACATTAGCATGCACGCGCCCGACCGGACAGGCTGGCGACGTGATCGCCCAGCCCCGCTGCAATGTGGGGGCGCGACGGGAACCTTGCCCGGCGGGATAGGCGAGCCCGTAGGCATGGAGGGCAGCAACGCCTACGGTGGCGTTGACGCCGCGGCTACAGCCTGCGGCGCTCTCGCTCCATCACCCCCAACCGCGGCATTTCCAGAGGTCCAATCCATGCGCCGGGTCCGCAGCGCCATGCGGAGATCCGCCACACATGACAACATCATGCACCCATCCTTCCGGACCGCGCTTCAGCCAGGAGGTGCTATCATTGTCTCTGGGGGCGGTCCGGCGGCCGGCCCCGACGCGTCCCAGCTGGCAGATGACGAGGTGTCAGCTGCCATGATGTACGACGGAGTGGGACGGCAGCAGCATGAGCACGGCAGCGCTCCTGGTAGTAGTGCTGCCGGGGTTGGTGTCAGTGTGCGCCATGCCATTACAGATGTGGAGCGCGTGCGGCGGGAGCGGGAGATGGCGCAGCGGCAAGAGGACTACTACCAGGGCGCGGCACATTCATATGCGTCAGCGCAGCCGCTGGTGCAGTTCCAGCGGCCAAGTGATGTGGGCGGCGGATTGGGCCCCGGCGGGCTGGAGGTACGGAGGACCAGCAGCAATTTCATAATAGATTTTAGACAGGGGCCGAATGGGTTCGAGTGCTTGTTGTGTTGTGTGCGGTTGGCTGCAGGCCAGCGCAGCTGTGCTGCTTGCGGCTTACTGGAATCATGCATCCGTAACAGGGGCCCGCCATCCATGTCCTTCTTGTGGCTGCCTTATGATAGGTTGGCTGCTTGGAAATTTTGGTAGCCGTCATAGTTTGCGTTCATGCATGTATCTCTCCCCTCCCGCTCCTGTGGCCCCTCCAGCGCGTCCGCATGCGGCGCCACTCGACATCCTCGTACAATGCCAGTTTTGTGCTTAAACGAGTCCTGGGTGTCTCCATGAGCGGAGCCTCCCTGGACCGCACCTCCATCCAGGTAATGAGGCCAGGGGGCGGGTAGGGTGCGAAGGGCGGGTGAAGGCCCACGTTGCTTGGGGCTTCAGGTTTAACGGGAGTTAACCTGGGCGGCGTGTGGTGCTTCCCCTTGGTCTGGATCCCGGTCACTTACAAGCCTTACCGGGCCGGAATCACTCCGCGAGGCGTTTTGAGGTGCTCTAATACGGATGCCAAGTAACCGCCGGGGCATGGGCGACGTGACGCGGAAGGGCTGGTGCGATGCCGGTGCTTCGAATCCATACCGATATCCTCGGGGCCACCCCGCCTCGCTTGTTGTGCGTCACCGTCACCCTTGCGCCTCACTTATGCCCTGGTTCCCATCTCCCTACGTCGCTCTCTCCAGGAGTGGTCGACCACCAGCAAGCTGGCTCAGAAGGCCATCCAGCGTTCCGACTCGATGCACTCGCGTATGGCGCAAATGGTGCTGCGCGCCAAACAGCACGCGGTCCGACGAAAGCGGCGGGGCTCCATGCAGCTCATCACCACCCGCGGCCCAGGCAGCGTCGTGGGTGAGCTGTGCATCGACGGCAAACCGGCCCCAAGTCCCAGCACGGTGGTGGCCAAGGGGCCAGTGACGGTGCTGCTAATCAAGAACGAAAAGGTGGCCGGGTGGGCGCCATGTGGGGTTCAGGGGGTGGAATACTAACGGCGGGGCAACGTGCTGGTGCGCATGATGGCAACGCGGATGGGTGGCAGTGAGCAGGAGGACGAGCACGGGGCCCCGCGTCTTGCTCTGCCGCGCTTGCCTCGGATTTTGCTTACGTTTGTGTCCAAATTTGTGTCATGTCGGCTGCTCTGTGCTGCCGTTTGGCTGATAGTGACCGTTTTTTCCTATTGTGTCGTCTCGTGCCTGACCCATCTCCGTAACAGGTGAATAAGTACCGCAACCAGCCCAGCGTGATGGCGGCTTTGCATCGCAGTCAAAACGCATCGCTGGTGCAAGAGGCCATGGAACGCTTCGTGGAGTGTGAGCAGGAGGTCGTGGCGGTTGAGGTCATACGCAGGTGCGACTACGACTGAAGTGGGCTCTGTTTGTCCCAATGCTGGTCTGGCGGCAAGCGTAGAGAGTGTCACATCGGTGGTAATTGAACTTAACAACCCTTAGCCATGTTCAAGGGTTGGTGCACAAAGGAGGGAAGTTCACTTGATGTCTGGGACTACAGAGCACTGTTTGTCGAGAGGAGGACGGGAGTTTGGGGGCTCCTACCAAACAACCATGTCTAACCTTTGCCTGGCCTGTCCCAACAAATGTTGCGCCGCGCTGCAGCCCGCTTTCCCCCCTCCTGTCTGCGGTTGCACTGCTATCTTGTCCTACTTCGTATTGCAGCCAGTTCCTGGGCACTAGTTTCCATGTTCATGAACACCCCAGACGCGCCACTGCCCTGGTAACGGAATTAACATCCACGTTGGGGCTGCCTGGTGCGTTGGTTACCCTCGGTGGTCTGCAGGACCATCACGACGGAACCCAACATGCACTTGGAGGTGGCGGAGGAGGAGTACACGGCCGAACACCACTCGACGGAGGGTCTTATGGCTGACATTTACAACGGTTGATGGTGCCCATGGCTGGCGCCAGCGTGCGCATTGAGTAATGTTCGAGTCGGCTGCTAATTCAGTTTCACTTATAACAATCTCTGTATTGTGGTGCAGCCCTGAGAGGAGCTCCCAGACATTACCGGAGCCTTGGCCCTACATCTGTCGCCGGGTGACAGAGTCGGCTGCGGGCAGTGCTCCGGGCTCGCAGCCGCCTTGCTTCATGAGTGCAAACGACCATGACAACAATTGCGCATTTTGTATTGTTTATACAAAGGACAGCTGACTACACTGAGAATGTGGCCATGCGCTTTGTGCGCGCTCGTTGAGGCCGTCCTGGCTAGCGTACCAGTTTCTTGCGGTAGGGCCGGGGGAGCTGTGCGGACTGCATCACCGGGGAGTGGCTCCTCATAGCAGAGCTCCAGTCCGTGCTGACGTTAGCAGTCTGCCGCGACGGTATTCAGTCACCCAGTATTGAGCGGACCTTGTTTTCATTAGACAGGTAAGGCAGGACAGCGAGCATGGCATGCTGGTGTTGGGGAGGCATGCCGCTGTCATTGATCATTCCTGCTGCTATTGTTGCTTGTTTCTACCCAGGGAGGTCTCGTGTAGGCTAACGCATCCGATACCTCGTATCCGCGCTTATTAAGTACGCAGGGCGTTTCATGACCTTAGGGCATCTATCTGTGCGCTCTCGCCGCACGCGGCAAGTGATTCGAGAGATTTTATTGGTATGCTTTGCGCACCTGTTGGGTATAACGTCACAGCGTTGTGAGAGTGCGGCATTATGTATTGCGAGCGAAAAGGTGATTCTACATGGATGGACAGTGAGCGGTCGGAGCCTGGCGGACATAGACGCGTGATACGTGTTAGGACCAAACGGACGAACCTAATTTTGCTTGAGCACTGTGGCACCTATCCCGGGCAAATACCAGGATATTTACAATGCCTAGCTTGGGTTGTGACCTTGCCGTGACAGCTAGGCAACGCATATGGGCGACGCCCATAGGCTGTGGAATTGAACACACCATATCCGGCCAACCTAGAATGTGGCATCGAGTTGCTTGGGTGGTTGGTGGATTGCATGAGGAGCGTGTGTGATTAGGGCTGAGGGAATGTGCTTTTGTGGTTCTCTTGATGCGCAGCCGTTGTTGCAAATGTTGACAGTGCGAAACCGTGATTCCAGGTTGCAGTAAATGGTAGCGTCGGGCTGACGGGTATGTTGTCTACTGGGGTTGCAAGGGCGGCTTGTGGGAAGGTCCGGACGTTGGCTCAGGCTACCTCGACGTATGGATAGGCCGCGTCCAAGTAGCTTGACTTTTCGTGGCGTTGAGCAACCACGGGCACGGGGAATCCGCCGCTCGGAGGTGTACATGATTGACACATAAGGACCGAATCGGTACAACCCCAGGACTATAGACTAGACAGATTTTGAGGCCCTAGCCGGCTTGCTGCATTGCGAACGTCATTATTGCTATGATATATGGGCCTTTTAGCCTGACGTGGGTCAAGGGGCATGAGCAGTGAGCAGATGCCATATCTACCTTTCCTTGCAATGTTACCACTGCGCACGGACACTGCACATGCCGTGTAGCACATACAGTGTAGAGTCCCACTCAGGTCCTAGGTAAACCTTTAACTGTCAACGACCGCCCGGATAACTTACCAGCGGCTTATCGACTAGAGGGTTTTCAACCGCACATACCAGGTTTTCCAACGCAATAAGAGGTGTTTGGCCGCATACGTCCAACCTACCAATAACCGCGTTACCGTCGGAAGGCATGGACATCACGATGACTAGGTGCAGAACAAGAAAGTTCGTATGCTAGGTACAGGGCCTAGAGCCGCTGTCATCATAGCAGGCGCGCAGCCTTATCCCTGCTGGGAATGACTGGGAGTCGGATGTTTCCGCTGCTTGAGATGCTTACGGCTCTCTATCTTTGGAACATTGTAACGTTCTGCGAGCCAGACAACACGCCCAGTGTAGTTCTTTTTCTTCTGCGCCGCATACGTACACGTTTCAGCCAACCAAACTCCGTTGTGGATCGATAACCACACCGGGCATACTCAGTGGTAAAGTTACGCTTATCGCTGTTGTTTAACGCCTGGAGGGAACCTTGGTCCTAGTAGGTTGCTACTGGTTTTTGTAAAAACAAACTGCTATAAACTCTACAGCCCTGGGTAGCTGCTCCAGATCCAGATCCGATTGAACAGAATAATGTATCGGATCCTAGTTTTATCAGGACATGGCTCTATGTCCACCCTAATGCCACGAGCTAGGAATCCTATGTCGGCTGGCTCCAAGTCCTGGCCGAACGGCTCGTAGAAGTGTGGATGTTTCTGAAGATGCTTGTGTCTGTTTAGTAGCGCCCGGCCACCGCGGCGATGGAAAGTTACGGACACTGGAAAGAGTGCGTCCGCCGCGGCCTCTTCGTGGCCTCGAGTTGTCGTCACCGTGATAATCCACTGCACGGGCGATTAGAGCTTAGATTTATTGAGTGAGTACGCTTAGTATGTGATGCGCGAAGTGCTCGCTATTCACAGAGCAGAGCTCGAACCTGCTAACCAGGTGAGCTAAATGTGTGATATTACGATGATATAAAGGCCGGTGTGACCAAGCCTAATAAAGAAGTATATTGATTCGACCTGTTGATCAGGCGCGTGGCTGTGCGTGACACAGTAACGACTGACGCAGTATGGCTGACGAAAACAAGTCTGAATAAAGACTAAGGAAGCTCAAACCTGCGTTTGGAAAAAACGCGGCTGTGCGTAACACAGATGACCGGAGGCGGCTGGGAAAAGGCTGCTGCGAAAAGCAACCAAACTGTCCCCTAAGCGACAAAGTGCCTAGGGTTACCCAGACCAAATTTCCTTGAAGTGGAAAAATGAGCCTAAGAAAAGGCTTTACGGCTTGTTTAGGTATCCATTAGGTTTTCGTCTTTATGCTCCTTGTTTAGCTGCGGAAATACCCGGCAAGAATCTTGGGAACAAAGCTGAATGTACGTATGAGCTTCACTTATCACGGCTCTTTGTTAGTGCAGCGGTGGAGGTTCAACTCACATCTGGCTGCCGGAGATCAAGCAGTTGTCTTTGCGCCGTCTGTAAAGACGTTATACGTTGAGATGCCGTTCCAGTGGACGATGTCGACCGTTCCGTTGGCTGTCGATCATGCAGATGGTGAGAATTTTTTAAGAAGGTCATATGCGCGACGCCAAAGACGCTGTTCCTGACAGGAGCGGCCTGGGACAGATAGGACCTGGCAGGGCCTTCAACGCTACCTCGAGCTTGGGCATTATTGGCATTGTCGCTTTTATCGGGCATACTTCAGTTAAGAATGAAGGGGCATCCTTTGCCGATAAGCGCAGTCGTCGTGCTGCTTGAATGGTCCAGATACTGGGACACCATATATAACGCAATGGTTAAAGATTAAATCTCATAATCTTACTGCTGCGCAAGTTGTGGCAAAGTTTCCTTCTTAAGACTCAACCCGCCGCGTTGTCGTTGAGTCACGACACCGCCTTCCAGTCTGTCAGTCCGTCTAGTAGACAGCATCCAGAACGGTTCAAATTCAACGAATACGACCTGTGTAGAATATATCCGAAAAAAACATCCGAAAATATCGATTGTCGAGAACAGAACGGTAAAGACAAAAGGAATAAAGTTGAAAACGTACCGATTACTACTTGCCTCGCCAGTTGGCTCTGCGAGTCCCTAAGCTGTCTCCTAGCTTAGATCCGCTTCGACCTGGGGCTGATTTCCAACGTATGCGTGCTTAGGCTTTTTGTTTGGCAGTAACGGGCAGAAATGGCATGACACCTCATTCGCGTAAATCCACACCAGTGGTCCTGTTCCCTAGCCAGATGGTCACTAACCGGACCAATATGGTACACCTGGTAAGCCCATCTTAACCAGTCGGAGGGCCGCGTACTTGCAGGAGAGTTCAGTTTCTGGCATGGCGGGACCAACCGTTAGGGAAAAGCGAAGCTACAGCCTGACAGGAGGCGAGGCCGTTGCCAGGGTGCGAGTGCGGTTATCACGCATCAGGAGATCTAACCGCAGCAGGTCCTGGAGGGCTGCATCGGGCAAGGTGTCCAGGGCCCGAACCCCGCCTCTACGCCCAGAAGTCCTGAGGACCGATAATGTTAGGCCTACCCACAGGCATCAGTACATACATACATGAACACGAAGTCGGTCTCGGCGTTTTAAGTTTCCATTACGACCCCGCTCATGAGTAATCAGCTCGCACCACCTGCCCCTAAGCCTCATAAGCCCAAGCATCCAAGCGATACAGCGACCATACTAGCGATACAGCTCAACACCAATAAATGTGACCTTTGCGTGGAAAGCGTACGGCCAACCTCGCCAACAAAAATGGTCTTACAGTTTTATGATGACACAGCTATGGCGGCCACATCGAACAATGACGGCGAACCGGGCAGCGCTGCCTGGGTTCAGTGCAATGGATAGCCCGATGCCTCCGCAAATCTTCCCAGTCTCCTCCAGTGCTGTGCTTTGGCGTCCTATCCTGTGTGCAAAGTTTGGCTGCCTTGCCTGGCGTAATGGCTGCCGCTAGTTGCTTATGTCACAACCACCGCAACACGACAAGTGCTGATATCAGCCAAAAATGACGCGTACAACCACGTATGTCGACAATTCCGCATTTGTAGAAGTTTTGACGCCATGTCTGCAAGAACGTTATCCTCCCATGCCGGCGTGTCCACATGATGAGATGTATAAGCCGCGAGTGCGAGTACAAGGGCAAAATGAAACCAGCAAGCATGCGAAACCAATGCACCTAGCATCCCTGCGCGCGGAACACTAACATTTTATTGTCCAAGGCGCAAGACACGGCATTTTCTCCTACCTGCCATGTCGCCATCCCGCCATGGCTACGCTGCGAAAGCAAGCGACTTCTCGAACCGCAACATACTTCCATTTTTCCATTACCGCTACAGGGTGGCGTTTCGCAGCTCGCAGATACCCAGCGTTCGCTAGATCTTCATGCCATGCCATCTCCCATAGCGCACTTCTATGTTCCATCCTGCGCGGCCATATGCGGCCGAGGGTCCTTGCTGCCAACTGCCAGACCTGGGACAGCAGGTGGGCCCTCCAGGTGTGACCGGACTCTGTACAGCGGAAAGCGCGACGATGATTGCCGCAGAGAGGGCATCTCCGGATGGTATTCAACCCGAGCAGCTGAAGAACAAATCCGAAATCGCACGCACGCTGGTGATTCCGCATGCTGCCATCCCCCAACCGCCTCCGGTTTCCCTAGAGATTTAACCCTGACTACTCTGCCTTTTCTGCCACATTCATCTTTCAACATGGCGTCTCCCGAACCGTAAATTTAATCACCAATCCTTCTCAGCAATCCTCCATAACTCATGTCGCACGATTAACAGCAGCAGATGCGGTATAAACACAGCAATGGGGCCGGAGATAAAAAAGCAAACATGGATTCTGAAAAATATGCAACAAAGGTACAAAACATATTGTGCATTTGTGGCGAATCTGCGAGGGTGAAGCTGCTATCTAAATGCCGTGTGATGAGCTAGTGTATACAAGACTGGGTCACTCTCACAAAAAACAATGCACGGGCTTGGCTTCCACAAAGATGCCGCTGTGAAGCTCAACGTGATCACCCAAGAACTGCAACCCGGGGCTCTCTATCGGCCTCTTCCCCCGGGTAATGACGCCCATGCATGCGACTTGGGAACACCCGGCTCAGTGAAGATGCAAAAGAATCAAAAGAACCCCATGTAGACATTTTGCCAGGCGGCCGTGCCACTACTGTCCAGTAGTCTCTGTCCGTACGAACAGCAAAGCACACGTCCCTCGAGCCTGTCTGCTGTTTCCTCTGAAGCAACTTAGCGCACCACATTCATTGGAAACTTCTCTAGCAACGTCAAAGACATCCATCTCAAAAAATGCAATCAAGTACGTTTCTCTGTGCTTGGGGCGTTAGCACACAAGCGTAAGGCGGGTGCATATCTACGAACAAATCTTCCATTGAACATGTGTACTTCAACTAAATCCAGCACAGTCCCCAACACGTACATGATAACCCCACTCCAAGGTGCTTTTTCCCGCACGCGGCACCCTAAGCAGACAGTATTCAAGCGAACCATGCGATTGGGGCCCCGCACACCAGGTCCCAGGCTATACAGCAACTTGTGACGCGCGCAAAACTCACAAGGTAACTCAACTCCCCCCTGCACCGCCCGTCTCTTGAGAACCGCAAGCTCTTTGTTCAGAGCCACGCAATGCGACGAAATAGGGTTGCAAGCGCTCGCTTTTCTTGGCAGTGGTGGAGCCACCTAAGCCCGGCTACGCGAGCTCGTGTCTGCCGGCTCATGTTTTTTGTGTGATGCACCCCGGAGCCAAGTCCGGGGGGTCTGGGTGTGGGCGTCTACCTTCCGTAGCTCGGCGCGCTTCTTTTCGATGCTGCCGGACAACAACGGGCTGACTGGGCGTGGTCGCGCTGGTGGGGGCGGCACTATCATGTCGGGACCTGAAGCTCTGTGCCGGTTTGAATGACCGAGTGGTGTGCCCAAGGACAGCTCCCCAGCTGCAGAACTCCTGCCAGTGTGCGGTGACGGGCTGGGGCTGGGTGGCGGCGAGATGGGCATCCTGTTGGTGTGGGTGGTGTCACCTCTGGTCTGCGAAGCGAGCCGAGCAGAGTAGAGGGGTCCTGTACCCGCACCGGCCGTCCCATCAGGCTCTTCTGTGGGCGATTGCGAGTCGGTGGGTGCGAAGTTATTCCTTGATAGTTCAAGTTTGCGATAACTCCTGCCAGTCTCAACTTCGCTTACAGAAGGCCCATACAGCTCCGGAAACTCAATCCCAACATGCGGCGGCGGCGAATTTGTGCTGAATTCGGGACCCAACAATTCATTGCGATCCTTCAAGGACGGATCCCAAGAGTCAACAGCGTCGGAGGGCGGAGGAGAGGAGGGCCAGGGAGGACTGAAATGATCTGACGCATATACGCCGGGATGCGTGCTGGGCATCGTAGGGTATGGGATGCTTTGTGGCGGGTCTGCAAAGGGTGAGAGGGTTGGGTCCGGCACCCCAGGGTAAGCAGGCAGCATTGGGGTTGGCGGTGTGTAGATACCGGGAGCCGGGTTGAATGGCATTTCGTGGAAGCGATGTGGCGGTGGTGGCGGTGGCGGCGGCGGTGGTGGTGGTGGCGGCGGCGGTGGTGGTGGCAGCTGCAAGCTGACCGGTGAGGGAGGTCGCCTGCCTGGTGTAATGACAAAGGACGGAGAAGTGTCCACCCAGGTTTCGGTTCGGGTTTTCTCCCCACTGGGCTGCTCCTCGGACGAATAGTCGGCGAAGGCGGCACAATCCGGATCCTGGATGTTGACGAGGCCATCACAGTCATTGTCCAGGTTGTCAAACGTGCAACTCCGCCAGGTGTTTTCCCGTACCGCATCCATCCTGCAGATCTTCAGCTTCGCCACATCCATCCCTCGTTCAGATGTGAGCTGTGTCACTTCCACATGCAGCATCAGCTCATCATGATGCCACGGCTTATCGCCAGGCCTAAGAGTTGCCAACCTGACCGTCCCAGCGGTGGCACCGACGATGTCCACATATGTCACATAGATGCTGACCACATTGGCAACACTCTCCTCCAGGTCGTCGAACGGCTTCGAAGCTTTCCGGTATGCTACCCACACATATGCGGTGTAGAACGTGTAGCTCTGGTAAAACCTCACTGTGGACCGAATGTCATTGTCCACCCACATCCGGGCCTCTAGCCGCAGCGCGGAGCCCAGGGGCGTGCTGTTGGTGGCCGCTGACAGAGTGCGCTCCACCCACATCCCGGCGGGAAGGCTGTACCAGTCCAGTTGCTCCTGCGGATTCCTCCATCCCAACTGCCACATGTGGGGGGCATGGAAGCAACGTGTGTCGCAGCAGAAGCCCATCGCGCTGGTTGTGTCACAATACTCGCAGTTCAACGTCATCGAGTGTTTCAGGTAGTAATTGTGTCCGAGCTCGTGTGCCCAGCCTGAAATGTTGCGCCAGTACCTGCCGTTTATCCAGGCAAATCCGAAGACGCCCTGTGGGCGTGGACATGGGGGGGAGACCACTAAAAGGCCAGGATCTATGCTGAGGCCATAGGGCATCCTGCGATGTCAGAGGGCATGCTCAGGACATAACACGCCTTATGCAAACTACTAGGGAGTCCCCCTAAGCCTGTGACCGTGACACGGGACCGTGGGGAGAAAAGGAGCCTTGGATTTTAAGTCTATGTGTAGAAATATCGCCGTGTAAGGCAGGAAAGCGGCTTGTAGTGCTGCATGGTAAAATCCTGCTCATGACTTGGGTCAACGGAATGCAAAGGTATTATGCCAACCAACAACAGGCCTGCCAACAAACTGCGAAAGTTATCTACCCCTACCCGTCTGTAGGTCATCATGCCGTATTCCTCCGTGAACTCCGTATTGTCACTGTTGCCGTAAGGCCCGACGAAGCCTAGGCCTGTCCAAGAGCAGCTCGAACCAAATCCGTCACCCCCCGTCATCCAGTCCTCCTGATTGGGTGAGACAAGAGCCACATGATGGCGGTAGCCATCAACATCGTAGCCGTTGCCACGTGCCCACTGTTGCGCGTAACGTAACCAGCCCTTGTAGTCTTGCGGCCGGCATGACGAAGTGTACCAGAAGGCCTCGCGCTCTATTTCCGTACCAGGATAGGTGAACGTGTAGGAGCCGCTGCGCATGAGGCACATCAACATGCAGGGCTAGATTCATCGGCTAGATCCTTCATGGGCCGAAAAACAATTCACGGCTGGGGAAGACGACCTATCCAGACTACGTTCTACCGCACATCAGTACAGGCGTAGAGGGCATTTACTTGAGGGCGTGTGGAATCTGCACCCGCTTCGCAGGTGTACAATGTCAATTATTATGTTAAAAATGTTTGCTCCAAGAAGTGGCCCTTTAGTTGGTGGCCAAGGTAACTGTTTTGAAGGAAACACCGATTATGCGCTGTGGGGTAACAAATACTTTAAACCATTTAGACACTTCACCGTGCAAGGATTTAAAAAGGATAGGTGGTTGGCAGCCGGTAGCAAACTGAATGGCCAACGAAGACGAGCTATGAGTCATGCCACCATAAGGTAGGAAATGCCATACGGGGAGCTATAATCCGCCCTAAGCCCTACACAAATCTTAGAGGCTTTGCACCTAACCGGGACTCCTCAGATCCTTACCTACAAGGCACTTTCACTGGCCCCAGGATAAGCACATTTTCGTGGCTGAACCTGGCCAATCCAGACGAGCAGTATGATAAGTAAGACTGTAGGGTGTCTTGACGGTCTCCTAACAAAACGCTCTCAAGCTCCTGTACGGGAAATGTAGCCGAGGGAAAACACAGGCGCCCCAGGTTTTGTGGTTGCATGGACTGCCAATCGATCCGACCAGTCAGCCGTAGCCTCTCGCAACGCCGGAGGTGCAGCAATTATGCAATGCGATGGCCAGCGGGATAGGCATGCCTGGACGCTTGTAATCTCATGTAGCAAGTAATGCTTGGCGGCGTGCGGGCAATGTGCATTCCCACAACCATTTTTTGCATCCGGTGCCTATTTCACCCTCTTTCATTTCCTGGTACAACCTAGGACGAGATACAGCTTGCTAACCTGACAAGCCCCGGCCCCTTACCTCCTTGGACGCGGCAGGTCCCTGCTCGCACATGTCCAGGATATAGACCACGGTTGAGACATCGTCCATAACAATCCTGCTACCACTGTTATAGGTGAAGGTGGTAGGGTCAGGGCCCTGTGTAGTTGTGGCCTCTCTTGTCACCGCTCCGGGGGCATCGGCACGTTCGGCCTTGCTTGCTACGTTGCGCCAATTCACAACAGTAAGCTGACCACCGTTCACCAGTGCTGGCTCATCCCCCGCGACGGAGCGCCGGCTCGCAGTTGTTGACGCGGTGCTAGGTTTAATACCGGAAGCTTTGATCGCTCGTCCCGTGGCCGCATCCCACCCAGCCAGGCTACGGCGTTGGTCAATCCCCGGTGCGATTCCTGCGGCTGTGGCCTCCAGGTCCGCTGCAGGCACGTCCACCTCAACCAACAGCCCGTGAAAATTGGGTGGCTCTTGGCCACGTCCGAAGTTCAAACCCCACACTGTGTCGTTTGCGTCAATAAGGATGCAGTGCGTATCCTTGTTGGCTGACCTGTCAGGTGAGATTTCTGAACTCTGCGAAAAATCTAGGTCGACCTGCACCAGGCGCCCTGCAATAAATCGAAACCGAGCGGGAAACAACCTGAGGACCTCCCTCGCGAACGGACCCAACATACTGAAATAAACCATAAGAAGAAAAATCGAACGTCTCCTCCCCCAAATGGCAATGCGCAGTTTGCCCTTGCCTAAACGATATTCATGCGTTTCGCGGTCCGCGCCTGCCAGCTGACACCACCAAACGAACTCACCACGTAGCGTCAGCACATTATGACCGTCAACCGCCGATTTCGCAGGCCGAACTACACATGAGATGATGAACAGTAGGGCCGCTAGCCTCATGGTGCTGTTTACGGATGTCAACATAAGGCGACAGAATCTTTTAGGTGCCTGCATGTTAAACGTGTTGCATGGGCCGTGATGTTTTCTCACACAAAACGTATACGCAAACTGCTTGTCATTGCGGTAAACAGCGATAACTGGCGTGGGAACGGAAAGAGCCGTTTGACAAGCCCGCTTAGCCTGTAAGTAGACGTAGATGCGATGTGATGAATAATTAAATGATGATGCAAAAATACGTGCCCTATCTTTCGACCGATTGCCGGCACGGCATTACAAACACGGGCCGATCTTTATGATGCGACTCACCGCTATACCTTCACATATAGTTCCTTGAACTGGAAGTCATAGTTATAGGTGGAAAGATTAATTGCGATGTGCCGAAGCCAGTACGTTCTAGAAAAGGAAAGCAAAGAGGCTGTCCTATATACAAAAGCGTACAGCTAGTCAGTTAATATTACCTGCATTCCTTGTAAATGTTGGTATTTCGTAACAACGAAGGCTTCGTCCTGGCGTGACTCGTCGAATCCGTACTATCATCCGCACGACATCATGAAATTTGGGAACAGCAATAAAACCCCATTGTAATAGGGCATGCATACGACCTAGTAATAAAGTTCATAAATAGTATTGCATAATCAAATGATAAAAGCTTTCATGTCAATTTTGGCATCGCTGTGCTTCAAGCGACGCCTCTGCAAATTAAATGCTAAATGCAAATGCATCAAAACGCTTACAAACTTGATACTAAATCGTACGCGCTATGTATGCCGTGAAGGACTTCGTAGATGTGCTTGATCCGTATGGCGATCGTCACTTCATTTCGTTTTAAAGTAGGCGTAAGAAAACTAAATGAAGCTTGAACAATCCTAGTAAGGCAAAGAGAGGTGAAAACCAGGCTGAACAACAGCAATGCACTTGCATAGCTTTAATCATATAGGTGTTACTTGAGTCTCTTAACGGAAAGGAAGGAAACGCATAATGCAAGTAACTAGATTGTGAAGATTGGGCGCAGACATTGTGCTTACCAGGTAGCTTCCCACCAGGTGCAACGGCAAGGGGCAAAGCGCGCAAAGCGCGTACTTGAATAGTCGTTGAACAAGTGGCCTTCATAGTACAACTTGAAACTAAGCACGTGGTTAGTACGAGGCCGATATACATAGAGAGACCTTGAGGGACCCTGGGCTGCAAGAGTTCTTGCGCCGTAACATTTGCGTCCAGATGTCCCTGGCCGTTAACTTGGAAAAACTGCGTACTTAGCGGCACGTCCTGGCTCCTAACCCATTACGAAGCCAAAAGCCCCAAATTATTTAATGACCCTATAGCTAGTGCCCCATGCACTAACGCTCCGGACCTACCTTGACTTACTAAGCTTTCTTGTACACATTTGTGCACGGGCAAGGACCCAACCTGAAGAAACCTAACCTTAAAACAAAATAAAGCGGGGGTTCTATTGCACGGATAGTAATAAACTAAATGCCGCTGCGCAAGAATGCGCCCCTCCGAATATACTGTGCAGTGGCGTGTCACGCATTTCGTTAGGTTGAAGCGATGTGGAACTTGAAAACCAAATAACCCTGAGTTTGAAGTTTTTCTCCTTAATCTCAGTATGCATCCTGCCTACATTCCACGCACGTTTGATTCTTCAGCTGCTTGCCCGTGCTTGCCCGGAGGCCCCGTTATAAGCCAGGTTACAATATAAACCCTAAGGTATATATTCAACGTGCACAATTAAGGTATGTCCGAATCTTTGCCTGCTCGGCTGGCACGTTATCTGTAAACGTTTGCACGCAGTTGCATAGCCTGCAGGCAGCTGCCTGCGTTTGCGTTGCCAGGCGCGGCAACAATGGCAAACATTAACGCGTTTTCCCGAAAGCAAGTTGTCCGTGCCTATTAGTTTGTGCGCGGTCGTTGAACGACACGTGCACAGCGCAGCCCACCCAGCCCTCCTACGAACTAATTGGTGCTCAGAGCCAAGACCGCCTAGAAGACCAACTCTGGAAGGGAATTTCATACATCATAGGTAACAGGGAGCGCGACGAGCAAGCGTCATTGGTAGCCGACAAGTGACGGTACATAATGCTCGTGCGTCCTCGTGCAGACGTCCTCGTGCAGACCTTGCTGAACTGCCAGCCGAGCAGGCAAAGATTTGGACATACCTTAATTGTGCACGTTGAATATATACCTTAGGGTTTATATTGTAACCTGGCTTATAACGGGGCCTCCGGGCAAGCATGGGAGGCAAAGGTCTTTGCACCGATCTCCTGACAACTAAGATACTGTATTGGCACAAAGGGGATGCGACACAAGGACGACGTATAGGAAATCAACGAATTATCTGCAGCTTCAAGGTTATGTCGTGGGAGAAGGAATTCGGCTGCCGAGGAATGTTGCATGCCTCGAATGATTCGTGTGAGTATCAAGCAATCCGGTTAAGCGCCCCGGCGGGCTAACGGTGTAAGGGAGTCCAGCTTTGCGATGTTGAAAGCATAATACGGTCAAACCTTGCCAGACTGCAAAAGCAGCTGCAAAGCAGCAGGGTTTCAGCAAAACAGCTTTAGTACGCATGTAGTACACATGCGAGGCATGGCGGGCAACAAGCACCGACATTCAAAGCAGGAAAAAGTGTCGAAAATTAGCTCAGAAGGCCTGAGGCTTCTCCCCTAAAAGAGTGAAACGTCGCTAGGTATCTACCCACCTAGCCAAACGAGCCCTGCTAGGGTTTGATTGTAAGGATACCACATCGTACCCTACTGCCCAAAGGGTTAGACAAAAAGAGACTGAGATCACTCAGTTGCCCACCCCACATAAGACGCCAGTAATAAAAAAAAACTACCCAATCTACCATTACCGCATGGGCGTGAGGCAATTCCCAAACCCCGATAGGTCGTATCCCTGTAACAGAGCCGATAAAAACACGGGCCCTTATTTCCATGGCCCTGGCCGCGGCCATCGCCCTTAACTGCGGCAAACCCTGCATCACCTCAACAGCGCCTCTAACCCAAAACCTACTTAGCACCGCTCCGCTTGGCCATTTGGTGCACCATGGCCTGTACAACCACAGACCACCAGATCGCCTGCACCAGGTCGGCGCGGGTGGCCACGGGTACTTGCCAGAGCCATAGGCTCACGGCCCTGCCTCATACTGGCGCTGTGCAGGGCGTCCACTGCCATCTGCCAAGACGTCGTCCTCCCCTCCGGAAGCTATCCAACATATTAATGCATGCCAAATCCTAGGCAGTGCGCCAGCGAGAGCGCTGATCATGCCTGAGCCAGGCAAGGCCTCAACTTCATGGCGCAGCTAAGGGTTACTGGACGGGTGGCCAATGCCCTTTGCAGCTTACTGTAGCATACTAAATTGCCCTGTACAGCGCCTTTGGCGGCCCAATGCTAGTCAGTCGTAGGGAAGCCAATGGCCACATTACACGTCCACAGCACCTTGAGATCACCAATTCCATTTGATTGATGACCTGGTGCGTAACAGCCGCCGTGATCAGCAGAATGACTGCCACTGCCATGTTCAGCCGCGCCATCGGAGTATCCTGTTCCGGTCATCCAATGCGGTGAACGCACCCATCAGCACCACAACGCCTCTTCCAGGGGCGTCTACAGCCTAGACCGCACCATTCAATGCCATTATCTGCTCCTCAAGCCTCTCAAGCGCTTGCACGCACAGCAAGTCATAATCGGGATCGTCGTCGTCCTTGCTGCACGTATTATTCACTCCGGTCGCGGGTGCCGTGAAGCCCTCTGCAGCAGCATGTTCCCCTTCTGCCCGACCTTGCTGCTGGCCATGAGCCCGCTGTTCCTTCTGCCAATGTGGACCATCTGGTGCTTTATCGTAAAATGGCGGCGCATGCGGCTTTCCCTGCTCGTGCTGCTGCTGTTGTCCAGCGGCACGGTGCCTGCACTCCTCCCACAGATGAATGGGCAGAGGCATACGTGCTGACCGGAAGTCCCGGCACTCGGGGTCGTAGCAGCGCTGACACCATGTGCCGCCCCGTAGGTCAACTGCAGCTCATAAGACCGGTGGGGGATAGGGGGTCTTGTGGGGGATTTTGCCATGTGCTTTTGGCCTGCCAGGAAGGAATACCGCCATGTAGACTTGTCCCAGCCCAGTAGGCAAGGCCCGCTGTGCAACTAAAACTGCTTCCTTTGGATATGCTCGTGCGACAGGCCAATGACCCTAGGCAGCGCAGACGTGCATTGGTGCAGACATGCATAGCAGCAACTAGTAAAGCTGCCCATGTGAACTTATTTCCTTACAACGTATTGACATGCTAGGGGCCCAAGTTCTGTTTTATGTCACGGCAGAAAGGTATGTTGGGGAGTAGCTAGCGACGAGGCGGCATTCCGACATGACTCATGCAGTTAAGAGACCCAGTACAGGCCCTGGCGCACCCTATGGAGCCCCTAGCGCGATGTGCACTTTAGGGGGACCGCGATGGCGGCTGGCACATTTTCCCGGACAAACGTCGACACGACACAACGGGCCTCGCCCGTAACTTGCCCCTTGCCTGTGTAATAAATACCGTTGGAGCGGTGCGGTCTGCCCACGTTGGCGCACCAGCGGTTGTTGCGCATGGACAGGAGCAAGATGCCGCTACCGGCCAGGTATTGCCAGCAGCGGACTCGGCCCTGAACGCCACCCTGTGGGTTTGGAGCGTGGTGCACTCAGGGTCGGACGACTGCCAGCGGCACAGTGCGCATCCGGCTTGCTCCATTCACCATCGGCGCGGTGAAAGGACCCAGCCGGACGCAAACACGCCAGCCAGCCAGATGCAGGCCAACCCTTTCCGGGTTTACAACTCCGGGTACCTGAACTTGAAGTGCGACCTTGGAGGATGACCTAGACTTGGCCCCGGTTGCCGGTAGTTAGACCAGAGCCAATTGCCCCCACCATAGTGCTCAAAAGTGAACCTTGGGCGCTTTACGGCCTTCACCACCTGCCGTCTTAACCATCCATCCCTTACAGTCCGGAGCCTGATTTACACGGTACGCGACCGGCAGTGATGGTGATTCTGGTGATTCTGGTCCCTACGCCCATCCAGCACCTCAGAATCATCCCCCCGTCCAGTTACAAGGGCTCCTTACCTCACAACAGACTGACTCAATGAACTCATCCACACACGGGAAGGGAGAGGGCCCGTATTGGAGAGGTATTGCGGCCACGCCGGGTAGCTGGTGCGGGCCGATGCTAGCACCGGAGCCGTGGGGCTGCAGGCTGGGCGCTGGGGCTCCACCACCGCCTGCTGGCAACGGCAGGCGCGGAATGCCGAGGTAGCTCGGCCGCGCTGCGTGGAACCCCGCCAACGCTGTGGCACCCGCGCCCCCGGCTCCACCGCCGCCAAAGTCATCGTACAAGGTCAGGACCCGGTCCACCCGGCTCATTCCGGTGACCAGGCTGGCCATGAAGATGTCCTTCGCGACCGCCCGCTCAACACGCGGCGGTAGCAGCAAGCCCCCGCGGCCCCCGCAGGTCGCGACGTCAGGCGGCTGTGCCGCCGCGGCGGGCGGTGGCGCTCTGCTGGCCGGCCCAGATGCCACCATGCGGTCTGCAGCCTCTTTGTGGTGGTCGGTAGCAGGGCTGTCGGCTGGGCCCTCACTGCAGGTGGCCCGCTCCGCCGCTTGTGGCCGCGGCACCGCTAGGACCCGCTGTAATGGATCGACTGGGGCACTGCCGGTGGGTTGCGGCGCTGAGGCCGGCTCCTGGCTGGAAGGCCTCGCGTGAGCTGCGGTGGCGGTGGCGCCGCCTTCCTGGAATGCAATGCCGCGCTGTCGCAGTAGAGCCGCGACTGCATAGCGGCTCGTTGCTCTCAGTACCGCGGTTTTACCGGCCTTCGAGCTTAGGTAGAGACGAAAGGCCCTGTAGAAACGGAGGAGGTTGTTGCGGCACATTTGTATAGAAAGGGACAGTACTTTTCCTTTTGCCCCTCCCTCCCTCTTGTTCCATGGCAAAGCCTATTCGTGGCCTCCTTGCACTGCCTTAGTGATTGTGGCCGCTCATGTCGCCATCAGGCTTTCATCGTGCTAGCTTCTTAGCCCTACCACGTGCCGTGGCCGCCACTATCCTTCATTCGCCCGCAACACTGGACTTAGTGTACTCCACCCAGCACTATGCGCACACATCACATCACCTGTTCCGCGTGTAGACAGCAGGATCAATAAACAACGTTCGGGGACCGTCCTCATCAGCAGAGCGCCGGACAAAGAAAGCCCCAAAGCGCACCGGATCCGCCGCTATCCGGTCAAACAGGCGGCGGACGAAGGCGTTCACATGGAAGTTGTCCTGCAGGGCCAACGTGTCGCGGTGAGTGCTTGCGTGAGCATGAACCCCTCCCTGATCCCTCTCCTGATTCAGAGGTACACAGAAAAGAGATCGGGCATTCGGCCGAATCGGCAGTGTGGGCAATCGCTTAGATGCAGGCTCTCCCCACTTAGATTTCAGTAACCCGGCAAGACAAGAAATAGGAAGCCTGCGCATGTGGCCCAACCCGGCCCTATACACACCTTGAATGCACAGTGAGGAATCCGGATAACCAGGTGACGGGAGAATTTAGCAGCTGTGGTGCTGCACAGCTCCCACACCCATGGGCAGCTGCCATCGCTGCTGGGGCAGCGGACGGATGGAGCCGCTCCGTTGACAGGTGGCTCAAGCACGAGGCCACCTTCCTGGTTTGGTGCTCCGGCCTGAGCAGTACCGAGCCCCTTGCAGTCCTCCAGGCGGCAGCCCCCAGCGCTGCAGCTGGGTGCCGCAGGTCCCCCACAACAACCTCCCTGCGTGACGCAAGCCCCAATGCTACCTGGGACACAGCAGCTCGCACCCCCATGTCCAGATGCCCCGGTTCCCTGGCCTGCGAACCGCGGCTCCAGCTCTTCTGGCTGCTGCTGCCGCTGCTGCTGCTCCAGTCCCCTCCAGTGACGGCTATCCTGCAGCGGCATCTGAATGCCAAACGCTGCGAGCAGCTCCTCCGCCACCAGATCTACCAGGAGGTCAACCAGCAAGTCGCCGCACACGCCAGGGTTGAACTCCGGCACAAACTCCAGATCTGTGGTCCCAGTTCCAAGTGAAATGTTGCAGTGCATTTCGGCACAAGCCCCACGTGAAATGCTACCCCTCACCCCTGCATAAGCTACCCACATGGTTGCCTGTGGTGAATGCAGACAGCGGGGGCTAGTGGGGGTAACACCTGAGGCTGAGTCCTAATTTTACATGTGGAAGGGCGGATGCGCTCACCAAAGTACAGGTGGCAGGGAGACCCCTCTCGAAGGATTTCATAAAGGTGGCAGCTGCCCGGCTCAGCCAGTTCCACGTCCTCTACCCATAGCCGGGCGGGTGTGGTAACCAAGAAGCGGCGTTTGCCATCCCCGCTCAGCTCCTTGCCGAAAACACTGGAGGTGTTGCGTGTTGGTGGGATTAACGTGCGGTAGCAGCAGGACAGAGCAGGATCCGCCATCCGAAGAGGACAGGGGTAAGTGGTAAGTAGTGAACCTGGGCCTCAGCAACGGCGCCAATCCATCATGCAAAGTAGGGTCCGTTAGCTCGGATGCGAGGAGGTCTGGGAGCGGTTCCTGGGAAGTACTCCAGGGCAACACATAGGGCTGCTGAGCCGGTAGCACAAGAACTGTGCGCATGCTCATGCTATTGCGAGTAATGTCTTCCGAAAGGTGAGCATGAAAGCCAAAGCAATCGGAATGCTACACCTCCTTGTCTGGGTACATTACGCGTCACAAATGAGAAGCACAATTCACGTAAGGAGGATAGCGCGTTCGGCGGGTAAACTTGTTTCCAGACCAACGAAAGAACCAGCGGATGGGCAGGTAGCACATGGAATGCGTCATTAAGCCCTGGTGCAGGACATCCGCAGCGTCCATCTCACCGTAGGTGCTGTAACCATTGCGCACGCTGCTGATCCAGAAACTCGAAAGCCTGTTGCTGCAGCTTGAATTCTGCCCTCGGTGCAGAGGCCTCCATCCACAACGGTTGGCGAGGACTGCATGTATCGCTACGGATAGCTGTTTGCGCGTCATTTCCCCGCAGCATCTCTGTTCGGCTGGCGACAGCTGACGCATCCTTGGCACAGTCATCTCGCAGTAACAGCTCCGGATCTTTGCGGGCACGCCGTGTAGCCCGCACGTTAAATTATGGTATGTCCCGTAGCAATAAACTTGTCCCGGTGTCTGTGCTCAAGGTAAAGTGATGGCAGCCTTACCAGGTGAGGCAGCCGCTGGAGCATCAGCTCGTGGCGCGCGGCTTGCGTCGCAGCGGAGTTCCTCATTTGGCACTGTCTTACTTGAGAAACCACTTACAGCAGTACGCTTATCGTAGAAGGCGCTCTCTGGCTTAATGCGGGGATTACCATGCCTTTTCCGAGCTGCTGTGCCGATATCGCAAAGGAATTCATTCGGCCTTTTCAGATGTCCAGTTTGCAATAGCCCCTTATCTTGCGGGCCATCCGAGCATCTATAAGGAGTCGACCGCTGCTGGTCCGCAAGTTTGCGTATGAACTCCTCGTAATCAGCTGGCTTCTTTGGAAGTAAGGAAGTGGACTTCGACTGCATTGAGGTTGCCAACTACGGATGGGTTCGTAATTTCAAAACAGGCGAACAGCGAGTTGCGCTGCGATGGATCCAATACTAGATACTGTACGGCACATATGTTAAAACGCACCATTATGCAACTTGCCATAACACCAACATGACACATAACATTACATATACCAAATTAAGTCTGTGAGTCGCTTGGCCGCAACAGAGCAACACAGCGACGGGGACCAAGAGCAACACAACCACGAGCTTCGACCAAGATACGAGTGCGAAGCTACAGCACTCTCGTTTTTGAGATAGGAACACGATAAAGTATGCTACGATATCCATCTTCCCGCGATAACTCGGCAACCCCCGTCACACTCGTGCACTTCGCACGCCGCTGCACTGCTCTTCTTCCAAGAATTTCTTCACATTAAGCCTACAGGTGCAACAAAAATAGGAACCTAGAGGTACATAATTCCTGCTTCCCTTGAACATTCCGCGCGGGACACAGTACACACGGTTGCACCCGGAGGTACATGAGCGGTTACGCGCTAAGCTGAGGTTCTCCTTGCAGTTAAATATCTCCTGTAATATCCAAAGCTAGCTGCGGAAGCGACTCACAGCAGCCTTGGAGATTTCCTGCGCAATTTCCTGTTTTTAAGGATCCACAAAAGCGGGGTGCAACAATGGTCACATGATATTTGCTGCAATGGAAGGTCAAGGAACAGGTGACAAGGATAACTAAATTCCACAGCAACATCGTAGTGCAGATTGTGGACCTAAAGCAAAATTGGACGATAACGGAACTCACCTTGTTAATCTTGTCAAAAGAGCTTGCATCGCCAGCCTGTTTGATGCAGGCTGCTAGCGCCTTGTTGATGTCCTCCAGTGTCGTCTATCCTTGGACAGTGTCCACGTGACAAGGAGGCGGCAGTGGGGTCATGATGGGGAACATGTGCTGGCATAGTTGGACTCCATCCCAGGGGCTGAAATATGCTTCCTACGGTTAAGTTCCCCTAGGGTCCGGATGCGGTGACCTCCAATCCCTTCCTATGTCACACCTGTAGAGCTATAATCCGGGCCAAGGTCTCACCTGGACGTTTAACACACGACGCGTACCGCTCCCGTTGGAGGATCCCTGGGGCACTCAACCGGGTTGCGTAGGCGGAAAGGGGGGGAAACAAGGCAAGGCACTAAGGCGTAAACCAACACATCAGCAAACGAAAGTAGTTTAATGCTGCTTTGGACACAAAGACCATTTGCAAAATGCCGCTGTAGCCATCTAGGCCCTTGTCCACGACTCGTGGACACGCAAGATGGGTGGGAGGTTTTGTCGGACTTACCTTAGCCGCATTCAGTGGAGCTGCTACCGCCTCAATTTTCCATTTTCGAGCCCGACATGTACTTGCCCGCGTCATGCTCGACGTATTGAACATCATGGCGACACCGCTCGACCAAAGGTTGGCGTCCTAACGAAACGGAAGACCTCTTTACAACAATGATATTACAGGCTGATTATATGCTACACCTACTGGGTCTCGGCGTATTAACCAGTGAAAGTCTGCAAGCGTTCTAGTGTAACCTGCAGTTGACGTCGGCTCATACGAGTGTATAAATCATAATACATATAATTTCCCTTGGCCAAATAATTACTTCACGTATGATGTAACAAATGTCGCGAATTGGGATTTCCAGCTCGCCGTACTACTGGCGGCATTGCGAGGACGCTGGATGGTGGCCGCACCCCACCAACATATCTGGCATACCAAACATTGCTGAGACGCAAACATTTTTTATGGGCCCCATGAAGGAGGACGGGGCCTTGCCCAGCAGTCGGTTGAGAGTTGACAGGGGCTCAGGATTGTGGAAGAAGTGGAACAGCATCAAATCATAGCGTGGTGTAGGTTACTTACACGTATACCTGTAATGTATGTCTCCTTGCTTTTGTTTTAGGAACTGCTTCTGGAATGTAAGAGCATTTGGGTTCCCTGCGGTCGAGAGATGAACTAGGGTCCGTTTCAACCATTCAAAAATTGCCCAACCCCTTCTGCTCTGTGGCCTTCTCCAGCCATCTGTGCATGCGGAAGCGGTGCAAAGCTGACCTGCAATTTGCATTGCGCTCTGGTGTCTATGAGTCACTCTCCTTGCCACCCCTAGACGATTCTAAAGGATCTGTAGCTAAACACTTCAGCTCGTCCAAGCCTTCCCAAAGCCCATGCTTTCTCGTATCGCATTCACACATTGCTTGATGTGTACTATCCGTGTAGGGTCTCCTAAGCACTTCATAACGCACATTTGCATGCGCGGACGGCCAACGTGCTACGCCAGAAACTGTCGTCTCCTCATCGGAGATGCACAGGGACACCAAAATTGCACGCCCAAAAGGCGTGAATTTGGGCCGGATGTCTGTACGCTGCGCAGTTGCCATTTGGCAAAAAGTTGATGCCGCCTCAAGCACCGTGCTGTGCGAATCCCAGCACGGACAGCATGGAGGCGCGCCGCACGAGACGATTAATATGCTCCAAAGGTTGCTTCTTACTATAATTATATTTTGTAGTCCTTTCTTTACAGACAACTGCCTGGGGAAGAACACGCCGGAGCCCATGAACGGCTATGATTCCATCTGCCACACGCATGCCTCCCATCCAATGGACAGATCTTAAGAGAAGCAAATAACTTGTTGACACTGGTGTGGGGTGCCTGGAGCGAATTGCTTCCGGCCCGACGTTTGGACCATGAAATTTAATTTGGAGGGCCTGACGGTGTACTTTCCATATGAGTACATTTATCCTGAGCAATACCGTTATATGTTGGAGCTAAAGAGAGCATTGGACGCCCGTGGGCACTGCCTGCTGGAGGTACGCAGGCAATCCTTTACGGAAGTGCTGCTTGGGTAGCCTATACTGCTACTGGCAAAGGACCTTATGCCTGAAACGCTTGCAGTCATGGGGCAACTAGTGACAGGCCCAGACTACCCAAAACACTGGCGATAACGGTTCCCGGGGTCAAATGTGCTGGGGCTTGGCCACCCACATAGTTCCTCTGATGCTGCATGAGCCACGAAGATTTGAAGAGCAGCCCTTTGCGTTGGATCCATTAATCATGGACAGGAGTCGCCCTCTAATATCCGCTGTCGTACTGGAAGTTCTCGCCACACTTACTACACGTAACTGCAACTTCAGCATGCAATGCTGGCATACAGTGGGGCGTTTTAAAGTTGCATCCGTCAATCCTCGTTATGGCTTATGGCTGACCGCGTCAGTGCTAAGGCCGAACCCGGTGCCTTCAGCCCCGTCAGGCTACACAATCAGAGCGGCCACACCCCGGCTTCCGAACGTAACTCCCCGCACACCGTAGATGCCCACGGGCACCGGCAAGACCATCACGCTGTTGTCGCTCATTACCAGCTACCAGCTAGCGCACAAGGAGGTGGGAAAGCTCATCTATTGCACTCGAACAGTGCCGGAGATGGAGAAGGTACGCATGCGTTGTTCGATGTCAGCCCATCCACACCGGACCACGCAGTGCATGGGTATAGTTTACCATTTGTGTAGAATCTGATGTCTGCTGCTGCTCACCTGGAGAGAGATAACGGCGCAATCTTTGTTTGGCGGACGGAGGGCTGGGCTGCGTCAGAGGAGGTGTAGGACCCTGTTGTGAGCCGCTAAGTGTGCAACAACTGGGATATGTAGCATTAGTGGGGGACAAACTGCTCTGGGTGGGGTTGCAGGATACAGGCAGTGGGGCCGCGGTGGCGGGGTCGAGAAGGAACGACTACCCATGTGATGTTCACGCCATTATAGGCCCACACTGTTTGCACCAGTTACCTTGACTGTGCCAGACCAGCAACTACACAGGGCGCATACCCCACGGGGCCTGTGGCGTCCTACCACCGGGTTCTCTGCGCGCTGTTAACAATCGCAAACCCGATGGGTTGCGCCGGAGGGTCCCCGATGGGACCCATGCACCCGCTGACAGTGCTTGCACGTCACGCGGCCTGCGGGCGCGACAGGGCCGTTGTCACTGATACGCACCTCAACACAGCTTGCTCCATGTTCCGTCTTGGTAACGTAATCCCCCATGCCGCACGGTCCTTGATGTTGATCCCACTGCTTCGTCTGGAGCCCCCTTGTTGCTGACCTGGTGCTGGCTGCTGTCGGGTGCCTTGCTGCAGGTCCTGGCCGAGCTGGCGGAACTTATTGACTACCGCGCCAAGTACCTGGGCCGGGGACCCGGATCCAATGAGATTCTTGCGCTGGGTCTGTCCTCTCGGAAGAACCTTTGCATCCACCCCCGGGTGGCAGGTAGGGCTGGGCGCACATGGAGGTTCCCTAATGGGGCTTGCTGGGGAAGGGGCGCACACTGCCCTCGACCACGCAGCACCAGCAGCAACGGCAGCAACGGTACCGGCAGACAGGCACTGACTGATGCCCATTCCCTCCTGTGTTCTGCGCACCCACGCGGTTTGCGACTTGGGTCTTTTCATCCTATTTGAATTCTTAATTGAACACAATTTCGGTTGCAGAGGAGGGCTCCAGGGAGAGCGTCGATGCCGGGTGCCGCCGCCTGACCGCGTCGTGGGTGCGTGAGCGTGCAGCGGAGCGGGGTGCGCGTGGCGGCGAGGGAGGCGCCGAGGAGGGTGGCAGTGGTGGCAGCGTGGCGGATATTGAGCTTTGTGACTTCTTTGAGGGACATGAGCGAGCTGGAGTGGAGGCCCTATTGCCACCAGGTGGGGAGCTGGGGTGGCGTCCCCAAGGCTAACATAAAGTCTTGCTGCAGCTTGATAAGGAAATCTATTAGGATGCAGGAGGAGGATGGATGGCGGAAGGGAGAAAGACACACCCTACGGCCCGCCCTTATGGTCGCACGGTCTTCAGCACCTTTTCCTACTCAGTACGAAGGGCACACTTTAAAAGCGGCGAAACGAAGCACGAGAAGGTGCAAACGCACAGGAACAGCATTGCAGGACACACCTTCGGTTGGGTGTAGCATGCAGTCTTTGCTATGCGCACGGTGCGTCATGGTGCATCTGTGACCTTCTCCAGCTCCGCCAACACTCGCCCTCACGTTGCTCTGATTGCTCCAACCTACCCCACTATCCTGCGGTTGTGCGCCGCGAGCATGCAGGCGTGTACACGCTGTCTGACCTGCGTGACTTTGGCCGCAAGCGTGGGTGGTGTCCGTACTTCCTGGCCCGCCACATGATGGCTTTTGCCAACGTCGTGGTGTACAACTACCAGTACATGATTGACCCCAAGGTTTCACAGGTGGGAAGCCGCAGTGCCCCCACCTACATGTCCCGCGTTGGAGCTGCACGGCAGGATTTCGAAGCAACCTCACTGCTTCGTGCCTTGTACTGTACCTACGGCAAGTAGTAACAGCCCTTGCAACGTCCTCTCAAGTGTTGCCGGTTGACTGTGCTGTTAAAGTCCCTTACCGCCAGAGCACCCAGCCCAGGGACGCTGCCCGCCGGTGCACCAATGCTGAAACCCACTGTCCAACATGATGCCGTACCAGACGCTACATTGCCGATGCCGTGATTCGTGAACCAATGCCTGCCCAGATGGTGTCGCGAGAGCTTGAGAAGGAATGCGTGGTGGTGTTCGACGAGGCGCACAACATTGATAACGTGTGTATTGAGGCGCTTTCAGTCAACCTGCGGAAGCAGACCCTGGAGGCGGCGGGGAGGAACCTGGGCAAACTGAGCAATGTGAGGTGGCGGAGGGAAAGGACGAGGAGAATCGGGGCGTGTGCGTTACTGGATGTGCGACTCCAAAGCGATTGGCTTCCAAAAGCATCCTCTCCTATCAAAATGACAAGATGGTTGAAGCAGAGCATTTAGTGGGCGATGGGGCTCTTTGAAGGAGATGATTGTTTGAGCGTCGCGGTATGCAAGGGGAAGGCACGTTGGCTGCAACATTTCCAAGTTAGACAGCCCTTGAAAGAGTTTTGAGGCTCGTATTCCGAATCGAATGCTTTGGTCCTGTCGCATTCCTTTTGCTGTTGTGGCCCCCTGTCCCCCACTTCAACACACGTGGGAGTCTTTTCCCCAACCTTGCTTGTAACCTCCCACCTTGTTCCCATCCTGCATATTCCGCAGTCCATTCGTCGCGCCCGTGAAGCCGATGCGGCCAGGTTGCAGGGCGAGTATAATCGGCTGGTGGCAGGGCTTGTCGCACAGGTGCGGCCTAGAGCGCGGCACGCATAGGACGTCACTGCTCAGTGTCAGTGGGCTATAAGGGGTATGCACCTCCAGCTGCATATGCCCGTGGCCTCCAGCAATCCCAGAGAAGGTTGCGCATTGGCCTGCACACTGCACGATATGCCGCAAGGCTATGGCTGTCTGCATCGTTAACGTAAGGCATACAGGGCACGGTAATACCGTGACGGTATTCGGAATGATGATGTCCAATGATTAATTTTAGGCTTCAGCTGTGCAGCTTCGCCGATCCATCATACGGGTGCAGGGTGCGCTCCGGGGGGGCGAAGACTGGCTGGCGAACCCTGCGCTGCCGGAAGATGTCGTGCAAGAGACAGTGCCAGGTGGGCTCCGGGGCAGAGGGGTTTTGCCGGCCCTATCGCGTGGAATGTCCTGGGCTCCTGTGGTGCGGCCAGGGGTGTGGGTTGCCCTGGACGGGAACGGCTCTCTGGCTCCTTTGCTAGCGATAACACCCGATCGCAAGACCTGGATCGCAGTCAACGGAGTTAATGCGGCAGTACCAAGGCAGCGCCTTTGTGCGACAGCTGCGTTTTGCGGGGCTCCTTGTGATGAGTACCCTACACTTGTTTCATTCAACATGGTCCGGATGGTCTCCCGCCCCCTTTGCCTGTCGCAGGTAATATTCGGCGCGCTGAGCACTTTATGGGCTTCCTGAACCGGTTCCTAGCTTTCCTGCGCGAGAAGATGGCTTCGCCAGTGGTAACCAGTCAGACGCCCCAGGTGCGTGACGTGCTCGTCTGGGATTGCGCATGCGGAGCGGCTGGCGCACGTGAGGAATGAAATGTTAGTGAGGGCCCTGGGCGTGCTGATGATGGTTGTAACGGGAGCCTGGGGATTTCCAACATAACCAGATCATCGACCTCTTATCTTGCCGTCACCACCCTGCGATTTTGAGGCATTTGGTTCGGATGGCTGCGTTTCGGCAAGAGGCGAGGGTCCCACCAACTCACCGACTCTTCAACCCTTTCCTCGCATTGTTATGCCGTATGCACGCCGTTGTGAAAGCCGCACCGACCACCGCCTCTTTCAACTCCGAGCTCCAAACCTGCACGCGGCCTTCTCGCAGGTGTTCCTCCAGGAGCTCCAGGAACGGGTGCAAGTAGACGCCAAGACACTCAAGTGAGCGGCAGCGGCTTGAGAAGCGTTTGGAAGGCCAGCCGCCAAAGGGGCGTGGTGAAGCGTGCTGCTCGTGTCAATCTGCCATCTTGTAGCATTGCGCGCGGGGAGGTATCTGTAGTCTTGGAGTTCTGTGTGGATGTCGGTAACAAGTGTTCTGTGGTGCCTGGATGGACGTACTGCGCCGTACGTCGACGTCGCTTGTTGCCCGCCTGGCCTCCAGGTTCTGTTATGACCGGCTCAGCTCGTTGCTCAAGACCCTGGAGATTACGAACACGGACGAGTTCACGCCGATCCAGTTGGTGGCGGATTTCGCCACCCTGGTGGGGACGTACGCCAAGGTACGGAGGGCCGATGCAGCCACGGTGTCGTACCCAGTGCGTTACCTGTCGAAATATGGTCTAAGGAGAGCTCGCCAGCCCACTTCTCATGTGACGCGTGCTGGCAGGAGGAGTTTTCTCACAGCGGCTGAAACATCACATTTCTTTAAGGGCGCTTCCTGTTGGAAGGAAGCGTGGTCAATGCGCCTTGCGTAGAGGACTCGGCTGGGGGGCCGCTGATGTCTCAGGGCTTGTTATTTCGTAAGCGTTATAAAGCGCCAGGGGCCTCGCAGTTGGGATCCCGGAGGCACTCGCGATCACACGTGAGCTCCAAGTCTAAATGAGCCCCGAATTGTTGTCTTTGTCCCGTATTTGCCTGGCAGTGACTGTTTCCTAGTCATTAGTGGTACGCTGATTCCGTCCCCTGTTCTCGCAGGGCTTCGCCATCATCATGGAACCCTACGACGAGCGGCTGCCCCAGGTACCCGACCCCGTGCTGCAGCTGTCCTGTCTGGACGCCAGTCTGGCGATGAAGCCCGTTTTCTCAAAATTCCAGTCGGTTGTCATCACCAGCGGTGGGTCCAGGCAGGCGGGCGATTAGACCGGCATCGGGATGGAGCACCTGAGCACTAATTTATGCGCACGAGCAGCACCTTGACAATGCTGAATGTGTCGGGTGAATTTGCTGTATACCCAGCACGTTAAGGCCTCGCCAATGATGGCTCAAGGGCCATCTAGGAGCCCCAAAGCCGGCTGTTCCTCTGGGATCCAACCGTTACAGGCACTCTGAGTCCGATCGACTTGTACCCGCGCATCCTGAACTTCAATCCAGTGGCCATCCAGTCCTTCCAGATGACCCTCACACGGGATTGCTTGTGCCCGGTTGTGGTGACGAGGGGAGCTGACCAGGTGCGGTGCAGGGCGGGATGGACCTACGTCCAGCCCAAAGCTTCTTTACTTTTTATGTTAAGCCATTGGCTGGGCGTGATGGGCCCCGCCTGCGGCTAGGCAGGGCAGGCAAGGCATTAGCACGCTTTGAAAACTAGGCAGCTACGCCTATGGAGTCTATGTCGTCTTTACATTTATAAATCTGTGGAGTTAGCACAACGCCATGCACCCAGGCGGTGGGGGCCTGTTGTCAATTCGGTCTGCATTTATTGCCGCCGGTAGCGTGCGTACATGTGCTGAAAACACACTGTCCTAGCACAGTAGCGTGCACGGGGCCCGTCAGCAGAGCCGACGATGAAGCGTATTTAACATAAAAGTACAGTGCAGTGCGCAGCTGCGCATTTTTGTACGGGGTCATGGGAACGTCAGTATGGCCGGACGCTTGGCTCGGAAGGGTTCCAGTCACGGCCCGATGCCGTTCCGTGCTAGGCACAGGCTGCAGTAATGTCTCCATGCTACACGCGGCTTGACCGCACTCCTCCACAGATGCCCATGTCCACGAAGTTTGAGATGCGGGGGGATCCTGGCGTGATGCGCAATTACGGGCGGTTGCTCGTGGAGCTGTCGGCTGTGGTACCGGACGGCATCGTCGCGTTCTTCGTTTCGTACCGCTACATGGACCAGATCATCTCCAAGTGGCACGACATGGGCATCCTGCAGGTGAGTTGCTGAAATTGGGGTCCTTGGACTTGGTCCCGCCCTTCTTCATTGTTGTAGCACAGTGCTCTGCCGCCATCCTTGCAAGGTGCGCTGTGCCCTTACGGGCAATGGCAGACATGTCCAGCCCTGTCCTCTTGCCTTCATTTGTGCATACTGCGGCATCAAGCAGCCTTTTTGCCAAAGAACTTGCGTGCGTTGCAATTCAGCGTGTTCTTCAAGCTGTTATTTGATCCATCCGCTTGGCGCTGTGAATTGCAGGAGATTATGCAGCATAAACTAATTTTCATCGAGACGCAGGTAAAGTGTAGTAGTGGTGTAACATATGTACATCCTGCGCACTGAGTTCAAGGCCGTAGTCTCTTGCGGACGGGTGAGGTCCTGCTCAATAGGGTTGATCGAGCCGTGGAGGGACGAGGAGCGCATGGATCTTTATATGTTGCGTGGCCTCATGGTGGTGCATAGGATGTGGTGGAGACGACTCTGGCGCTGGACAACTTCCGGCGAGCGTGCGACAGCGGCCGAGGAGCGGTCTTCCTGTCCGTGGCGAGGGGGAAGGTGAGGCTGTCGTGAACGAGGTGGTGCGGTATTGGTTACAGGTTATGATTGGGCGTAAGGCGGTCGTACCGAATGCCACATGCGTGACCAGGGTCAGTCCTCAGGAGCAATGCTGGCGTGCCTTAGGGCGTGCCAAAGTTAACCGCGAAAAATGCAGGGACAAAAACTGCGTCTGGAACATGCCTTGTCCGCAGCTAGGGAGCTATCCTTCCAACAGGTATCCCTTCACCCATGATATTTGTCCCTGAATGTCAGGTGGCTGAGGGCATTGACTTTGATCGTCATTACGGTCGTGCTGTGGTCATGTTCGGCGTACCGTACCAGTACACGCTCAGCCGCATTTTGCGGGCCCGTTTAGAGTATTTGCGCGAGACGTTCCAGATTAAGGAGAACGACTACCTCGCCTTCGACGCAGTGCGCCAGGCGGCACAGTGCGTAGGACGCGTTATCCGCAGCAAGGCGGACTACGGTAAGATGAAAAACAACTTGCGCTTGGGCTGGTTCCGGAGCTTTTAGTCTGCAAGGTGCCTGGAAGCAAAGGTTCTGATATGCTCTAAGCACTATGCTCCGGGGACATCATGACCGGATACTGTTCAGGACAGGAAACTCAAACAGGCTGGCATAGCATTTGAATTTTGCACCCGACCGTCTATCATACGTGGGCAGGCATGATGATATTTGCTGATAAGCGTTACCAGCGCCACGACAAGCGCGACAAGTTGCCGCAGTGGATCACGAGGCATCTCAAGGAGGCGCACATGAACCTGTCCACGGACATGATGGTACGCTAGTTAGGGCAGCTTAAGGCTTCGTGTGCAATTTTTTTGCCGGAAGTGATGTGCATGTTTCAATCGCAAGGGTCAGAGCTCTTGTAGCTTTTTTTACTTGACAGGCCTGGCTGGGTTGCCCACACCCCACGCCACCAGGCTTGCATGCACTTGTGTCTGACCCAAATGATGGAGTGCTACGTTGTTAGTAACGGCACGGAAAAGACAAAAGACAAAATTACAGTCTATTTGCATTGCATGATCAAATATAATCGTTGACTGTGGACTCGAAAGGTTTGCTAGTGTAGACCGCACTCAACGGATGTCATGGATGCAAGCAATGCTGTACAACGGTCACACGTCCAGGGTAAACTCTTCCCCGCCGTTAGAATCCCTCACATCAACCCCCCGTGGGCGACTCGTGGGTCTAGGTGCACGTGGCCCGGGAATTCCTCCGCGCTATGGCACAGCCCTATGACCGCGGTGCCGTTGGCAAGAGCCTCCTCAGCGAGGCAGCACTGGCAGCCCTGGACGCAACTGGAGGGCTGGATGGAGCTATTGCATCCGGGGCGTGAGAGGCGTACCCCGAGCTTCACCGGACTCCGCTTGATCATCAGCCCTGGCTATGTACGTAGCCCGGGCTGATGTTCGCGCCGTGAGGGCGCCGCGGGGCTGTGGTTTCCGCTGAGGGAAGCATGGTGTGGTGCTGACAATGCGTGGTTCCCTGGGTGTTTCGGTGACAGTGCTCAAGGATTAGACCGCAGGATTTGTGCCATGGCTCTCAAGCGTCTTGAAAGTTTTGCGTTTATGTCCATAATGTTAAGAGATGGCGATTACCCAGCATTCTTTTAGGTGTTATCTATGGCGATGGGCAATTCTGTGTAATGAGTTACGACAGTGCGGAGCTGCGTGTGAAAAAACATAATTGCAGGCATGATGGTTACGAGCTGTGTCTATAACAGCTTGACATGTCTATGACACCATACTTGCATGCAGTGTGTAGAGGGAAAAGTCTTGACACTGTCTGACGGACGACGTATGTCCGTACTTGTCCGTACTTTAACCATGGTCGAGTTGGCAGGGGTCCGGTAGGTTGGTTTACGTGACCGTGGTTACGGACAAGGTTCTGAGCTCAAGGTAGCGCTTATAACCTCAGTTCTGTCCATATCTAGGGCTGAGTCGTGCTACTTCAGACTGTATAGAGGTTTTGCGACGCGACGTCCCAGGTTTACAAACTTGATGAAATGCTCGGTTATAGTCGTTGGAACTCCTCCAGAACGGGGATAAGCCATTTCATTTTGGCTGTCTTGTAGTATTGAGCTGTTAGCACGCGGATTTTCCTGACGGTTGGTCGTTGTGAAATGCATCTGTTGGACTATTGCTTTGTCACAGGAAGGGTCTAATACTTAGGCTTTTCTAGTGTGATTTGTGTCCTTATCTACACTACTGGGCTTAGGCGTCGGGTTGAATTCCTTCCCTTCTTGCGCCGCCAAAGCCGCCATACTTAGGCAACATGGCTGAAGATGATGCCAAGAAAGAGATCATTAAGAATTCTATTCGCGGCGTGCCTAACTTTCCGAAGCCTGGCATTCTGTTCTGGGATGTGACGACCATCATGTTGAATCCCAAGGCGTTCAAGTACACAATTGATCTATTTGTGGAGCGTTATAAGGACAAGCAGATTGATGTTGTCGCAGGTAATCCTAGCGCTTATGATTTTGACACATGGCCAGCTGCATTTGAGGGGGCGTTATGCGGTCGCAGGTTTTGAGGCACGGGGCTTGATCTTTGGTGCACCTCTGGCATTGGAACTTGGAGCAGCGTTTGTTCCGTTGCGCAAGCCTGGCAAATTGCCAGGTGGGTGATAAAGGAGGAAACGGTTTTGCAGCTTTCTGTTCACCTCACGCTATCAGGTTTGTCTTGCAGGGGAAAAGATTTTCGAGGAGTACAAAACGGAATACAGCACGGACAAAATTGAGATGCATCTGGGCTCCATCCTGCCGGGGCAGCGCGTAGTCCTGGTGAGTGGTTTCCTGTTTTGGCATTCTCTGCCCCCCGAAGGGCCCGCCTGGAGCTCCTCCCTGAGATTCCTGAAAAACTTGAGGTTGGACTAAGGCAGTATGAAGCCTGTGGATTGCGCATGGGCATCCGGCTGTTCCTAAAATCTGAATCAACCTGCGTTACACTACACGCCCATGGCACACTAGCTGCCATGGCTATATTTGAAAGCAAGTGATAATCGTAATAGATAAATATCGACGCAGTAAGAGTTTCGCTTACAGTATGTAAACCTCAGTCGCCGTGTGTCGAAATTCGCACGTACACTCGCATATATTAATACGTTACCCATGCACACTCCCTGACACAAGCACACACACACACACATGTACACGCGGTATCCTCCAGACAACAGCATTGTCCTGAATCTCCCCCCCTTCGCTTAACAGGTTGACGACCTCATCGCCACTGGCGGCACGCTTGCAGCGGGAATTAACCTAGTCAGTAAGTCCTTGACACTGAAAGCGTGTCTTACAGGGTCGCAGCCCTCCACCTCCAGATCGAAGTCGAGCACACTGACCCAAAATGAGCATGGTGTGTCTGGTTCAGTGTGCGGTTCGCATGTTTTGACGTTCTCATAGCACCCATCCGTCTCATGCACTGATGTGTAGCTTTGACATTATTAATTCGGATATCTGCCAGTCCAGGCCGGCAGGAAAAGCATACACGCATCCATCATGCAAAAGAGACGTGTGTAACATTCGGCGCATTGTGGACATGTTCGCTGCCGCAGAGAAAGCCGGGGGTGTGGTGGTTGAGGCAGCGTGTGTCATCGAGCTCCCGTTCCTCAAGGGCCGGGAAAAAATTCCCGACACGCCCCTGTTCGTCCTGGTGGAGAAGGAGGGGCTCTAACTGCTGGATCACTCGAGCACGGCCTGGTTGCGACCTGCTTTTCAGGAGGCAGCCAGCCGATTGGTGCTGGACAAGCTGCCATATGGTAGCACTCTGTGATTCCGGCATATTGGCCCAACGAGGTCTCGTGCGCCGTGACCATTCAGTCGTCGTGCGTTGCTAGGATGCTGCGGACGGGCTGGCAGCATGTTGAGAACTCCTAACCCACCTTTAACCCCGACAGCCCAGCACGCGAGACGGCAGCTTGCCACTGCAGTTATGGCAATTTGTACGGACTCGCGCGCTTTAGTGCTTGTGACATGGCGTCCACGAACTCTACCTTGGACAGCTTTGCGCTGCTCGCGACGCCCACCTCCGACAGGTCGGCTGAAGGACCAAGGATGACTTGAAGCGCACGGTTTGCTTGCTCCGCCGTCACCGACCCGCGCTTTGTTATATCGAACATTCCGAACATGGTTTCAAGATCCTGCTCCGTAATGAGCGTTGAAGTCCCAGTTACTTTAGCATTTTCAAGGTACTTCACAATGTACTCGCGCGGCTTCTCCGGCTTGTAAAAGAGCAGCTCCGCTGTTATTGCCTGAATAAAGCAGGCTAATCGTGAGAATTGCAGCCGACACAGAGCAACCAGAGCACGCGCGTCAAGGCATCTCCCATAACTTGCCTCAAACAGTTGAGGTATCTTATTCTTCTCAAGATATGCTTCGACTTTTGCACGTGGGTCCTCCATTTGCCTGAACCGCTCAGCAACAATGTCCTTCGTATGTTCGGACCGGAGTTGCAGGCATACAGCTCATTTAGTACGTAATCTTTTAGAAACGTTCATCATAAACGCCATACAATAGCTAATTCCAACATAGAAAGCGGACGTGGTGAAGAAGAAGTTCAGTGCCGTACAACAGAGTACACGCATTAAAAGCTGATCAGCGTCACTTGCAGAGATGATTATCAAGGGAAGTGCCAGGAACCCTATTTACATGCAATCAATACATGCCGCACGCAGCCTGTGAAACGATGGGCTTGACACTGACACCACAGGTGTTAGGAGGAGGCATCTCAGTGCTGCATGCTACTCACGGTGCCCAGGGTGTTGCAGACTTTGCGTGCACCGCGTCACCAGCTATGCCCCAGTACACTGAATCCGAAAGCCGATAAGCGGGAACTTCCCTCCGGCCTTCCCGGCAGGCACCTATGAGGCACCTCCTGTACAGGTCCCTATCAGGCATACACCTGGCCATGGCCAGAAACCCGCACCATAGGAAACTTAATATAATCCACGCGTGCTGCATTTATGAAAGCGATGCTCCCTTCACCATGGAAATTCATGCTCCACGCATTTCCGCATACACTTCAATTGCTACCACAAGCGCCAGAACCAGCATACCCGAGGACAGTGTGTAATCCCCTTCATCCGAACTATGTGATTCTCTCGACCGATTTCCGCAGTGCGTCAGATACCATGAGTCCCTTGTAGCCAGGGCCTTCACGGCCTTCCCGTACAGCTTTGCGCCTGGCCGCCAGCAGCATACCCAGGTGCAGCTGGTGTTGACGCTCCAAAGCCTCCTTAACTCCGACACCATGCGCGACAAGGGCTTCTGTTTTTAAACCAAGGTTTAATGTAATCTTCCGAACAGCTTCATCTATCACAGAAGTAGCTGGAGCGGTCACGGCTGGCCCAGGTTCTTCCCTCCTTACGGAGTCTCCAGGAGCAGGCTCACTCGGCTCCGTCGCTGTATGCGACCGCCTGAGGCAAGGCCACTGCGCCGCTGTCAGGGCCCAGCCTGCAACCAGCAGTCTGGAGTGAGTGGGGTCTGTAGTCCAGGTACCCGCGCGCACGTTCTTTGCGACACAATTCATCCCTCCAAATGCTCTGTCAAAAACTTCTACAAGAAATTTTACAACAGCACCCGGAACGAGCCCGTTATGGGTTGCGCCTTGGAGAATAACAGACCTGTGAAGCGAGTACTAAGAGCCCCCTTGACGAGCATCAGGCTTGTGGCCTAATCCGCCTATTACTTGGGCTACACTGATTTCTCCCTTTGTATGTTCTAGGCCACGTCTACCTGTACCAGTAGTCGGAGTCGTTCCTATTAAAACCTGTTGGATTTTCCACTCCGCTTCAACAAGCTCACAACACAAATTTGACCATGGCATAACCGTTATTTGGCGAGTCGTCCATATGTTCCTTTGCATGTAAAGCCCTGCATGGCCGTACATGGATTCCTTCTCTCACTTTAAACATCCTGGACATCCTGTAAAGCATGATGATGTATGATTCGCGAATATCAGAAAGGATGCTCTATAGCCATGATATTACAATAGCAAAAAACTCCAGCGCGTTACCAGAGCATTGACAGCCGAGCATAAGTCTAACTCTCGTAGCAACGCCAATGTGCACATGGCCCAGGACGCAGCTGAAAGTTTCCTAGGGTTCATCACTCATACCTTTCGTCTTTAGAAACTGCTGGTTGCTACCGGGTTAGCATATGACGGACGGAGCGGTTGTGGAACAACGGGTTGTGAGCGTCTTTAATTCTGACGATGACCTCACCAACTTCCTTGCTGGTACATATAAGCACAACCACATTTGGCCTTGCAGAAGCATGAAGTTACGTAAGGACCCAGGGGACGTACTTTACACTAACCTTGGCCCTTGCTGTGCCAATAGGCCTCCGAGCCAAGTACGCAAGCTTGTATCCACAGTTCTCTGAAGCTGAGCACGGCGCAGAGGATGCCAATGGTAAGTCGTTGTCCTATTCCTCACCCAGCAAAGCGGACGTGGCAGGGTTGACATGAGCCTTTGCCTTGCAATGCGAATGATCCAGTTCCTTAGCGAATCCCTCATCTCACAGCCACCAATGTGACCGTATTGACAGCATTGCTCCCTCTTAACTGCGAAGGTGCGCTACCAAGCTTCGCTCCGGATGCAGCTGCTCCAAGCGATATCTCCACAGGCGCATTTGCAACTAGCGGACCTCCAGCTTCCACATTCGAACAACAAATCTCACAGCTTCGCTCCAGTCTCCAGTCCCTACAGCACATTTTGCCGCCACGAACCAGCACGACGGCCAACCTTTTGGACAGCTTCATCGCAGTCTCAGGCGACCGCACATTTTCCAGCGAGTCAAATGCAGCAGCCGCGTCAGTCATGCTTAGGAAACTTCCTGACCAAGATGGAGCAAACAGAGACAGCCGCGTCACTGCTGCGGCAGCAAGTGCAGGGACCAGTTCGCCGTCGCAAGCTGCAGCTCCGGCAAGCCATGTCAGCATTCACGGCAATCCCTTGGATTGCGGTCCCGCACCTCCGCTGCCGTTAGCACGTGGTTCAACATTCAGCACTGAGCTTGTAGACAGGACGGCAGTTGCGGTGGAAACTCAAACCCAGTCGAGCACAGTGGTTTTCACACAGTCAGCCGCACCTAGTGAAAATGACGCGCCTGCTGCTTCCCAGGACCCAGGACGGAACATCGTGTCGGCACACATCGTGCCGTCAGGCGAAAACGATCACGCCCCATCAGACGCAGCCTTTGTGGAGTTAGCTGCGGGATACACGCGCCGCACTTTACAACCTCCATCAAGTGAAGCGTCCGCATCCTCGTTTGACGGCCATGTGCGGCCCGGGTTCCCGCCGGCTGCATTGAGCGCACATGATCGGCAGGGCGCCGGACGTGCAGGCGGTGAGCTCACTTTCGGAGGGGCTCTACCGCCGGCGCACGAAGCCATACAGGCGTGGAACGCAAACCAACCTGGCGGAGCTTGGGAGTGCGCAGCACAGGTGGCAGCTCGCGAAACTGGGCTTGAGGCGCCTGCGTTGGGACCGCCAGTCGCTGCCCAGCTTACACTGTGCCCACCCCACGAACAACAACAGCATGGAACAGTTCTTGGTGGCGCCGGCGGCGCAACACACCTCTTTGGGCTGCAGCCGCCGGAGCAGCAGCAGCTAGGCTTGGATGTTTCCGGGTTTGCCAACGAGGACCGCCATTCGGGAAGTCCGGCCGCCGTAACATGGTGCCCGCATCGGGGCCACAGCCCCAGCTCCGGCCGCCGCCGCGCCTGGCAGCTGGTTGGCCTGGGGGCCGCTATAGCCGGAAGCTGCAGCCCCCGACAAGACCCACATGTCCGGGCCCATCAATTCTCTGACTGCGCAGATACTGCTGCTCCCAATGCTGCCGGTGTACCTGGGGCGGCAGTGACGGATAACGGTGTAATAAACGATGTGTGTGAGGTGAGAGCACCGACCTATGTGTTGGCAGCTGTCGGCGCTGGCTTTGGCGCGGCTGAAGACGCAAGCGACCGGCCGGCGGGGTCGCCTCACAGTGACTTTGACCGCGCCGGTGTGGCTACATCAGATGCCGCAGATCCAGGTCCCTTGGCAACCCATGAAAGCAGTGCGGGTTGGGATAGCGTAGATGACGGTACACCCGCCGATGGGGAGGCAGTGCCAGTCGTCGATGTGGAGCAGGAATGCCGGCAGCCCTCCGTCTGTTGTGACGGCTTGCAGGCATCGCACGCCCCGCTTTCGCGACGTGGAGGCTCGAGTTCAACAGCTGCTACAGGCGATGGATTTTGGGGCATCGGAGGCAGGTACGACGGCGATAGGGCTGTAACACAGCAAAGTCCCGGCAGTGTAGAGGATGTTGGTGATTTCGAGTGTTGCCAACGTCGTGGTGGGACAAGAAGGGATGACGCGAACTCACGCGAACCGCAGCATTTCGCATTGAGAGACCAGCACGCTTCCGGCGATCTCAGCGCACCTCTGCTACAAGGCCAGCAGGGCTCGCCGCGTTTGCAACAGCAGCAGCAGCAATGTTATGGGAATATTGGCCACCTGCTGAACAACCCGTCAGCCAGCGGTCCAGAGCTCCTGCAATCAGTTCAAAATGCATCCACCGGCCAAGAGCCACGTGAGCAGCCCCAGGAAGGTTCGGGCTTGCTGGAAGAGGCGGCTGGGAACGAATTCGGTTTTGGAGAAGCAACGGCCCAGTTCCAGGCCGCCGTTGGTGGCGTTCAGCGCCCGCGGCGCCGGTGGGGCAGCCCAGCACCGCAATTGCATCATCAACAACAACAGCAATCGCTGACATGTTCACTACCTGAGTTCATCAGTTTGACGGCCGCTGCGAAGGTGTCAAGCACAGGGCATAGAAACGGCGCATCATGGTTGTCGAACGCTGGCGGAGCGGTGACTGTGGAGTGGCCAACTTCGCCATCAGGTAGCTTCGACGTTCGCAGCCTTGTTGCGTTCGGCGATGACGGAAATGCCGCGAACCTCCTTGATGACGGGATCAAGCCAGCACTGAACCTCATGGTGCGCATGGGTGCTGATCCAGGTGGGCCCGTCGGGGATAGGTCGGTGGATCCGGAGCCTGCGCCAGCGGCCAGGGAGCTTACAGTGCCAGCCAAGGACGCCGCAGCATTTGGCGATGTCAACGGCCTAAGCAGTGCGAGTGAACGTGGCGTGGAAATTGGCGGCCGTAGTGCGGCGCATGGAGCCCCGCAGCAGAAGCAGGAGCATCGTTTCTACAATCCTGGCCCGCATCGGCCGCTTCGTTTGCTACCACCACGGCAGCAGTCGCTGCCTGCGGCAACGGCAACGGCAGCGCCATCCCGTAGTCCTGGTTTAGCTTTCCCCAACCAGAGCGCAGCGTTGGTGGTACCGGCGCCGCAGATAGAGCAGCCCCTCACCCAGCAGACGAGTGTGGACTTACGGCAGCCAATGGATGTTCCAGGGGGACCAGCTACAACATCACCACCTTCAAACGACGAGGTCCTGTGCGGCTCTCCACCGGAGCAGCCTCCCCCGCCGCTGCAGCAGCAGCCACTGGCTAATGTTTGGCGTGAGGACCCGGCCATGGACTGCAGCTCGGTGCCGGAGCCCGAGGACTGCCCGGCGGCGACCATGCCTGGCCGATCACCGGCTCGTTCCCCCCTCACAGCGTTAGCGGCCCAGAAAGCTAGTCTAAGCGCTTGCAGCACTGGCATCACCGCGAGCAGGGGTGGCATTGCCTTCTCCATCAGTGCCCATCCCGCCCCGTCAGAAACCGACGCAGCTCCGCGGCAGCAGCAGTTATGGGCTTCCGGAGCCCTGAATCAAGCCGCCACTGATGCTACTGGAGCCCTGGAGGGAGTCAACACGTTAATTAGGACCGCGGCACTGCTGGCCCCAGCGCCGCGTACGGCCTCGCCCGGACCCGGTGCCATCCCAGGGCCAATGGAGTGGACACGGCTGAACAAGCAATTGCGAGAAGCTGGCTTCAGCGGGCTGGTGCTGGCGCAGGTTGACGCAGGGGCGACCATGTCGATGGACAGCCAAGCAGCGGGGTCAGCGGAGCTGTCGCCGGAGCCAGCTTCCCTGTACCGCTGCCTGAGCAGCGTACTAGATCAGTACGTGCGGCGGAATCGACTGGTCGCAGAGCTGCTGGCGGCTACTGAGGAGTCTGGGCGCGTCGCTGAGCAGCAGGAAGCAGCCGTTAGGTGCGTGTGGCAGTGAGAAATATTATCCTATATACTGCCGAGATATAGCTGTGAGCAGATAGGGGAGCCCACTTGCCTTGTAATGATGAGATGCAAGCAATTGCTCGTAGCACCTGCTGCTGTGAGACATGGCCTCAGTTTTTGCCCTTGGATTTACTCCCTCCCCATGTCCCTTTCGGCAGGGAGCTTAAGCGCGAGGCCAACGCTGCGCGCATAGCAGCTGAGAAGTCACGGCGCGAGCTGGCGGAAATGTCGTCACAGCAGATCCCCAAGGTGATTTGAGAACCTTGCCAGGCCAACAGCTAGGGCCCTGTCCATTTTTGCGGTCTTGGACTTTGTTCAATCGAGCCCGCCTTGTCGCATATTATACTTCGCAAGCTGCAATCCCAGGGAGGATATTGCATTCCTGGCTTGTATCTCACCTCACATGGCCCGATGGGCCCCAACTTGGGACTGGGTCGGGTGTCTACAGGTGGAGGCGCGCCACGCGGTTCAGCTGGGGCGTCTGCGCTCCGAAGCAGCCAAGCTAAAGGAAGCGCTGCGGGAATCGGAGCTGGACGTATCCGCCAAGGCGGAGGAGGTGCGTGCCCATGTGTAAATGTGGCGAGGCCGGCCAGAGGACTGCCTTGTTATGTCCTGTGCGTGCCTGCGCGGACGGGAACACTGGGCATGCGGCCGAGTTCGGCGTACACGCACGTGTGATTGCCTCGAGGAAAGGATTAGATAGTCATGATAGTTATGTAACGCAGCCGACCACCCGCGGCCGTAACTTCGCCTCCGGTCCTGCAGATCCGGTCGCTGCGCGCCACCATCGCGGGGCTGCAGTCCGCCACTAGCCATAGCTCCGATGTGGAAGGCGCGGTGCTGCGGCAGCGGGTGGCGCAGCTGGAGGGGCTGCTACGCAACCGCGACAAGGAGGTGGAGAAGCTCAAGTCAATAAAGGTGATCCCTTAGCTGCTAGGATCAATGAAGGTCAAACATGGAGAATCGGATTGGATGAAGCGGCATCCTCCGACATCCCCCCAGGTCGCTCATGCTTGTTGGAGGCCAAGCTGGACAGAACCTTGTCTTTAGGGAAGATGTTGCTGAAAATCGTCAGAGTGCACCGCATCCTGGCTGACACGTGTGTGCACGTGTGTAGACCCGAACTCGCGTCTATGAATGCTGGGCTTTATTGCCATGTCCGTACGACCTGGTTCGTAACCCTGAACCTCGTGCCCTCCATCATGCTTGAAACAGGAGGCAGAGGTGGGACAGGCGGCGGATGGCCAGGCCAATGCTCTGGACCGGGCATACGAGGCAGAGGCGGCGGCCCGCCGTTTGGAGACGGAGCTCACTGCGGCTAAGACCCGTATTGGGCATCTGGAGCAGGTGTGTAGCTGCCGCTGCACCAGCTCACACACCCTGGAAGGGCCAACCGGCTGGGGTCCTAGCGCCAATGGGGCTACCCAGTGGGGGGCAACATCCATGTAGGGGACATGTTGAAGTCTGAGGGGCGTGCTGGAGGCCGGGGGCCCCAAAGCGGCACCGACCTGCGGCCTTGGGAGGCACCGGCCTGGGGCAGAGGGTTGAGTCCTGGGAAAGGGGTGTACTGCTGATAGTGGGCCTTGAGCCGCGTTATGACTGATGTGCTGCGTCCGTTGCGGGTTGCAGGGCCTGCGGCAGCGTGAGCGCGACGTGGCCAGTATGCGCGAGGACCTGCAGCAGATTAAGGCTTGCGAGGCGGCGGCGACGCTGGTGGCGCAGGAGCGCAGTACCGCAGCTGAGGAGACTTCGCGCCGTGCAGAGGCTGAGGCGGTGGCGCTGCGCAGCAAGCTTAAGGAGCTGGAGGGCTTCGTGCGGTATGCTCGTCAGGAGCTGGAGAAGCAGCGCTCTGAGGCAGAGGTAACGGCCTATGGGGGCCGTAAGAGGCGTAATCAGGACAGCACGGGTGCGGAACTGGATAGGAGCCATGGAGCATGGAGCGGGTTGGGGAATGCATACTCTTCCATAACTGGTGCTTACAACGAGCCCGGTGTGGCGGCGTCTCCTCCCGTGCGGTTACCAACTATTGCAGTCGAGCCCAACTTTCCCTTTCCTCCGGCGCATCGTTCCCTGCATCCTCCGTGCCATGCCGTCGTCAGGCCCTCCGGTCCAGTGCGTACGAGGAGGTGTACCGGATGGAGGACGAATGCCGTACCCTGAGCGCGGAGTTGGCGGCCTCCCGCACTCGTGTCACCCAGCTAGAACACGTGGTCCGCGCGAAGGAGCGCGATATGGCCCGGGTCAAAGACGAGAAGGAGGCGGCCAAGGCGGCTGAGCGGGAGCGGGCACGGGTGCGCACCGCATGAGCATGGCCCCGCTCACTTGCAATTACTGTTGCTGCCTTTTAAGACACGACGTCCCATCAGATTCAGAAAGCTCAGGTTTCTGCTGCTGGTGGTACTGGCTGACCCTCCTGGCCGGGAAGGTGGACAGAGCTGGCAAAGTTGGGAACGTACAAACCTGCTTATGAGTTTTGGTATCACCTTTTTCAAGCCTTGAACTGGCTTGGCAACCCAAGGAAAGTCTTTTCAATGTCCCCGTTTTGCTATAAGAATTCCTATTCCTTTTCGTTTGGGTGTCACGCATGCGTCATTGCAGGTGGCGGAGGAGGTAGCCGTGAAGCTGGAGGCAGAGCTGACGGCTTCCAAAGTGCGGCTGACGCAGGCGGAGGGCGCAGTGCGTACCCGGGAACGTGAGCTGGCCCGGTTGGCGGACCTGCTGCGCCAGACGCAGGGCGCGGAGGTGGAGGCATGGCTCAAGCAGTCCAAGCTGGAAGAAGGTCCGTGACAAGGAGGGGTGGGCGGGGATACCCTGGGGAGATGCGCGCTTAGCACCCCCGGGGGAGAGCCCCGGCCAGTGACCGCCAGGACTGGTTGACTAGGAAGGTACGGGACAGGAGCAGCTCCTCGCAGGACACAGCGCTTTCCTATACTCGGTGTCGCAGGAAAATCGCCGCGCTGTTTGGACATGGCAAGGGATTTGTTCACCTTGTGTGGCCTGCAAGCCGCAATGCACTTCCACCACCGCCACGATACAAAGTCGCCGTGCTGCACGCAGGTTCCCGTAAGCTGGAGAACGATTTCACGTCGCTGCGGCTGCGGGTGCTCCAGCTGGAGGCGACTCTGAAGGGCCGCGATAAGGACTGCGACAAGCTGGGACGCACTGTTGAGGCACTGCGAGGGGAGGTGCACGAGGTGGGGCGCTGGGAGGGTTTTGCGCTTCTGCAAATGTGCTCCACACCCTTACCTCGTGCATATCGCGGGTAGCGCTTGGATGAGGCAAGGGCTGGGTCCGTACAATTCTTGTCGTATTCGACATTGGACCTTCTTGGCCTGTGCCTGCGGTGGTGGTCCTCTGTCCTTCATGCAGCTGACGTCAAAGCTAGCGAAGTCCGAGGAGGTTACGCGCAAGGGGGAGGCAGACTTGGCGACCTGTCGTGGCAAGGTGCTCAACCTGGAGGGACAAGTCAGGTGTGCGCGCGAAGGGGAACAGTTGACCTGCTGCCTCAGCCCCCGAGAAGGCTGTCTCCACGTTGACTGGTGGCACGGAGGTTCCCGTTGGGCCGTCATGTTTGTCCTGGTGGTATGGAAGCGCCTCTTCAGCTGGGGTTGAAAGGTCCCCTTGCCGTGGGTTGGGCAGCTCTTGGATGGGGCTGCCACCAAGGGTTCGTTGTGAGGTTTTGTCGTCTGCCTCAGCACCGTATATTAATCAGCGGCGCTCTGGATTTAAGCGGTCGCGAACTCGTGTAAGATCTAAGCTGCCTTGGTGTGATGATAATGTGCACAGGGTCAAGGAGCGGGAACAGGAGCGGCTAGTTCGGGTGGTGGAAGGTCTCAAGGCGGGTGATGCCGAGGTGGCCAGCCGCCAGGCCGCACTGGAGGAGGCCGCTCGGCGGCTGGACGGCCAGCTCACTGCGGCTCGGAGCCGGGTCGCGGCGTTGGAGGGCGTGGTGCGCGCCCGGGATGCGGCGGTGGAGCGACTCAATCGCCAGCTGGAGGCACTTAAGACCGCCGACTTTGAGAGGACCGCGCAGGTCTGGTCTGCGGGCCTTTCCCGAGCCCCTGGTCCCTTGCTGCGCTCCCTCGGCGCGGCCAACACAGTGCCAAGCACCGTGCCTTCGCGCTCCTGTTCAACCACTCAACGTGAACCTGCTGGCACTGCATAGCGAAAGCGGTCGCTTCTGTCACCCTTGGTAGGCACTGCTTGAAAGGGCTCCCTGTTGTCCTGGCCCATTTCCCAGGTCCTTAAGTCCGAGGAAGCCGCCCGCCAGCAGGACACCGAAGCGGCCTCCCTACGCCAGCGCATTCTGCACCTGGAAGGCCAGCTGCGGGCCAAGGAACGTGATCTGGAGCGCAGCGCCAGACAGGTCGATGCGGTACGGGCTGCGGAGGCAGATGTGTCGCGTCGCCTGGCGGATGCATCCACCGCGACGACGCGGCTGGAGGGTGAGGTGACAGCGGGGCGGCAGCGCACCGCGCAGCTGAGCGAGGCGCTGCGGGCTCGGGAGCGGGACGTGGCTGCGCTGACGCGAGCGCTGGAGGCGCACCGGGCAGCAGAGCACGAGGCTAACGCTGTGGCCGGGCGCACGGAGGAGGCAGCACGTAAGCTGGACGGCGAGGCTGTGGAGGTGAGACCTATGCGGCTTTCTGCGGGAATTCAGGTACAAAGGTGTCCTGTTTTAGGTGAAGTGGTAAAATTGCTCACTTAGGTTATCTCTTGGGGTTGGAGCGGAGGATGATGTGGTGTTCTGGCTTCGGTCCTGCAGCTCAGGCAGAGGCTGGTCCAGGCGGAGGGGCAGCTACGCACCCGGGAGCGGGAGATGGAGCGCCAGGCGCGGGCGCTGGAGGCGGCACTGACCGCGGCTGCGGAGTCTGCCACACGGCAGGGAGAGGCGGAGGCAACGGCAAGGCGGCTAGAGGCGGATGCAGCGGGGCTGCGGCAGCGCTTGGCGCAGGCAGAGGGCGCGGTACGGGCGCGGGAGAAGGAGCTCGAGCGTGTGGAAAAACTTGCAGACCAGGTAGGCGTGTGGGTGCGGTGCCAGGGCCGATGCTCGGGTCATGACTACCTGCAAAGCGCGGAGCGGGAGGTGGTGACGTGCTGTGTCTGCATCCAGGATGGCGCAATAGCAGCGAATTCAGGTTTTGAAGGAGAACGAAAGGCTGAATGCGAAGTGAGCGCAGCTCGCAGTCTTCATCCAGCTTGTCCGCCTCGGAGAGGAGTAGGTGTACGCGGCCGATGCGCTGTAGTGGTAAAGCCAAGATTGCCGGTTGGAATCATGGTTTAAATAAAGCAGCTTACAGGAAATATTAGTCCATACCACTTAGCCTTTTCCAATCCTCTGAAGCCATATAGCCTGCAGATGCGCTGCATGCCTTGACTGCCGTGCGCCCGCGACACTGAAATCAAGCCTGCATCCTTCAGGAAGTGCAGTCGCCTCCTTTCCACGCGCTCCACAGGCAAGTGGGGCCGAAGCAGCAGCGGAGGCCAAGCTCCGCACCGCCGAGGCGACGGTAACGCAACGAGACGGCGAGCTGTCCTCGCTTCGGCTGCGTATCTCCCAGCTAGAGGCCGCTGCACGGGGCCACTCGAAGGAGATGGACCGCCTCACACGGGTGATGGACCAGAGCAAGGTGGCAGAGGTGCGCACACAACTTTTCGAGTTGCGTATTGCCCGGCCCACACTTGCGCGTCCACATCCTTTCCCGGCCCCTTTCCTTGTATCGTCTATAAGCATCCTCCACGCTGGGGTATGCCTCGAGCAATGTCAGCACCTGTAGGCGGCACCACGCCCAGTGGCGCACCACAAGCAGTGCCGCCTTTTTCCCTCTGTCCACGTGATAGCGCAAATTGTGGGCTGAGGAACCTGATAACCAAATAGTGTCTAGTGCAGAGCCTTCACCAAAACTCCTGCTGTCCTCACTTAATTTTTTCACGCGTTCGTTTTCATGGCACACCGGGCGGTGGCAGGTGGACGCAGCCATGCGCGCGCAGCGCTCTGATGAGTCCGCTCGCCAGGTGGCTGCGGAGCTGGCATCCGCTCGCAGCCGCCTGGCCAAGGTGGAGGCCAGCCTGGCAGCACGGGAGCAGGATGCGCAGCGCGTGCAGCGACTGCTAGCGGCAGCTGAGGCCCAGGCGGCGACGCAGGTACGGCACCGGGTACACACCAGCTGTGCAACGTAGGGCACGTTTCGCAATTCAAGCAGTTCGCTGCTTCCAACGGGCACCTCTAACTCACCGTAACCGCCACCTCAATTCCCCAGGTGTCCCGTTCCGATGACTTCATTCGGAAGGTCACATCGGACCTGGCGACTATGCGGCAGCAGGCGGGACAGCTGGCACACATCATACGTGCCCGCGACCGCCAGCTGGCTACCCTCCGTGGGGCGCTGGAGGCAGCACAGGCCGCGGAGGCCAAGGCAGCCGAGCAGCGGCGCCAGGTGGAAGCATTGGGGTGGGGGATACCGGCAAGCTGGCTTTATAAGGCGTAGTCTTGTATATACGTGAAATGCGCGTGTTTGCAGAGGCGGCTCTCCGCCTCGGTGGCCGTGTACGTTCATTGGCGCAGTTAGGCTGGTTGTGACAGTTGCCTGAAACTGGCACGTGCATGCAGTCAAGCAAAAGCTAACCAAGCCCATCTTCGCCCGGTTATTACATTCCCGCGGCGATTGTGTTCCAGCGCACTAACGCTAGTGCCGGGCTGCCGCCTTCCCTTACCAAACGGGCCACCATTTTCCACGGTCGCCTCCAGAGTGAGGAGGCCCTCCGCAAGGTGGAGAGTGAGCTGGCTGCGGAGCGACAGCGTGCAGTGCAGCTCGAGGGTCAGGTCAAGGTGAGAGGGCGTTGGATACCGGTGGAAGCATGAGCTTGAGCATGAGCTTGACAACTGAACACGCGCAAGGCCCAGCTTAGGCATATGCGGGATGGCTGATCGGATGCTTCGGCCTTTGTTGAGGATAGAATCGCGCGCCCGTTCGTCCATCCGCGGCCTGCATTGCGTCCCGGAAAGCTACACACCGTCGCTCATGGCTTCCACCGTGACTACATCCGCTATACTTGCAACAAGGTGCCCTCGCGATGTGTATTTGTCCCTATTCGGGACATGACCTATAGTGCTTTAGTGCTTCATGTTTAACCCTTCCACTCCACCTCATGCTCTCCGCTTTTTCCCCGGACCATTGGTGGCGACGACGATGGGATCGGCCACAGTCACGCGACCGAGAGATGGAGAAGCTGAACAGGCAGCTGGATGCGGACCGGGACCAGAGCGGCAATGCAGCAACGGCTGCAGGCCGCGAGACGTCCACGCTCAAGGATGCCGCGGCGCGGTCTGAAGCAGCGCTGTGCACTGCCCGGGCCAGGGTAACCCAGCTTGAGGTGCGCTGAACGACAACCGGCTCCAGCAGCCTAACCCTTTGTGAAACGCGGGAGGTTCAGCTGTGGTATTCCTAGTTGCGAGCATGCGAGGCTCGGATACATGAAGACCTGAAAGACAAAGAACGGGTCAAGTGCACCCATCTAGAAAACTGCCTTTTTAAACGTCAACGCCCACTGCATTTTTGAACCGCGCTCAATTCAGAGTGAGCTGCTGGCCAAGGAGCGGCAGCTGGAGGGCCTGCAGCGGCTGGTAGGAAGCAGCCGCGCGGGTGATGCCGAAGCAGCGGCGGCCGCCGAGGAGCGTGCATGCAGGGCAGAGGAGGCCGCGCGGCGCCTTGACGTGGAGCTGGCTGCGGTGCGGCAGCGTTACGCGCATGTAAGCCAGGTTGAAATGCAGGGCTTTGGTGGTAGCGGGCACAGGGCTGTCTACCAAGCAGGGACGCAGTCCGTGTCGTGATGCACTGTAGGTCTAACCCTTGCTGGGCAGAGCACGTCACGGCAGTCTGGCTGCATACCATAGCCATTCCACGCCCACAGCTTTGCCATGCAAGGAACGCCACATACTTCTCTTACACTGCATCCCTTTCGCCTTGCCGCATCGGTAAATCTGGATGTTACACGCGTCATCAATCAAAGCCGTGTGGCCGCGTGCCGCCGTAATGCATTTCCGACCCGCAGTTGGAACACACCTATCGTAGCCGGGAGACCACCCTGGAGAAGCTCCGGGCGGCCCTCGCAAATAAGGTGACGCAGGAGGAGCGGCGAGTCGCCCGCGACAAGGCGGCATACCAACGCATACGTGCGGCCTACGTGGCCACCATGGGCGCTGCCTCGAGCGGCCCCAACGGTGGCACCCCCGGGCCCGGAGCTCAGCAACAGCAACAGAGGGCGGCCGGCGCAATGGCGGCCGCGGCCCGGGAGCTGCGGCCGGTGGAGATCGTTGGACTTTACGAGACACGTCGTGAGACTGCTGAACAGGAGCTGGCTGCGTATTGCGCCGAGGTAGGGGCCTTCAATGCTAACCTATCCATGCACCATGGCAAGGCCTTTTGCATGGCGCACTTGGATACCGACTGGCGAGCGCCCCTTCGGCCCTCATCCCCCCCCGGAATACCCCATCTGCAGGTGCGGAGCCTGGCTGACCAGCTGCGGGAGGCACAAAACCACATCGCGATCAAGGACCGCACCGGCGCGTGGCGCACACCCACAGAGTTGGCGGAAATGCAGGTAGGCTTACTTGAACGGCTTGATATCGGTGACATGGCTGGCAATTCTTATGCCTCCGTCGTCCATATTGGCGTAAGTCATCATTGTACATGGTATCACTGCAAGTCGTCGCCATTGCGCGCTTTGGCAGCTGTTGGTTTGCTGCTTGAGGACCTGGACACGCGCTGCGGCAACCTCACTGCAATTCATGGAGGCCTAGTGAGGTTTCAGCGTAGGCTGAAAGCGCCCGAAAGGGTTGGGCTAGCGACCAGTTTATTGGTAGGGCGGGCCGGCCTCAGGCTATGTGTGCCATATGGGACATGGCTATGATAGGCCCATGTGTGTTGCCACTTTGGCACTGCCACTGCAGGCTCGAATTATTCTCCTCGAACGCCGTAGCGCCGACCTGCAGCGTGAACTGGACAGATCGCGGCTTGAAGCGGCTGAGGCGGCACGTGCAGCGGAGCGCCGGCTGGCAGAGGCGGAGCATCGCGTCACGCAGCTCAAGGTGTGGGGGTGCGGGGGTGATGCGGGCAGAAACAGTGGCCACATTGCCTTGTCCGATGTCTCCTAATGCCTTGTTGTCTTCTTGTGCACGATTGAATCCAGCCCTACCAATATGGCTTCGCCACCCCAGGAGGACAATGAGGCGCTGGTTCATGAGCTCGACAGCCGACCCACAATTCAGGACAACCGGTGAGTACCATATATTTTACGCACAACCGTGGCATGGAGCGGGGTTTGTATTGTGAATTGTTGATACAGTTTGACCAACTGGTTCAACGCATGTGTCAAGGGGACGGGAGAATGGACGAACAACCCTCACTCTGAAGACAAACACTAGGTTCAAACCAGGGGAGTTCTCCCCTTGTTTGTGTCAAGGGGTGTGCACAAACACCTGCACTACAAGTGGCCGTAATCTGCATTCTAAGCGTGCTGTTTAGCATAATTGCTTACATTTTCCCCATGGCGTAGAGTCCTCAAGCGGGAGGTTGAGATACTCGAGAAACGGGTTTTGCAACTCAAGGGGAGCACGGCCACAAGTGGCGCAGGAGCAGGTGCTGAAGGTGGCGAGACAGCTCTGAGCATTGCTGCGGCTGCGAAGGGACGCAAAGCAGGTACGATGTGTCTGATTGATGAATACAAATCCTGCATTCGCAGTTTAATACCGAACACCCAACCGAGTTCATGTGAACGAATGACGAACGGTGGATCCGACCGGATCGCCGGTGCTTCCCACACTCAAGTGCTGAAAAGGCCAGTAAAGGCCCCAAACGCACCCTACCACGTGGCTACCGCCTACCGGGACCGGACAAAACCCGTTCCAGCACTCACAAGTCGGGCGCACACAACCGCTGTTCCAGTTGGGTTGCGGGGGCTAACAGAATCCCGTTCTCACCGAGGCAGCCCCAGGGATGCAGAGGAGGGACGCGTTCTCCGAAAATCCACATGCTTGCAACCATAAACTTGCGCGTCGTCGTCATGGCTGCCACGCTCTACATCCCGAACACCTGCTGCCCCCTTTCTGGTGGCTCAGCCATCCAAACCTGACGGGTCGGCCCACCCGCAAACCAAGTGGAACGAGGACCACATGCCCGCCATGCGGCCGCCCGGGAATCCCATGTGTGGCTGCGGCCATAGGATGCTTGGTGTTGCATGCAACTTCGAAAGAAGTTGCTCAGAACGCACTCCACCATTGATTACATCTCAGCAAGCCAACCCTTGGTGGTCCTAACATTCGTAAATCACTCTCCGTGGAGCGCACGCTTTCCAGATACGATGCTGACAACCTCACAACGCATCGCGCGGGACCGCAACCTGCATCACCTGGGGCTCCGCACACTGGAGGACTGGCCCAAGGACGTCCTTGTTGACCTAGTGCAGGTGCGTGCAACACAACTTCTGAAGTATCGTTATGCTCTGAACAAAGTCCGTCATTATGCGTGTGCAGGCTCATGGGCCGGCATGGGCAGGCCTCCGATATCGAGATGTCAAAAGATGGAAAAGTAATTGCAAGACCCACCAAGGCACGATAACCTGCTCAGTGGTGCGCCGCGTAACACATTTTCCGCTGTAGGACGTATGCATCGAGCTGGACATCAGGGACGCGACGACACTACCGGCGGCTGTTCGCAAAACCCTGCGCGTGGTTGGCGCAGTGCCAAGGATGGAAGCCTTCATAGGCGCCGTGTGTGAGCGTGTGTACATCAAGGGTGCACCCTTTGTCCCACCTCACATCGACGGTACCACGGACCCAAGTCGGGTGAGCTGTATAACAGAGGCGGTGCGAATTCACGTTGAAATCTAGTGCAAGTTTGGCCATGAGCTTGCTGCCACAGGCTTTAACAATCATGTGCCAGGTTTTTCAGTTGCCCGCGTACACCGTTCACCATACAGTCGTCGCCTGCAAAACACCTAGATATTGCCAGCTTGACTTCTCGTTGAGCTATCAAGATAAGTCAAGTCGAATAAATCGTGTCCATTGCCCCATCCGTGCCAATCACGTTGCCAGGTCCTGGAGGTGCTTGAGCTCTGGCTGGGACTACTGCAGGAGGCCGCACAGCTACGTGGGGCCATGCGCGCTATTGTGGAAGCACTGGCTGCACGTGCGGAAGGCATGGCCGCGTAAGTACTGCAAATTTCTGTGTCGCGATTTTGCTGTATGAAGCACACCCGTTAATGCGTGCAGGCCCATTCATGGTCCAGCGGACGTCGTTGTTAGCGTACGACAGCTTATTGAGGCGGAAGCCGCGGCTCTGACAGCACGCGAATCGTTGGCTGCCGCGTCACATCATCTTAAGACCGAGCCTGAGCAGCTCTTATCTCGTCTTGTGTCCCACTTCATGCGCTTGTTCGACTGCCCGTCCCTGGAGGGGGTGGTTCCTGCCGTGAATCGACTGTACGTCACACTAAATGAGCAACGCAACTTCATCCGAGCATTGGCAACGGCGCTGGACCTACCTGCTGACGCAGGTGTGCTTCAGCTGTTTGTACTAAACTGTGATATACCTTGCAATTGCTGTGAGAGGTGCGGTGGGAAGTTCGGTCCCACGTGCGCGGTGAGGAATATGGTCCAGGGTTATGCCGGTTCCTCGGATCTGATCAGTAACAATTAGATGCCGACCAGACGGCAGTTTTTTTTCGGGATTGACAGGGCCATGCTATTTGCATATCCCACGTCCTGTAGGTGCTTCGGCGTGCATGGCACGTGTATGGGAGATCGTGAAGGCGGATGATCGCAACGGCGGGCCCGCGGCACAGCCCAACACCGTAGGTCGTAGCGCACGCATGGCTCAACCAGATGCCGACGTCTCTAGCGAGCGCTGTGCTGTACCGATTGGTGTCGATGCGTCAGCGGCGCTGGAAAATCTAATGATGGTATTTGGCGTACGCAATGCCACGGCAGCTGTCGACGCAGCAGAGAAGATGGTGGCTCGACTGAAACGGCTGGACGAGGTCCTTCCGCGGTACCAGCGCTTGGCTTCGCAGCTTTTCGAAACGCTCCGCGTTACTGCGCTAGAGGAAATATTACCCGCCCTGCAAGTGGCCTTGCATAGATAACTGTATAGCGGAAGGTTGCTGACATCCATACTATTTACAAGTTGAGAATATAGGTGCCAATCATTCGATCGTCACCTGTATGCAACATAGCACGTCATACATTACGCCGCGGGACATCCCCCATAGTTGATGGCGTACCAACGTTGGTAAGGTCCGCAACGACATCGCTGCAACTTGCCACATGACGCGTGAATTGGTATGTTACCGATTAATTCCGAATGTAATGTACAAGGTCAGACATAAGTAGCAGTGCGCAATATGTTGTTCACGTCCATATTCCATCACTACCCAGAATAATAATGTAGTATAAAAGGGAAACTGGTCATGCACCATAAATCAGTTCAGGTAGCTGACCATGTGACACCACAAATCAATTCTGGTAACGACCCGCGACCCTAAGTCCTGGTTAAGTGCATGCGAAACACGCGCATCGACAGCGCCTCTTCGCCAAACTGTATCATGACGGATGCTTCACCCCCTCACGCATCGAAGAAAGCGCGTAAACCTACAATGCACGCATCATGCTCACAAACTCGATATAATCAATCGTCCCGCTCCCGTCCTGGTCGACCTGGTCGATGATATCGTCAATCTCCTTGGGATCAACACCGAGCGCCGGGTCCGAAAGGGCATTAAACAGCTCTTGCCGGGTAATTTGCCCATCACCGTTCTCATCAAACCTGGCAAAAGCCTGCGAGAGGTCAAACTAGTCAGCCAATCGCCAACAGCTGAAACCTGACATCAGCAGGCGTACACCATGCACGAGCCATGCGCACCTGCTTAAGGAGTTCCTCCCGCTCCAATTTTGACCGGTTGATGGTGGCCGCCAAGAATTCCTCGTAATCAATCATACCGTCGCCGTTTACGTCGGCTTCCTGCATGCGAATTCGGTAGTTTGCCAATCGTAGCTATAATAATCTACTATGATAATTTATTACGCGACTCCTTGTACAAAAACTACAAACCCAAAGTCCATGCATCCTATCCAATGCCTGCAAAGAAGAAAACTCTAGCCTTGAGCCCAGTACCACCTACCTGGATCATGCGCGACACGTCCGATTCCGTAAGACCCTGCACGCCCTTTTTCTTCAGGGCATCGCTGAATTCGTCAACCGAGATGGTGCCACTCTTGTCCTTGTCAATCTCCAAGAAAATTTCGCGCATTCCGTTGATCTCGTCCAAGGGCAAGCTCTTAGCAATTAGCTGCAATCCATATGCCCGCAAAAGGAGGGATACGCTTGTATTGGGGTAATGCCATGAGCCACAACCCCGCAAAAGATACCGATACTCCATAAAACACCAGCACGACGCACCGCCTCGTCGCGTGTAAACAGTGTTCCCACCGGCTGCACTTCGTGACACAGGCGTCATCACAGCTCGTTGCCCCGGCTTCATCCAAGCTAAAAATCCCCTCCTGACCCTGCTGATGTTCACATATGCAAATATGCCCCCTTGGTGCGAATCCGCACCTTGAGCGCCTCTTTTTTCAAGCGGTTCATGGCGCTGAACTGCTTAATGCGCGACAGCACCTCCAGCTGGATTGGCTGGTCAGCTGCGCAGCCATTCTCCCGCATCCACTCATGCTGAAGTATCTGTTGAGCCGTTGCGCGACGCTTGGGATCACGGACAAGCATGCGGCGCACGCAGTCCTTGGCAGCATCTGCAAAGCATGCAGCGCGGGCCTCAGGAACCAACCAACGCACGATTCCATTAGCCATACACAAGCACCGGACCGACCCGAAATGTTTGGCCAAGGATCGCTGGTGAAGTCCACGGTCTTCCCCACAACCGCCTCGAAGATCTTCTTTTCGTTATCTCCGTGGAAAGGGGGGTAACCGCACAGCAAGATGTACAAAATAACACCGCACGACCAGATGTCCGCCTCTTTGCCGTATGAACGCTTCAGCACCTCCGGCGCCACATAGTACGCGCTGCCGACGATGTCTGTGAATACTTGGCCCTCCTGTACAACGGTGAATCAACGCCACAAATTACGCGTCTGTCGTCGTGTAATGATGGTCGTGCACGGCAAGTGCTTCCCAGGCACCAGGCTGACGCAACCGACATGCGCCTTGCAAACCAAGCGCACTTGCATTCATTCAGGGATATACAGGTTCCTTTAGAAACACAGTTGACTTCCCAAAAGATTCACAAATCCTTATGCACCTTCCGCCCAACTTGATCTGTCAAGCAGCCACACCACCAAGGATTTGAAGCTGTCATTTCAATTGGACAGGATGAGGGGCATTGTGCCATGCTGGCCCAGGGAGGTCTTCTGCAGAATGATGTCTTTTGGACTGTACGTATGCACGACAATCATGCATTATGGTTAATTCCCATACGGCAAAAGTTGAAACAGACGTATTACACTCGAGCTCCTATCCAAGTGACTCTACACTCAGTTAAGCCACACGCTACTGCGAAACCCCTCCATACATGCGGAAACTTCTGTACATCGCATCCATCTATGGATGTTGTCACCTACCTGGAAGAAGGACGACAACCCGAAGTCCGTGGCTTTCAGGGCAGCTGATGCTGTCCGTTCTGACAGGAGGAAATTTTCAGGCTTCAGGTCCCGGTGAATTACACCCATATTGTGGCAGTGCGCCACCACACCCACGATTGTACGGATCAGGCTTGCGGCATCCTTCTCCGTATAGTGTCCCTTCTTGACGATTGCGTCAAAGAGCTCGCCACCCGAGCACACCTCCATAGCCAAGCACACGTTGCTCTTGTCTTCGTACACACCCTGTGAATACCCAGTACTGTATCAACGCTTTGACGTAGCAATCTGTAAACTTTTTCCCCTGAAGTGTACCCACAATACGCACCTTAAGGCATACCACGTTCGGATGCCCAGCTAAGTGATGCATGATCTGCACCTCCCGTTGAACGTCCGCAATCTCCTCAGCGCTGACAAGTTTTTTCTTGCTGATAACCTTAATAGCGACTTTTTCGCCAGTGCGCTTGTTCGTTGCTGAATATGTAGTACCGAAGGTACCCTTGCCGAGAATGCTGCCCGGCTCATAATCCTTCCAACAATCCGTATCCGCGTACGTTGGGAGAATCCAGTTCCCTGGCTTCACAGTCTTGCTTGGCGGTGCGACCTGCACGGTCCCATAACGCATCCATTTTTGTTGCCACATGCGCAAAAGCAAAACAACGAAACGTTCCCAGCCTACCGGACTGGCCACTGTGCTGGTTGTCACTTTGCCCTCCTTAAAGGTGAATTGGAGCTTTGCACTTCCACGGGCTTTGCCCTTGCGGCTCAACAACGGCAAGTCCGTTGCCATCGACCCCGTCGCGACAATATTGGCTAGCGCGACTTTGCCGCTGCCGAGAGCAACATCTCTGAAAACAACATTCTCATCGTAGAACTGCGAGGAGGGGTAAATAGAATTACGTAACATGGGTTCCTGGCAAAACATAAACAGCTTACCACCTCTTAGTACCTCGAGCTTCAAGTGCTGGTCCGATGAAGCGTTGCTAAATGTAAACTTCTCGTTCCATTCAGGCTCCTTGCCGCCGTCTGCAGCCGACAGAAACTTGTTCAGGTCCCTCAGCGTCAAAGGACACAGACACCAGCATGTACGCAGCCGGCTTACCGACAATTGTCTTCGACCGATGGTTTTGGTCGCCAAGTGATAATACGGCGTAAGGGTCCTAAGCATGAAGCAAAGACGCAGGCTTACGAACTCGTGCTCTGGTTGGCTGCCGAAAGCCGAAAGGTGTCCCAACCAACCTGTTTCCCCACGCCGACTCCAAGGACGCCGACAAATTCGACATCCTTGAAAAACACAGCTGACACAACTGCACGTATTTCAGGGATACCAGGTTACTTGAGAGTCCATCCCCAAACCGCTTTGCTGGGGGACTTCACACTTACGTTGAACCTCCAGAGTCCCCACTTTAGACATTTTCTGTGATTCAGTGGTCTAAGGTGTTGAACTTTCACAAGCCAGATGAACTTCCTCTGACACCTACTGATCAGGCGAGAGCTAAGTGGAAGGCCAAACTTCTTCACCCCTGTTAATGCAATTCCATGGCCTCTCAACTTCTGCACCGATGAGCAATACATCTCGAAGACTGCGTAGCTTTTTGGGTACCTAAGGCCCGCATTCCGTACGCCGGCAAGCCCGGAAGCATGGCCCGGTCACTATGGGCCCTAAAAGATAAATGTTGCTTTTCATTGTTTATTTATGCATGTATAATGTGCTAAATGTCGCGAGCTGATTGGCGCAACAATTACAAAGGTACAGAATGGTGGGAGAGCCTGCGTCTCACAGTGAAGCTGATAAGCATTTAAAACGAAGTTGCCCATGAGTTGCACGGACGATGGCCTTGGTGCAACTTCCCGGGGGTTGTTACACAAAGGCCTCCGCCAAAGTGGTTGATATAGTTTACCGCTTTAGCCACTTGTTCTGGCAACGGATAGCTGTGCTCGACTATTGTGTATGATGCATTGGAGCACATGTAATTTCGGCCCGCTGTAAATTCGGCCCGCGCAACCTGTGTGCAGGCGTGGATTTGTGCTGAAACGGCCCTCATGTATACCCATTGATCACAGGGCGGCCAGCAAACGGGTTGCTCCTTGATGGGTGTTGAGAGCCAACCACAGGTAAATAGTCAACGGCCACTTCACCGCAGCTCCTTAATCACGTGCAACCTTGGGCATAAGAGTGGATGGGTTTTTCACATTTCTCCTTAAAGCCTGGCACGAATGGTTCATTCTCCCTTCTCTCCATACCTTGCCGTGTACTCCGCTCGTTAGCTGCGGCTGGCTGATTGGCTGTACACCCGGACCTCAAGCTAGTAGTCTCAATTGTATGCAACGCGGAGAAAGGCAGGCAAACGAGGCGGCATGTAGAAGACCCAAACGAATCGTCGTGGTAATAGATGGAATTAGGAATTGGCAGGTTGCAAAATTTTCTCATGGAGCAATTCATGTGACCGTGGCTATTTCGTGTCCATGTAGCTCAACCTTGGTCACGGATACATGGCAAAACCATGGTGTGTGCAACATGCACGCGCGCACTACCCTCTTAACCTTTTTTGTAAACAATGAGACCTAGCCCACGCACGGCGTCGAGAAGCCGCCAGCTCTGTACATCAGACATCCTACCGCTGCACTTTGAACTAGATCCTCAGGGCGGCATACCATCACCAAGGTGCCAACAACATCCATGCTGGCAGCGCAACTCATACATATATTCCATGCATACATGTGCTGCTGCTTCCCTGTCTCTTACGCCCCCGCACCGCAGTCCAGCGTAGCCCCTGCAAACACATCGCATGAAGGTGACATTTGGCCCATGTGGCTCACGTTGGATGTTCCGGACAGGCCGGAGTCCCAACGGGGTAACATGATGTTACACGCCAGCGGGTTGCCTCGCAGCTGAGGCAATGGAACAGACCCGTGACCAGTAGTCTTCGTGGCCTCAAGGATAGCTGACGGCTGGGCCCGCATCGGGTGCAGTCCTAGCACCGGAGAATCGGGCGCCTGGGGCAGCTGGTGCTCGCCATCAGTATCCTCTGCAGTGCTCAATGCACCACCCCCTGGGCCCGAACCGCTGGCTGCCAGCCTATTAGACACTAGCGAGGCGCTTGACGGTAGCACATCCTCGTTCGGGCATGGGGATGTACCAAATTCAGCCCTCTTTGCTGCTCGGGCGGCGGCGGCCTTGGGTGTCAATGAAGGGAACGTGAACCCGCCGGCCTCGCAGCTGGGCCCGACGGCACCAGATTCAGAGGGTTGACAGTCACAAATGGGGGAATCAGACACCGGCTTAAGGCTATCGCTGTGACGGATTCTGGGCGCAGGGAGCTTTATGCCCCGGGCTGCCACTGTCTTGCCTTCGGCCACGGTGACAACCTGTGATGCCGATGTAAAGAGGGAATCCCCGGGTGCTGACGACGATGGGGTGTCCTTAGTGCCCTCCTGCCAGCGTGCTGAGACGATGTAGGAGCGGCGGCGTCGCTGCCTGCCACGCAGGAACAAAGCCAATCCTACTGCGGCAGCCGCGCACAACAATCCGCCCACCACCGAAACAACTATTGGTATGACTGTGTGCAAGATGAACAGTGACGGTGGAGCATCGGCAGTTTTGCCGCGGCTAACCCCATCAGCGTTGAAGCCCTTGCCATCGGAACTCACTCCACCATTGCCGGCGGCTTCATGACTGCTGCTTGCTTTCAGGAGACCAGGTGCTAGGATGGTACTGCTGCTGGGTCCTGCAGCAGCTGTTGCATTACCAAGCTGCGTCAGGGTTCCGCTGGATTGCTCACCCCAGTCCGTCTGGCCCTGCATGGACACATCCGGCGACTGTGGCGGCGGTGTTATTGTACTAGTCCTGTTGCCGTCGGGAAGCTCACCACCATCACCAATAGCACCGTTGTGAATGTAAGTCTCCGTCGTAAAGGACGCCACGGCATACGGTAAACCGAGCTGCAGATGCAATGCGGACAGCCACGTCCCATTTGCAAAGGCCGCCATCAGCCGCTGCTCCGTCAAGACAGGCTTTTCCGCGGCAATGGTAAGTGTGACCTAAGGAAAAGCCATCACAGAAACGGAGGCTGGTTTCAGCAGCATGGAGCAAACTGGCTGGTTCATAGACGTCGCCAGACATGATCATACTGTGGTATCGGTATCCGTAAAGTTGTACGGAAGTACATCATCAGATGATAAGCAGCACGCTACGGTGTAGCCATGGTAAGGTTGTTGTGTGGCGAGGACAAAATCTTAAAGCGACCTTAAGCCGCATGTCTCGTGTGCTACGACACGAGTAGTCGATACCAAATTTGCTCCAAAGCCCTTACCAAGAGAGAGCGGCCTCGAGGGCCATCCTGCGGCGATATGGCAGGGCCGCCTTGCGCCGTCTCTGCACCCGCAGGTTGCTGCATCAAGCGCCGCCGACCAACGTTACGAAGGCCACTACCACCACTATTAGTACCGCCGTAAACGTCACCTGTATGGACAACATTTCTGTTCTGTGAGCCGTCCAAGCCGAACCCCGCTGCAGGGCCCGTTTTCACATTGGCGCCGAAGACGGCACCGGGTGGCCATCCACGGGGCTGGGAGCCAGTCGCACCCAAGCCGGTATCCCCGACGGCGGCACGGCCTTCCAGGGGGTCTGCTGTTGGTGGTGATGTTGCTGCGTTGGGGCCACCGGGCCGCACCATCAGGCTTGCTGGCAGGGCTGGCAACTCCATGGCGCTGCTGACCAGCACGGACCCAGGGGGCACACCCGCCGCAGAAGCCAACAGCGATGTCAGCGCGGTGCGGTAGCGTTCTTCAAACATGGCGCGATTAACTCCTATCCACACGAACAGAACCATATGCATAGGATATGCAGGAAAGCGCGGGAGGATAGGCTTGGTGATAAAGCACGAGTACGACATCAGTGGTCATGAGCAAGGAAGCGTGCAGGGTCAGCGAAATGGTCAGTCATACTAACACAGCAACAGGAAAACCGGCAAAAAATGAAGGCCGCTACAGTGCATTGCAACCCACATGGAAACGACTAATACCCAGACTCACCAGGAAGCTCTAATCGCACCACGACGGCACCACTTGTCGTGCCGTTGCCGCTGGTTTGCAGAGGCACCTCGGCTGAACCCGCCGCAGCCAAGCCGCTGCCGTCCGAGTCCGTCCCGCTGCAGGTGCTGCTGAAGAAGGTCCGCAGAACGGCCGTTGCGCGCGCCTGTCCCTCCCATGCCTCCAGGGTCAGGCGGCATAACGGGTCGCCTGCGCTGCAGAGGCTTGTCAGGGAGAGTGCGCAGTTGGCAGAAAAAGGATCCTGTGGCGGGGCATTAGAAGCGGGGCTGTGTTCGGCTTCCCCCAGTAAGGCGAGTAGCTTGCAGGAGCGCCGGCTGTATGCGGCAGTAACGATCACGAAATGATGACGTTAAGACGCCGCCATCAGGGGTATGGGGTGATCTGGAAAACGCACGGCATCGTAGCAAGGTTCAGGAACCACGCAGCCCTCCGCGTGGGCCTTTCTTCCACACTTTCCAATCTCCGTGTCATACCGCTATATGTCAGCGACTACTGTGATACTCTCACGGATGCCATGCCATACTAAACGAAGGGGCTCGCCGTGTCGCCATGGATTACTTCGGGGCCGCAGACACGCCTCACGTTACTCACCACGGCACAGTTGCAGTAGGAGGGGGCCGTGATAGCGCCTGGGAAGCAAGCCCCCCTAAGTTGCCGATAGATAGCCCGAAGAGCGGTCCCACTGAGGATGCTGCTGGCGTTATTGAGCTGGAAAGTGGCGGCCAAAGAGCAGATCACATCCCCACCATCGTCCCTGAGAACACCATTAGAGGTGCTGACGGCACCAGCTGCGTCTTCGCTTTTACCAGTTTTTCCAGCACCAGCGGCACCGGCTGCAAGGACCTGATGGTTCAGATCTAACCCTGGGGAGTCCCCGGGGCTTCCATGTGCCGGCCCCCTAGCGTCCTGAAAGTCCATGCCGTTGCAGACACCCCACACAGCCGACTGGCACTCAGACGAGCCAAGGCCCAGGTATGCACAGATGCAGGGCGGATAGGACGTTGGGGTTGCAGTGGCCGATGCGGTGGACTTCTGCTCCCGAGTCCCCTGCTGCAATGGCACGGTTGCTGGCTGCAATGGCTGCTGCAGCTGCTCCGCAACCGGCGACACTTGAGCTGGTGGACTGGGGGCACCTGATAAACCACTGACGGTCCTCGTGTCCGACGTCTGCATGGCGTGCTGCTGCGAGCACATGCGCTGCAAGATGGTAGGACAGGGAACATGTGGTGCCTGGCTATCGGTATTGAGGTCGTGTGGGCATCGGCCGGCATGTGCGCCTGATATGTCAGTCATACACTGCGAAGTTCAAAGCCAGGAATCTGCTGCAATAATGGAGCCCATAACGAACACACGGCAGAGGCAAGCAATGTGCAGGGGTGAAGGACAAACATTGGCAAGCAAGGAGACGCCCCCCTAATCTGTATTATGTTGACGAACATGTCAGTGCGCGAATGCGACATGCAGACTGATTCACTCATTTGTAGGCTACGTACTGTGCATGGACGCCAACCATGGCCCCATTTAATGTTTTTTGCCCGTGCCGCTATACGTTATCTCTAGCCGCTCAGCTATACTTATTATAGAATATCACCCGTATCACAATCGAAAGAACGACTACCCTCCCTGGGAACCCGCAAACAAAGGTGAGGAATGGCGCGCAGGCCACTGCATCGGACATCGCCCGCCATCTGTCCACGCCTGCAATCTTGCCTGTATGTATGGTAGGACGAGAACGTCGTCTCGAGTTGGGAGCTGCAGAGCCTCACATATTTTGCCTGTTGGCGCCAGACGGCAGATCTGGCGAGTGGCATCGGCACATCCCACCGAAACCCGGGACCGGACACACGAGCAGACGGGGCTCCTGTGGCAACCGCCGGCGAGGCGAGGCGCAATCAAGACATGCATGGTCGTGAAGGCCGGTTGGATGCAGCCTGAACCCCTGTCTGATTCTGTACCTCGGAACCCCATGTGAAGCAGCACCCACTGCACAGCGTGATGTCTGATGCCTATGCATGCGACCCATGCTTGCCTGTAGGGTTGCCAGGGTGATGACCCAACACTGACATTCCGGTTGCGTATCTGAAGTCCCTCGCCGACCTGCTGTAAGCGCCTGCTACTTGTTGTGGCTGCTGGAATGGCGCCTCCGCCAACGCTCTGGTAGGCATTAGAGGCTCCGACGGCGGCGGCATCGCTGCTGCCGTAATGCGCTAATGACAACATCGGCTGACTGGGAGGCCGTTGCGCAACTTTGCTAAGGCTGCCATACATGGATGTCCCCAGGAGACCACGTGTTCCCGGCCGACGGAACGGCCACCCGGTCACGGTCGTGGTGTGGCCCTGCTCTGACTGTGAGATGGTTGCGGCGACCGGTATAAGCCAGCGGCCTGGGCTCAGTAGCAGTAGAAGCAGAAGGGATGCCACATGGCGGCATTGGCTACACATGACCTGTGCTCCCGTCACCTGGCAGGATCGTGCACTGCAGATGTCAAGACCACACTGGGATTGGCAATTAGATCTCGCTTGTGTTCATGCTGTGTACCTGGCGTTGTTACAGCGTTCGTGCCAAAGAGGGATTGAAATTCAGACGCGTGCTCGTCCAAGCCGGTGGGTTGCTTGGATGGTCCGAAGGCAATCACTATTTGAAAGCTGGACTGCGAGAGCATCGCGCTCCCGAGTGCTCAGAGGACTAAGCCTCAATTGCTTGATCGCATATACCGTTTAACTCGGAAAACTGGCAGGAGTTATATGCGTTGGTTTGGCCAGGCCTGTGACTCACATCTGTCACGCGCGCGGTTTGTGTGTACCGGATGTAGAAGTCATCCTTCTCCTCCTGTACGGAGGAAATGACTGAGGCACCACACACCTGCACAATCCTACATTGCATATATCGCAGGGGACGCGCTTCCTCGCACCCGCACACACGTCAGGTCACACACATATAGGTCACACACATACGCGTACACGCGCACATGCCCGTACACATATACACACACACACATTCACGGATCCGCTGATTAGGGGCCGTCTTGGCTTTTCTAAAAATGTTATTGCGCAATACGTACGCCAGTTACAGTTACACTGTCCTGATCCCCCCCTTTCCGCCTCTTCTTCCTCCCTCCCATCTCCGCTTCATCCTTCTCCCTTTCTTCCCTCCAATCTCCTAACGAACTCGTATTCTGATTTAAGTCCCCCTGGGAGTTTTGGTCCGCCACCCCCGTGGGCTGCGTAGGATACGGCAGAACCAATTGGGACTTAAGTGATAGTGGGTCCTGCGCACTGAGATCAAACTGTTTTCCAACCCTAAAATCTGACCTGGCATACACATGTCGTACGACTCCTGCACATGGTGCGGGGCGCTAACACACGAGGGCAAGAAATTACATTACCCCAGGCCTGATCTCCTCTCTTTGATCTTTTATCTCATCGCCCCTACACCTGCCTCCAAAATGTTTTGCATTTTTTTCACGAAATGAAAAACACCTCGCACTCGGCCCTACCCCTCCCACTCCACTTGATTTCCCCAGAGTCATTTTCACCCCCTAAGACTATCAAAACTTATATCCGTCGACCTTATCGTGTTTCATGCCGGGTAATTAGGATGGACCCATGCCCAAAACCGCCTCGTCGCTCTGACGCGGCATAGTCCGGCGTACGAACCACTGCACTACTGCAGCCGATTGCGGGACCTTTCATATCCGTGCGAAAGAGCACTCAACGCAAGGCCTACGCTGTTCGTCTTACTTCAACATGACAACTATATCATGTGATTCTGTTGCGACGGGCTCTGCAGCGGCTCCCTTCCTTGAGATGCAAACAACGCGGAGGGGAGGTGAAAAAACGCATGGACAGCAGCCGGGAGTGCTCAAGGTCACGCCTGGAAACTATTCCACATTGCCTATCGAAGGGTGCGGACATGCTCATTGTGCAAAATGCCTAGCGCAACCGGTCGGCGTTCTTTGTATGGCCCGAACAACGTGATGTTGAATTTAAGCGGGGTATCGTCACTCAATGTGGCCCATGGGTCGGCTAGCCCATTTGCCAAAACGAATAGGAGGCTTTGAACCAGGCATGTCGCAATGTGCTCTTACTAACCACACCGATAGGGGCCGCGTCCTTGGAGAGCGGTCTTAGATGCGGCAGAGTGAGCCTGGTGGCAAGTGACCTCCAATCTGGGGTCGTCTGAGAGACACATCTGCAAGTGGTCATCAGCGATCAAGTGGTCATCAAGTCCCGCCTATATCATGCTTCTAATTGCGAGCGTAGTGTGCGGTGGTCAAAACCTAGGCCGGCTAAGCATTCCGACGATGTCGACCATACCAAAATGTGCTCTTACTGATGTTTTAGAGCACTTCATCGACGATCATGGCGCGGTCAGTCTTGGCGGCGTGCGGTACACACTTGCCGCACATCGCACCGCAGCCCGCTGCTGGCCTTTCACTGATGATCTTTCCGTCCATTTCCAATGCAATGTACGACGCCAAAGGGCATGCTTTGCAGGCATGGGCGTGCAGGCATAATCCTCAATCAGCAAACAGGGAAATGCTTTATTTATGAAGCGAGCTTTCAAAATGCGGCGAGCGGCACCGTTGCCAGGTGTTCTGGGTGTTCTTGTGCCTTCGGATAGGTACAAGTTTACGTACCCCGTACTGTCCCTCGCCACACCAAAGTATTTTCTGCAGAGATCTGCAACCTGATGCGTTCTGTGATATATAATGACAGCCTGTAGATTCCCCTGTCTAGCCCTACACGACTGCGCGGCCATGCGCGTCACGTCTGCGCGTCTCCTCATCAGCGGCAGTCATTGAGCGTTCACATGTGCACCGCTTGCAAGGAGTTGAGCTTTAGGGGGGCCATAGGCTGCATAAGGGGATCACTGGGTAAACGCTGAGGCGACTGCGTGGCTAGGACTCGAAGTTGAGGGGGAAGAGGTACCTGCGAAATGATCTTGGACCAGCTGTCGTGGCTGGCAGCTCCCAGTCGCAAGTGGAACACCCTGGCAGTCGTGTATGGACCGGGAACGGGTGTGGCAAAGGAAGAGCATGCAGTGCATGGAATGCTGCTTTCTTCAATGCCAACAACACGAGCTTCTGCATTTCTCGGCATCATGTGGACCGGAGTACCTACGCGTACAAACGGGTTGGATGTACCTCACACACGTTAAGAGTTATGCCATGCAGGAGTTGGGTGGTGGCGCGGTTGGTTTCGAAGTAGAATACAGGGAAGGGCATCGGGAGTACTCTGGGCTTCAGTTCTTCATCCTTTCAAATTACCCCCTGCCTTGGCCCAGCCCCTTCCTCCCATACGCACGCACTCATGGCCAAAGAATGCGCGGCATGTGCAGAGGACTGCGAGGAAATGGTGTCGGAGAATGATATCGGAGGGCATGCGCGCTGCGGCGATGCAGGCCAGACGCGCGCCAAGACGTGCGGGGACATGGGCGCCTACCGGCTCTGACAGCCAAAGGAGGTGTTCCTGCAGGGCGGCACGTCCCCAGGATTAACTGAAGCCAGCTCGCAGTACGCAATTTTGAGACAGTCATGTGGGTGGGTATCTTCGCGACGTCACAACACGCGCATATGCCTGGGGTGTAATGTAATAACGGTCGCCACATGCGTAAATGCCTCAAATGGGAAGAAACGGATGTTGCCATGGTCGCATTCGACTGAGTTAGTGCGGAACCGTGGGTCACCCGGACTTCATACTTTCAGGAACGATTCAACGGTTCTTTCCGTAATTGTAGGGAAATCCTGTCAGACGTGCCAGTAGTAGTAATATAATTACAGTGGAGCCCCAATGGCTCGTGTGCAGCGCCTTGTGTGCGCGTTTTCCACGGGGATGGGGTCTCCCTTTGGTGCCAAAAATTAAGCAAGCTCCCAGTAGGAAATAAGGACATGCACTTAAGCCGCACATTGAAGCTTGGTTTGCCTAGGAACGTACTTAGTGAGCGTAGGGAGCTCATCTTGCTTGCGAGCGTTGCTTCATCAATTGCTTGTCATTTGAGGTAGATCAGCATCACCAACTAACATTCTGAATCAAACATGCGACATGTAATATAGATATGTCCGGTTGACATGCTTATGGCGGCGGTTCCGCACGGTCCGACTGTACCTGCATGGCACAAGTACATCGTACAACGTTCTCTGCGTTTGCAGACATTTGCGTTACACTTAAAGATCTAAAGGACTATATATTGAAAGTAGTGCTATTGTGGCTGCCCAAGTTGTGCTGTTTGGCTGACTTACACCACGTTGCCTTTGCCCAGACGGAACCACCTTTATCAAGACTAATTAGTTAATTTCTTGGTTAGCTGGTTATTTACCAAAATGATGCACCTTGGGCGGCCAATGGCGCAGCGCCGTGGTAAGCGCGCGGGGCAAGTTCGGGAAGGTCTTGACGCGAAACGCCTACGTTCGCCGGTTGAGATACTTTGCGAGGCCAGACTCAGCGGCACGTGTAGCACGCTAAGCCAGAAGCACAGGACTAGCATATGAACACAGATAAGGGCAATTGACAAGGTTGAGCTTGGCTTTCTAAAGGTTTAGCAGGCAGATGCCTTCCACGGCGGAGTCCTTCGGCCGTTTGCCGTGCGTTGTATGCAAATAGTTTTGATGTCTGAGATGTAGATGTGGTACGCTTTTTGGTCGGGTATGCAGGCGGATGCAACCAGGCGGCCCTGCAGAATCGTAGGGCGGTGGTCGTCCGCGCAGCTGTGGCTTCGGCGCCCCAGCAGCCTGCTACTACTACTACCTTTGCTCATCGCGTTCAGGGCCCAATTATCCTGAACGGTCAGGTGCTGCACAGCATTACTCAGGCCCAGCTTGACGTCGTCCGCAGTCTCGAGGATGGGTACCTGCAGACGCAGGTGGGAACGGCACGTATGTTATGCGTTACCGCTTATCATAGTGCAAGAATTTGTCTTGTGGCGGAGCATCCTCTCTTTCTCTTCTGTGCACGTCTGCCATTGCTATGCTGCTTTTGTTCAGGTGGTGCCTTTGTTGAAGCCTGTGGAGAAGTGCTGGCAGCCAGCTGATTTCTTGCCCCCCTCGGAGGATGCTGACTTCCTGGACAAGGTGAGTACGGTACTGGAATGTGTGTAGGGTCCATAATAACGCGTTGGACCGGCTTCGTGGTACCGGTAACGCTCTGAGCGTTGGCCCCACCTGTGGCGGTATGTGCGCACAGGTGCACGCGTTGCGCGAGCGTGCTAAGAACCTGCCGGACGACTACCTGGTGGTGTTTGTCGGCGATATGATCACGGAGGAGGCGCTGCCCACCTACATGACCATGCTAAACACTCTGGACGGAGTACGCGACGAAACAGGTGCCAGTCAAACGCCCTGGGCAAAGTGGACGCGCGAGTGGACCGCGGAGGAGAATCGACACGGCGATATTATGAACAAGTACATGTACCTTACCGGCCGCGTGAACATGAAGGCGATTGAGGTGACGATTCAGAACCTGATTGGCAGTGGCATGGACCCCAAGACGGAGAACAATCCGTATCTGGGCTTCTGTTACACGTCCTTCCAGGAGCGGGCTACTAAGGTGCGCTTCGGGCGATGATTATGGTCAAGGTGTGCACTAGTCTAAGCAACCCCCCTGTGCGCTACAGAGAAGGATGCTGTGGTAAAATTATTGCCTTCACTCCTAGCGTTGAGGCGCTGGGCAGATTGTGATGCTGTTTGCTGAATGCACGTGCTGGCAACGGTTTCCCCCGCCTTTGGCCACCCGCTTTTAGGGTGTCAATGGTTTCCAGGGGACTAATCTCCTGTGTATTGTTTTGTTAACTGGATGTCCTTCCTGTGGTGCGGTGCCCTGCCTGACAGATCTCGCACGGTAACACAGCCCGCCATGCCCTGGAATACGGCGATGAGGTGTTGGCTAAAATTTGTGGGTCAATTGCCTCGGATGAGGGCCGGCATGAGATTGCCTACACGAAGGTGGGTCGTCAATGGATGACTGGATGGATGACTGGGGGCATTGCTCCTTTTTCTTTCATGTACTATATCATGGCAATAGTGATACAGCCTTCGGTAGCTTGGTGCTTACGTGCGGGAGCTATAATGTCGTTTCTGCACTGTATCCCATATGGGCACTGCGTACTGTTCACCCATCTTAATTTCCTGTTTTTGCGCACCTGGCCATGTAGATCATGGACGGGCTGTTTGAGCGGGACCCAAACGGCGCTATGATGGCCTTCGCGGATATGATGCGCAAGCAGATTGTGATGCCTGCACACCTGATGAACGACGGCGAGCACCCGGCCAAAACGGGCCGCAACCTTTTTGCGGTGAGCGTATCTGGTACTCGACGGATTGGTAGTGGCAATGTCTCTCTACAGGCGGAAGCCAGTAGGGTACAGGGAATCATTGTGATGAATGAATGTTGCATCGACGGGCATGACAGATTTCCCTACGGATGGAAACAATTCGTGCGGTAAGCGCGTTGGGTGTCTAAACGGTGCTTTTATATATCTGCTCTTGCGGTTGAGGTGAGGTCGCGGGTTTTTACATATACAGGGAACGTTGTGTGCAGTGAAGTTTTGGCGCTCCAAACCTCTTCGGCTGCGGCGGCAGCCGAAGAGGTCCCCGAACCTCTTGGAATGGGTTTCCGTTCGTTTCCATACTAGGCAATCCATTCGGGATGGGACTTATGAAACCCGGCTCTTACTGTGTTTGTTCCGACGTTTCTGTTGCAGGATTTCTCTTCGGTGGCTGAAAAGACGGGCACGTACACTGCCATGGACTATGCGGACATCATGGAGCACTTGGTGAATCGCTGGAACGTGGCGAACCGCACCGGCCTGACAGGCGATGCCGCGGCTGCGCAGGAGTACGTGATAAAGCTTCCCGACAGGATTCGCAAGTTGGCGGAGAAGGCGGCAGGTGCGGCTCTGTGGGCTGGGGGCCAGTGGTTGGGCTTGCAGCAGGATATGTGGTTGCTATGCAGTCACTCGCATGCGGTATGCGAGGGTATGCGGGGCTGTATGCAAAGTGTTGCGGATTAGGCTGGGAGCAGCGGCCGCCCTTAGCGACACGTCAAATCTCTCACCAAGGCCATTTTCCTCCCTACTGTTATGTGCGCTTTCGCCTTCGCAGCTCGCAAAACGAAGGCCAAGGTCATCCATTCGCCGTTCAGCTGGGTGTTCAACCGCGAGGTGGCTCTGTCGTAAATGTGTATTTTCATCGCTGGGATTTCCGCGAGAGCATAGGCCACAGGGTGGGGATGTGTCGCTCGCTTCTTTCTTTGCATTGAAAGCTGCCTGCAAGGCGGTCAGGCATCAGCGTCTGGGTTCGTAGTTTCTCGATCGATCCATAAATCTAGTTCTTTTGCTTGTGTTTCGCCGTACCTCTGCGTTGCCCGTTACGGCGACGGTCGTGCGGCACTGAAGCAGCCCAACCGCCTGACGGCGGCGGTGCAAATGTATATTTCATTTAGAGTTGCGGTAGCTGGGTGCCTCGTGTAGGTTATGTATTGGGAGATCCGCTGTAGCAAGTATCGTGCACCATCGAGGAATGTGCAGGTGTAGCGCAAAGCACCAGTGATACTGGTTTTTGGTTAAGAGCGATGGCTTGTATTCGTGCGCGTCCTTGGCGCCGTGTTTAAGTCTGAAGAAATTGCCTACTTGCTATTTGTGATGTGTTTGTTTGGCAATCCGGCCTGATACAAATCCGCGTTCTTTTTTGATGTCTTGCTGAGTTGCTACGAGTTGTCTTGATTGTGTTGTGAAGTTGGATACGAAGAAGTTATGCATTTCATATGTGCCAACTTATTCCGATGGCCTCCTGAGGCTGCGGATCTTAACATGTTTATCTTACAGAGAGATCGTGAGAGGACGGCGGAGGGTATTACCCCTTCCCACCGTTATTTCGACTTGTGACTTGTGCGACTTCTCCGAAGCTGTAACGAAACCTGTAATGAATAGTAGGCTTTAAAAACTCAGGGTCGATTTCTGATGCGGCAGGCGCCAAGCTCGCGATCGCTCACGCAGGGCCTACAACGCGCTTCACTTCTGGACTGTAATAACGACGTGCTGCACGACAGGGTTCGCAGTTTTCCAAAACGAGAAGGTTTACCTTCATAAAGCGCTGGCGGTGAAAAAAGGAAGTACGGTCAGGGTACCATTGTGAGCAGCAGAGAATGAGGAGATTATATGAAGCCGGAAGGGTGGGGGTAGAAGTGTAGGGATGGCATGTAGGATGGAGGACTTTGTGCTACTCGAGAGCAGTGGCCAATCTAAGGCGATAACTGCTTCAGTTTCAAGGCTGCAAGATTCACAGGGGGCCGTCCGTATAATCCGGTGAAAGCCATGGACGGCCAATAGCCATCATGGTACCTCGTCTAGGCTTGAAGGCCTCCGAAAGAAAACGATCCACGGCTATGTAAGTTGGCCCTTCCGCGCATTCGGAAGCCAATGGCCCCCTCACTTAAACTGGTAGGCCCCTATGTGTGCATACTGTACGGCAATCGGTCGGCAGAACAGGGTCGCGGCCCGACAGGGCTTTTTGAGATATACTATGTAAACGGGAAACCTTCCAATGCCGTGGGTTCACTTGCAGGTCCTATCCTATGTGCTCACCGTTATAAACAGAGACGACGCTAACACGCGCGAATCATACAGAACCCCATCACCGTATGGGCGCCACGCGGTGCCCTATGTCGACCGGAGTAATCGCCACCACCAGCCCGTAGGCTGGAGTATCATCAGCTCGTTCTGTATGATTCGCAGTGTGGTCGGTGATTACCCCGGCATGGGGCACCATATGCGCACCCATACCCTGATGGGGAAATTGGGGGGTTGGGGGGTAAGGAATGTTAAAATTATGCCCCACAAAACATGAAAGGACCTCGGACTCACGCCGCGAAAATTTCTGCGAAACCAAGGATTAACCCTCCGTACTGCATGGCTCCCTATCATGATAGTTCCATCTGCGGCGCTTCCAAAACGCCTCGGTGTTACTGTCGTAGCCTGATCCGCAGTCAGGTCAAAAGCTCTTTGGCCGTTCTCTGCTTCATATCATAGTAGGAAAAGTAAGGAAGCGGGGTTTAACTTGCGTTTTCTAGGCCGCTCCTGGGGACTGGAGATCAAGGACCAGCAGAACCACGCACCAACAGTGCGGGTGGTGCGGAAGCCTGGTACGATTATCAGGTAACATCAGGACGCATGTACTTTATCTTCGAAATTTTCACGCAATAGATATTGAGTTCCTGGCAAAGCAAGCGGTAGTTGCGCACCTTGCGGGCCATGTAGTATATATAGCTATGATGGGCCATGTACCTAATGCCGCTAAGATTAGAGAGGTTTTGGTACAAAGTGTTGACTGATTACGGCCGTGCGCTGGCGTTGGGGTTTGGAGAGGGTAAACGTGTGTCTGGGTGTTTGATGATGATATGGCGCCTCGGGTGCCAGCGATCCACGGCTGGCGCGACCTGGCTAAAACGATGTCTGCAGGGATTTGATGCATTTGAACCACGCGATGTACAAATAAACGAAAAGAGTGAAAAATTACTTTCTCCAGCCACTGCGGCCGAAGCTTGGATCAATGGCTAAAGCTTGGACTTTGCAGCAATCTTGAGCTCCGGAACCATACGATAGGGTGGGTTGTTCAGGTCTAGAGGGATCATGGAGAACAGGACGATGGTGAAGCCTTTTCTGTATCAAGCACAAGAGCAGTCTTCAAGACGCCTTCGGGGATGGGAATCGCAGGAAGCTTGCGATGGTCACATAGCGCCAAGGCTTCAAGCAAGCTTAATGCGCTACATTCAATTCCAGAGATCTCTTTGCACTGTCCTAACCTGCATTGACATAATCTATTAGGAGCCACATGGAGCAAGAGATCTCATGAACTTGGGGAATACGTAAAGCATGCAAAAATTGTTCCTTGCCATGGGACCCTCAAAACTAAGAAGTACCGAATGCATCTCTTAAGGTTCCGGGGCAGTTAGCGCCACTTTAGCCGCTGGTGGTTGCGAATGCGTGCTGGGATGGAATTCGTGCATGGAGGTGCTTAATAGCATCAGGATCTGGGAGATATGGGGGCCCCACGAGTGCTGTTACATTATCCACGCCCGTTGTCCTGCTTAGCTCCTAGCGTACACGCTTAGAAGCGGAGCTTGCTGAAGAACCACCTGCGTAGTTAGGAACCGCGGTTAGTTGCGACACGACACGCACCTCATCGTTGCCTTGGACAGACTACGACACGCTACATGCCCACTGTGGGCATTCCCCCCTTGAGACACAAGCAGATAGGCCTGGTAATTGACAAGTCATTTCTACTTGCAGCAAACATATTGCCCATAACCTGCCAGGAACGTGCGCGGACAGGTGCGCGGCAGGCATAAAAGAGACCACAGTAAATATGGACACGCCTACCTGTTCTTGCCCGACTTGAACTTCTCCTCCAGGAGCTTCTTGGCCTCCTACGGATTAGAACACCGGGGCATATCTGATCAACCCAAGATGGGTACAGACAAAACATCAACGTACCAGCGAGACTCCTAGGACTTCTTCAGTAATGGAATTGACATTCCCTTTGCGCATTCCTTCGCTGGCGCGCCCGATAGAACAGCCCCAGGTCAAAATAACCAAATTTGCCGTGCAGAGTGATAAGTATAAGCCTCGACCCATCTCCATAGGCCCTCAATACAAGCATCGGGTCAAATGCCACGACTGCCCGGGTACATGGCCTGACGTATGGTGGCTCCCGATGCAATGGCTTCACCCGGGTGGCTCCCTGATGAAAACCCACGTTATCCCGACATGATAATACGCGTGCAGTGGCGACGTCCTACACGCCAGCAACTAGGCTGCTGCAGCTCGCGTAGCACGCACCTTGCGAGCCTCTGTCTTCTTTGTGGCGGTCTCCAGAGCCTCAGCTGAAATCACGTTCTTCAGGTCCACGTCAAGAGTGTAGCGAGTGGGCATCATGTGCTGGTAGTTGACAGTCTTAATGAAGGTCTGCAACCCAGCCCCGCATATGGAAGGCACACATGAGATGCGAGCCCCAGTCCTATGGCGCCGTCCTAGCCGTGACTGTCAGCTGTAAGAAATAGGGCCCCAGTAGCTACATGCATCAGCAATGCGCGTTCCTTGTGCCACTGCTGTAACGTCTGGACGAACCGAGGACATATCCTGTATCTGACACCACGCTGAAGACTTCAGACCGACGCAGCTGCGGCGCGAACATACCGATGGTCCCCCGGGTCGAACCCCACACTTCCTTACTTCCTTTTACCAATATCTAGAATAAAGTTTCAATTTGGCTGGCTGTCAATCCCCTAAAACGCGTAAACTCCGTGTCTCCCCTTTCGCTCCTTTAGTTTTTGGGCAAAGCGCACCTTAATGCTAGAGCGGCGGGCCTGCTTCTTCTGACTGATTTTGCGGATAACCTGTTACAGGGGATAAAGGTGCACATAAGGAGACATCAGCCGACTGGGGCCGCCAAGGCAGCCGCTGACATAGCAGCCTATCCAGATAATGATTAGCAATTAGTTCTTACCTTTCGCGGCTCCTTGGAAAGGCCAACAACGACAGCGTGGCCATATGGCCGCAGCGACGAGCCGTCGTCCTTGTTCTGCACAATTACGGCCTTCTTGCCGGCGTAGCGACCGGACAAGAGGATCACGACCTTCCCAGGCTGCAAATATGAGCGACCAACGCTTTGTCAATATGTCCCAGGCAAAAGCCGCCAGGGCAACTAAACATGCGCCGAAAGTGGACTACCTCACCTTCAGGAACTTCACCATGTTGCCTTCCTGTCTTCGGCACTACCACTCGAAGGACTCGAAGGAAAAGGGATGTTGAAGTGGCTTCCTGTGGTCTTGTCTTGCTTGTTCTGCATGCCGTACGCAGCTGCTCGTGCCCACAACTGTACTCATAACCTACCAGTTACTGACAAACTTGCTAAACAGGTAATCCCTTACGTAGCGGGCCAATTGGCGCTAATGCGCGGCGAAGCTTGCTAGTTCACTCATTTCAACATTGTCCATATTGCCGACATTAAGTTGTGCATTGATAAGTGGCTTTGCTATATAATGGTGTCAATACAGACCCAGAGTAACTTTCAAGGCGTTTCCATATTTGTTTCCTGTCTTTGGCAGTCATTCACTCACTTGTATTAGCTTGCTTAAAGGGGTTATCTTCAGCCTAGCCACCCAGGCAGTAAGTTTGTGCAGCCGAGAAGGCCAAAGATACCGAAACCCAACAATACCCTTCCGACACTGACAAGCACGTCAAACACTCCAACGGCATCTGCGTTCAACTCATTCTCCAAGAATAACTTGATGATGGCCCACTAGACTTAATAATGGGCACCATAAACACAGACACCCGATGAAGTGCGTCACAACCATCCGTGGCGTAAACCCGACGCGCCGGACCGCCCAAAAACCCAGGGTTCCGCAAGCGGCATGCTCTCCATCTGTCTGACAAAGCGGTTAAGCCCTTGCCTATGGAACGGCCGTAAAGGTATCCGTGCTAGTGCCTAACACGGCTTTATACCTTCGTACTTCTTACTAAGTACCGCGCTGCTCACAAGAAGCACACAGTGCATAATCATGTATCGACTTAACCGTATTCCGTCTTACAGCAATCTGTGCAAAAAGCGCCACACATCCTTCCAAAACTCACACCAACGGAAGAATGGATTTAAGCCTCATTACGCACTTTACCAGAACCCTATACGGTCACAAACCCCCTCAAGCCATAAACCCACTACCCGGCTGCTTGTCCGTGCAGCAGCACTGAGGGGAATAGTGCGAAGCCTTATCATAACGAGGGGGGTCCTTGTGAAGCAGCTGCCCGCGTTTCCAAAGGCTGTAAGTTGGATGATCGTAAGGTGTGCAAGGACATGTGCTAGGAACGGAATGGGGCCAGGCTGGCGAGGCGAGTGCAGCAGGAGAATGGATTGTGAGGCTTGCATACGTGGCTTACATGGCGATTGGCGCACGGCAAACTGCAAGTACATTGCAAGATGTCGTTGCGGGCGCAAGTTTGCTAGAAGCACAGGAACCACAACCAGAAGAAGAAGAACAGCAGCACAGCAACAGCGCGCGCACAGGACACGTCGCGTCGTGTCTGTGCAATGAAGGAGGAACAAAGGAGTAGTCCTAGAGTGGCGATCCTTGTTGCGCGCGGATGTCCATGCCACGACAGGCAACATGATGGGTGCTTTGCACGCTGCCAATTTGCTTCCGAGCACTCGAAGAGCGGACATACAAAGCAGCGCAACGGGCCCCCCCGCTATCCCTCAAACCTCACGCAATAGTCCATACCAAGCGCTGCCGTCCGTAAGGGCAGCAGCTGCCGTTCACACACGGGTTAAGGTCGGACATGTATGCACCGTGAACGAAGGCCTAAGGGCGATCGTGCCCAAATGAAACAGCACTGGCGCGAGTTTGCTAGAAGCACAGGAACCACAACCAGAAGACCAAGAACAGCAGCACAGCAACAGCGCGCGCACAGGACACGTGACGTGGTTTCCGTGCTAAGAAGGAGGAATAAAGGAGAAGTGTTAGAGTGAAGATCGAGTGAAGAGTGAAGATCGAGTGGCCCGTGGATGGCCACGCCAGAACAGTGAACATGATGGGTGTTTTACACCCTTCCAAGTTCCCCCCGAGCACTCGAAGAGCGGACATGCGATGGAGCGCAAGGAGCCCCCCCCTATCCTCAAACCTCACGCAATAGACCATCCCACGCGCTGCCGTCCGTAAGGGCAGCAGCTTCCGTTCACACACGAGTTAAGGTCGGACAAGTATGCACCGTGAATGACGGCCTAAGGGCGATCGTGCCCTAATGAAACAGCACTGGTCAAGGTCGGGAAGCCTCGCGCTGAATACGCGGGACCCACTCCGTCAAGCGTGAGGCGTGTAGGTGCTGTGAGGGCTAGGCGAGCGTGTCTGGGGCGTCATCGTCATTGTCTTGGACCGTGACGGCGGTGGGCGTGTGTGCGCTGCCTGCGCGTTGCCGCCTCATCGCGTAGAAGGCCGGGCTGGCGGAAGGCGGCCCGCACAGCACATTGTAGCCGCCTGGCCCCCGAGCCTTGAACTGCGCGATGTAGAAGGCCTCCATCCGTTGGGCCAGTGCAGGATTGGCGGTGGACATGAGGCGCGTGAGCGAGAAGTGGTCATGGAAGGGTTGGTAGCGGCTGGCGTCCTCCTTCATCCGGCTGGGTGGGTTGCGGGCATGAGCTTGGAAGCGGCGTTGAGGGTCCTGTGACTGGCCGACATACACTCTGCCGGTGGGAGCGCACGTGATGGTATACAGTCACGTGCGGGGGGAGGCACTTGAATCTGGCTCGGCGGGGCTGCTTGCGGCTCGCTTGGCTGGCGTGGTTGTGGTCAGGAGGGCGCCCGACGCTCGCGCCTGCTGCGCGGCCGTCAGCACCGAGCGCGCGAACTCCTGGTCCGTCTTGAGGACGGTGCCCGCGTCCATGCCATAGTCATAAATGAGCTCTATGGCGGTATCTGCTCGCAGGCTGCCGGCAGCCGCGATCCACAATTGCATGACCGCCGCATGCGTCGCGGTCGCACGGTCCGGCATGTCGCCTTCGTGTATTGCTGCCGTGATGTTGTACAAGTACGCTGCAGGTGTTGGGAGGGAGGGAGGGCGGATGTGAGGTTGACGACACACTATAGGGCGAGAGGCTCGAGTTTTTTTTTTT